ACCTTTTCTGAAAGAGCATGGCCCCACAACACAACAACAATGGGATGTGATCAAACAGATCACAAAAACCATTGCAAAAAAGATTGGTAGACAACAAGCAACATGGAGAGTTCGTCTGATGAAGCGTCTTCAACGCAAGCGCAACAAGTATTTCAAAGAATACGGTACAGCTCGCATTCCTCATCCACTCCTTTCAAACGTTGAAAAGAAAATTGCAATGGTACAAGAGGATTATGTCAACAATCTTGCTCTTCGTGCTGGTCGACACTGGAGAGAAAATGGTGAGACTTCAGCAGGTTACCTCAAGAGAACTATTGAATCCAAATCAGCTAAGAAATCCATGCCGCACTCATTCACCCCATCATCGGCAACCTCTGTCAATCGACCGAAGAAATGGAAGATGCAGTCTCAACTTTTTACGGTCAGCTTTACTGCCCTGACCAGGTAAGTATGAAACATATTGCAGATCTCACTAGCACAATTCCTTCTAGTGACAGCATTCCAGATGTAATGCATAATCGATTATGTGCTCCATCACCCTACAAGAACTTCAAGAAGGTGCGGCTAGAACCCCAAGTCAAAGCAGTCCTGGTATAGATGGGTTACCGTACGAACTACTTTCCATTTTATTGCAGCATCCACTTACTGGCGCTTTGGCCGTAAAGGTATACAATGATGCACTCACCTCCTCTAGATTTCCAAAGTCCTGGTTACAAACTTGTATGATTCTACTACCAAAAAAGGGCAATCTCTCTTCGCTAACAAACTGGCGACCCATTTCACTCATTAACGCAGATGCCAAAACTTTTACTCGATTAATCAATGCTCGACTTATGCCTTACCTCAACAAATATATTTCATCACACCAACTCGGATTTATGCCTGGTAGATTCATCGCAGAAAATGGTCAGATCCTACAATCGATACAAGCTATTGCACACCATGTTAATTCCAACTCTATTGCCCTTCTTCTCGACCAAGAGAAAGCTTATGATAGGGTCCATCCTACTTATCTGACTCAAGTTATGCATGCATTTAACATACCCCATACTTTCATTGAATCCATCACATCTCTTTTCTTCTCTACTGACATTAGTTTCAATATCAATGGTCATATCTCTTCACAACAGTCCAACAACATAGAGGTCTCCGACAAGGAGATCCACTCAGTCCTTTATTATTCAACATTGCTTTCGACCCATTCCTTCGTTCTATTCAACAAAATCCTAATATTCAAGGTTTTAACTTTCAACTAGAAACCAAAAACCATCATCCGCCATCCTCCGTATCACTAAATGACCTCCACTTTCCTTTCAACAACTACAACTAGACAATCCCTCATCTCCATCCTTCTCAGCACCACCTGTCAAAGTTCTCGCCTATGCCGATGATACACTCGTTTTACTTCATAATCACCAAGACCTTCTATGCCTTCAACAATTAATTCACAATTACATGCTAGCCTCCAATGCTAAACTCAACTTCAACAAACTACAGCCATTTCGCTGTCAGGTAAACCTAATCCAAGATGGAAGTACTTTTTAGCTTCACAGAACATTACAACTTGGCATGACAACACCTCGCCTGAAGCAGTTAGTTATCTTGGTTATCCAATTTACTCCAGTCCCCATCAACGAAACTCACATATCGAAAATTATTCCGAACCATCCAGCAAGCATGTCTCATACACAGCACTAGAAATTTATCTGTTAGAGGCAGAGCTACTGTCCTCAATTCACTCATTCTATCACGACTATGGCATGTACTTCGCCTGCTTCCTCTCAACAAAACACAACAAAACACATTGCAACGCCTCATCACTTCCTTCATCAACAGTCGCCGCTTTGGTACCATTCCTTTCTCAACACTCATTTTACCTCGTTCTCAAGGTGGACTTAGCGTCATTGATCCTCATCTACAACAGAGAGCTCTTCAATGGCGATGGGTCTACCCTTTATTAGTTCCTCACTCTTTTGCTGTTTCTTTACCTTCGCTTCCTTATCTCCAATTTACCCTCTCTTTCTTCCTTTGTTCCCCACAATACCCTACTTACCACTGGCCTTTGTTATTCCCCTTTATACGAAAAAAACTTTCTATTGACATTCCTTAATTCAACCGTATTTTCTTAGCTATAGATTATCTACCCCACAACTTCTCCAATTGTCATGTTCCCCTTCACGTTTGCCTTCGCCTTCCACTTCCTGAACTTCTACATTCTATCTATCCTTCTCCACCTCCATCCAACCCTCCTATTTTTAAAAATGAATACTTCAAACACAATCCCAGTATGCTAGCCTTAACAGGTAATCACATTTTTGTTTTTGATTCTTCTAGTGAATGCCTTCGGTTTCGCTCTCGGCAAGAAGTCCCTCGTTTTGAATCGGCCACCTACCGCGCTTTACTACACTTTCGTCAAAAAAAGCTCTTCTTCAATCCCTTTGTCCTGTCACTCTTTTCTCCTGCTCCTCGTGTTTCTTCCTTTTCTATTCTTCCTTCAACCTCTCACATTAGTCCCACTGATTTACAGACATTCATTTCAACCCTTACATACTCTCAATTCCCCATTACATCTTCCACTCATTCTTATCGTAAATTATGCCATAGCTCCTCCCCTCCTATACCGCCTGATCCCCGCCTATCGCCTAACTGGAAACGCTTTTGGTCTCTCAATATCCCTCTCCCTGCTCGCAATGTCCTCTACAGGATGCTTCACAACAAAGTCAACAACCGTTTTCACCTACATCGTCTTATGCCCCATACACTTCCTAATAACTTTTGTATCCACTGTCCTTCAAATCTCATTACTTCCATTGATACCCTTGATCACTTTTATTTCCTCTGCCCTACCAAGTATGATGTTTGGTCTCATGTCTTCTCCAAGTACATCAATCCCAACATCCGTGCACCTTCGGTCAATCTCCTACGTCAAGTCCTCCTCCTTCGGGTTGTTATCCCTCGTGTTTCTCTCCTCCATTTTTCTTCCTTAAGTACCTTCCAAATCTTTGCATGCACTGCTCTAGCCCTCTGGCAAGCTCACTGGCAATCTGTTTTTTCTGAAAACCCATTCCTCTCCAAAACTATAACCAAGACAGTTTTCCGCTTAGCAAATAAGCTGCATGATGAATCCCGCCTTGATTATGAACCGTAAATTCTCTCCTCCGCTTTCCTTTCCAGTTCCTCTCTCACTACTCATGATGTTCTCTCCATTTCAAGTATCTATCAAGCTCTCTTAAACTCTTATTCTTTTCTCAATTTCTTCTACCATAGGCTCATTTCCCTTTCCTTAGTCTAGTTCTTATAATACCACAGTCTTTTCTTCCACTCTTTTGACGTCTAAAGGACTTAAAATAAAATTGGAGCAAGTCTCCCTTACAAAAAAAAAATATTTTGGCCCTTTTTCACAAATCGCTTTTTTTTTGTCCAAATCAACTCCAAAAGTATCCTGTAGGTTAGCAAACACCATTTGTAGGCATTTAGAGTATTTATACGTGTAGAAACAAGCTTCCTACTTTTTCCATGTACCTATGCAACCCTATGTATTTGCTTGTTTTCCAGTGGATTCAATCAAAGTATTTATCGCTTTTGACGTCTATTTTATTGACTCTTTTGTAATTTGGTATTTTTAGAGAGTTAATTATCTTTCTCAATTCGTTTACTTCAATCATTCTTTTGTATATTAAAAGAGTACAGAGTATGTAGAGTAAATCTATTCACAAAAAAAGAAAAAAAAGTGTACCTGAGATTAATCAAATGAATTACCTCTTCAAGGCACTCGTGTCACCTACTTTTGATTGGCTGATAGTGCTTTTTTTTTTTTGTTAAAACCTTCGGGGCGTGTAAAGAGGAATTTTCTCTCTCTTTTTTTTCACTTTCTTTATCATGGAACACACTGATCCTCTTGTGGATGAGAATGCAGTGTTTATAAACTCGACAGTGAATTCTGTCTACGAGCTTATTACTGCTATTCCTGGTTCTCACTTGGCTATCTCTTATATCAAAAATGCTTATCAAAATGATCCCTTCCGTATTGCTCTTGAATTATTCCTTGTCTTTTTTGCTATTAAATATATGCTTTCTAAAAAATACAAGCCCAATGATAACAATGTTGTTTTGACAGAAAAGGTAAGACAGACACATAGTAATCATGAGAATTGACTTGTCATCAATAGGAAGTGGATGATCTTGTAGAAGAATGGCAACCTGAACCTTTAGCACCCAAACTCTCTTCTTATGACCGTTTTAATCTTGAGAAAGTGCCCACTATTGTAGGCCCCCAATCCGCCAAGGCTAAAGTAGCTGGTCACACAAAGCCCTTAATGAACTTGGCTACATCCAACTATTTAAACTTAGTTGCTTCTGAACAAATTCGTCAAAAGGCTGTAGAGACATTAAGAAATTACGGTGTGGGTTCTTGTGGTCCTCCTGGTTTCTATGGTACCATTGATGTTCATATGGATTTAGAACGTGATATTGCTCGCTTCCTTGGTACAGATGATGCTATTATCTATGCTCAAGGCTTCTCTACTATTTCTTCTGTGATTCCTGCTTTCTCTAAGCGTGGTGATTATATTGTTGTGTAAGCCCAAAAAAAAACCTGCCTATCTTTAAGCACTCATACCCTTTTTCTTTAGTGATGATGGTGTTAATTTTGCAGTTCAAAAAGGTGTTCAAATCTCCCGTTCGATTATTAGAACTTTCAAGCATAATGATATGGATGATTTAGAACGTGTATTGAAGGAAATCGAGAGAGAACACACAGTTGTATGTATCTTGTATAGCTTATTTTTTTCTTACATTTTGTACAGTATAGAAAACGTTTGACTCGTCGCTTTATTGTGACAGAAGGCCTTTTTGCTAATTTTGGTGACATTGCACCTTTAGATAGATTGGTAAGCCTTAGAGAATGAATGAACAATAACTTATGATGATTGTTAGGTTGAACTGAAAAAGAAGTTTAAATACCGTCTCATTTTAGATGAGTCTCAATCTATCGGTGTTCTGGGCCGTAAAGGTGCAGGCTTGACAGACTTGTACAACATTGATGTAAGTTCTCCATGCTAAGCCAAGAAAATTCATGACTTAACATATACAATATAGGCCAAGGAAATTGATATGATTGTGGGTTCTTTGGCCAATGCTCTCTGCGGTTCTGGTGGTTTCTGTGCTGGTAGTATTGAAGTGATTGATCATCAACGTCTTTCTGGTAGTGCTTATTGTTTCTCTGCTTCCATGCCTGCCATGCTTGCTGTGTCTGCATCCGAAGCCTTCCGTATCATTGAACAACAGCCTGGCTTACTAAAAGAATTGGCTGAACGTATTTCCTCTTTCCGCCAAATCTTGACACATAAATCATTGGATCCTTATATCACTATTGATCCTTCTGATGCGAACTCCCTCTCTCCCTTCTTCCATATTCGTATCAAGGATAGCTATCTTCAGACACACACTCAAGATAATGAAGATCAAGTCTCTCGTGAAGCAGAAGAACGTTTACTACAAGAAGTTGTGGATGAATGTGCTTATCAAGGTGTGTTGATTACCCGTGCTAAATATGTATATGAGCAAGAATTGCAATGCCCTCGTCCTAGTATCAAGGTCTCTATCACTACAGGACTCAACAAAAAGGAGAATGACAAGGCAGCTAGTGTTCTCAAGACAGCTATTGTCAAGGTGTTTTCCAAGTGGAGAAAGTAAAAAAAAAAGAAAAAAAAACAATTACTAGTACAATAATAATTTAATTCTGAGGCTAAAATGCATTGACCATATTTAACTGTTGTTGTACAATTCACTTGCATAATAGGAAAAAAAAAGGGGGAATGAAGCATGTAGTTTATTGAGAGTATATATGTATAAATTAGGCGGATTCTTCCTTCTTCTCTTCCTTGCCTTCCTTCTTGATCAATTCTTCATTGATCTTTTGAACTTCTTCAAACTTTTCCTTGAAGAGGTTGGCATTTTCAGAGTTGGCAAAACGGATAGCCAAAGTTTCAGCTTCGGGCTTACCGTCAGAGACATCAGCAGTAACGTTCCAAACCCAAGAACGGTCAGAACCAACGTTAGGAGAGAGCTTCATGAGAGAGTCAACCAAGTGGTTGGCGCAGACCTTGAGGGTCTTATCACGACGCATCAACAAACGAATCTTCTTGGTTTCCTTGTGTTGCAAAAACTTAACATCACCAGTACCACGTTCTTTCCATTCCTTAGTATCCTTTTGGTAACGGAACAACTTGGCACGCCTATTGAAACGTGTTAGACCATGAAATGTATTCATCTACTACTTACATTTTGAAGAGAACTTCCTCTTCTTCTTCATTTGTCTTTACTTCAACTTCATTCAACTTGACAATGGGTTCAAAGTGAACATCAGGAGATTCAACTTCTTCTTCTTGCTATCAGATAATGTAAGTATCATTTTAAACAAAAGAAAGCTGTATTTACTTGTTCAACAATCTTCTTTTCTTCAGTATCAGCCATAGTATAGAATTAAATAAAAATAGATGGATGGATGGATGTGGGATGGATATGGGATGGATTACGTGGACACGTATAGAATGACCGATTTACTTTTATGGTGCGGAGACTTTTTTTTTTTGAATTGAGTCTACTAATATTTTAAGCAGTTTAGTTCTCTCTTGGTAGTTACCAGCTACAAGCATAAGTTTACTGATGAGTACTCGTCAACAGGACTTTTTATTTAAACAAATCAGTATTGAGGGTTAGCTTAGCTTTCTTTGTTATTTTTCTTGACAAGAATAGAAATGCTTTCCTTTAAATGTAGATAGGTCTCTCTTTTCCTTTACAAAAAGAATACTTATAAGTAACATATCAAGGTCTGTTTTGTTTCCTCTTGGTCTAACATCTTAAACCAAGCAATTGGTTCATAGGCTCAATTTCATCATGATTCTTACACAAGACCATTTCCAATCAAAAAAAAGAAAAAAAAAAAAAGATCCTCATGAGTCTATGCCAAAGAAGAGGTCATCATTAACATAGTTTATATATGCTTTAAAAATAGCCATACATTTTGTATGTAGTACAACAATGACAAAAATAAACAAACATTATGTTTTTTACCATAAAAAACCCCTCTCTCCCTCCCTCTCCCTCTGTCTCTTTCTCCTCTCTTTCACTCACACACTTTTTATATATAGTGGCTCGTTTTTTTTTTCTTTTCTTTTCTTCTTTTTTTCTTTTTTTTTATATATTCTGTGACGTGTTGAGTAACACTTTTCTTTATATACATGGAACCAATAGATAAAAAGAAACCAGACTTGTTACAGTCAGACAAAACGACTGCACCTGTGGGTGTAAGTGCTATTACAACTTCAGCAGAAATTACGCCTTCTTCTTCCTCGTGCGCCAAACTTCGTAGTGTACCTATTCCACAACCACTTATACTTAAGCGTCGAGCAAGTAAATCATCTATATCCTCTGCTGATGAAAAGACACCTTATGAACACCCTCATCCTGATCCCATATCACCCACAGGATTTGATTATCGAAAATTGACGGACATGGAATACAGCAGCAGTCCAGGAAGTGAAGTCAATGAATCCCATGCATCTCGCTCACCTCCTCCTCCTTCTGCTTGTTTCTCACCGAGATATTCTAGTCCTCCTGCTGGAAGTGGAGGGAAATACATGGTACGATCCAAGCGAGCCAGTTGGATTGATGGTTCTTCGTGTATTTACGATGCTATACCTTCTACACCACCCAATAAGGTCATTATTCCACCCTTAGGTCTGCCTAAACCATTGCAGCAACCACCTTTACCTAGTGCATCAGACGACAGCTCACTTAAATCAGGCTCTTTGTCTAAACTAAGAGAAAATAGACAGCAACAACAGTATCATATACCTAAGCGTGAAAATTCGATTGATAGTACACCTCTATCTGCCTCTTCTTCTACCGATCATTCATTTTCAAAGCACAGAAAATTGTCTGAAGATATTGGTGATATGGACGATATACCCTCTCATGAGAAAAGAAAATCCCTTGTGCATGAAAGAAAAGCATCTGTTTCTTCTATTGTTACTGATTCTAGTTTAGCCAGTGAAGAATTTCACTCACCCTTGTCTTCACCATGTAAGTGATGTCTCTACAGAATTAGGAGTTAATAATTGATTGTATAGATCGCTATAAAGCACCTAAATCAGCATCAGCATCACCTCTTGTCACACACGCCCATACCTCGACATCAACTCCTCATACACCCTCTCCTCAAAAAGCAAGGCGTCGGTCTTCCATGTCGATGCTTCGAAACATTCCCAGTGCCGAACTCGCTCATATCGTAAGCAGCAGTTCCTCCAATCCTGCCTTAAAGACACCAGATCAACACCCACTTACGCATGAGGAAGAATCACCTCATGCAGATGGTATACCCATTTATCAGCACTCATTACACTCCTTGTTAAGAAAGCAACTGTCCAATAAACGTAAACCATCACGTCGATTGATGGATGTTCGCCAAGAAGCAGATAAAGATGTTATTGAAATGAACTTGGATTCAGAGTCCATGGAAATACCTCAAGAGTCCTTTTTGGAAGAAAACAATACCCTGATGAACAGCCCTTTATACCCAGCTATGCTGTTGAATGAGTCAGAAATAAAAGATGACAAGCCAAAATTATCCATGATTCCTCCTTTTTCATCATTTAGTAGAACATCAGCACCTGATATTTCCAGTTGGCATCAACAACATGAATATACAGACTATTTCAGTAATGAACATGTCTCTACTGGTGCTTCATGTAAGTGTATTTCATAGCTGGCTTTTGTTACTCATCTTCTGATGTAGCTGTAGGTGTACAGCCCAAACCAATGGCTTCATCATTTTATGCTGACAATACAACACATGGATCAGATGAAGATTATGCTAAAAAGTTGTTCATGTCTCGTTCTGCCAAAGTAAAGCGATGGTGTAGTGTACGTGTAGGTGATCTAGAAGAAAAGTTGGGCCATAAGGGTCATCATCATCATCGACGCAGTAACAGTACTACCAGTATCAGTAGTGTGCCAGTGCAAGACAACAGACGGTATTCTGCTCATCTTGGTCGATTCCCTCAAGATGATTCAAATATGCCTACCATTCTTGTGACAGCAGAAACAGAAGAAGGACACCGTCAAATGGAATCAGAGAACAATGAGATGGTCAACTATATTCCTTGGGTTGATTGGTTAGAAGAATACAAAGTGATCAAAGCAAGAGAGATCAGAAGAAGATCTTCAACTACACAGAATGACCCTGTGGATGTTCGTCATTTTCAGCCTACACCCAATACATCCGTTGTTAACCGTGTCTTGTCCAATTGGTGGAATAATGTCAAGACAGGTGCTGAACACTATTCAAAATCAACTCGACATCGTCATTATCTTAAGAGACCACTTATATCAGAAGAACGTAATACACCACCTCGTCCTCCTTCCATGGCTTCTTCTTCCAGCACTGTTCCACCACCACCACCACCGTCTTCTTTAGCGCGAAAGAATACAGTCAATTTGTTACTTGATCTGCATGATTTGCAACATCCATTAGAAGGCAAAATACGTCCATATGTAGCAGACGCTTCTCCTATGACAACAGCCACTAGCAACAGTAATCGTCGCCATTCTTCTCGAGACATGACACACATGGATACCGACAGCATGTCACCTATCTCGTTGCACAGCAGCGCACAATCCTCTGTGCCTGATAGCCCCAGTAGTTTGGCTGCCAAAATGCCTCGTAATCCCATCACACAAAAGAGCCTTGCTAAACGTGTAGGCTATCGTTTCTATAACCCGGGTAATCGTATGGGCACATTTGGTCAATTAAGCCATATGGTGGGTCAAGCATCCTCTGAAAATGATCCAACCACAGCTCGTATTCAACACTCCATCAAGTCACGATTAGAGTTTGCTAAAGAAGCCTGTAATGCTGAGTTAAGACAGATCATCGATGGTTTAAATGAATATGTTGAACGTGGATTACAGTATGTTGAAGATATGGACGAAATTCTTGAAGAAGGCATGCATTCTGTAGCTAGTTTGGATACTGAAGAGGAAGAAGAAGAAGAGGAGACAGGAGAGGATATAACAATGTTGACTGCTCCTATTAATCACAGTATACCAACAGAAGTGATAACACATCCATTAGCTAGTGTTGTTGAAATGGATGAATCTCCTTCCCCACCCTCTGATCATGATCATGCATCACCCAATAGTTTGCCTCATAAACGAACTTTGTCCTCTGCCTTAGATGAGCATTTGCCCCCTGATGATACGCCACTTTACAGACAACCCACTCCACAAAAAGAAGATGTAACAGCACTTCAACAACAGCACAACAACATGGTCGCTTTAATCTCTGAAGATGCCTACCTTCCTACACCGTTTATCCTCACCTTGCAAGACTTGATTTCAGTTGCACAAAATGTAATGGATACCTCTTTGGATGAAATCATTGAAACAGGTGGTGCTTGTGCTGAAGCCGTGGCTCGTATTCAGGCCATTGGCACACAATGGGACCTACATCCTGAATGGCCTTGTCGTGAATGGTATGTCAGGCTACTTTTGGGTATTGCTGCACTTAACCGTGTGGTGGAATGGTGGGCTGCTGAACGTGGGTTTTGGTCTACCAATGCCACTGTCTCTATTCCTCCCAGCGATACTGAGAATGATGATATGGAATCGATCAGTAATGTATCTCGTATGGAAGAAACAGACGATGAACACATGTCTATTGACGAAGTCGGTTTGGATTCTCGGTTGCCTATCTATGAACAAAAAGTAGATGAACATTTAGGCAGTCTCCAGTTACAAGAAGAAGCAGAACGAAGTCAGAGCTCAACGATTATTGTTGAACTGAGTTTAGGTACAACCATTGTTCAGTATGTAAGTCCTGTATGGTCTGATGTTGTAGGGTAAGTTGGCTATTTGGGTGTTACTGCAGGATTAATTTGTTCTATCTAGATCGGATCCTCAGACTGTGATTGGTCAAAGTATTACTAGTTTATTGTCTGCAGATGACAGCCAAGTATTTAGTGCGGCTACAGAAGAATTATTAGCTGATGAATCGCATACGGTAGAAGTACGTTTCCATGTGAATGATAAAGAAGGATCATCTATTGAAATGGAAGGAAAAGGCATGCTTATGTGCAACCGTGTTACTGGAGAACCTAGCCATACCATGTGGGTCATGAAGCCCGTTGTTCCTCGTCGATGGTCTTTAATAGACATGTCACTTACACCTCGAAATGACAAAAAACCATCTTGGTTAAGTGGTGGCACTGATCAGCAAGAAGAGTATTGGATGCAATCCTCTCCTCAAGTATCTGAAGAAGAACAAAGAGGCATGGCACGTAGTCGATCTAAATCAGAGCCCGCTATTTATACACCACCTTTCTTACCTTCCATTCAAGTCAACGATCCCAACAATGACAAGATGGAAGAAGATAACCAAACAACAGTTTCATTATCCACACTCATGTCATTACCACCTGTGCTTTGCCGTGTTTGTGAGCGACTTGTGGTGGCTGCATTTTTCGAACAGCACTCTGAACTTTGTGTCGAAATTCATCAGAGCGAAATGGATGTCAATGCATGTAACGATAGCTTGATTGAACTTAAACATGTTGTACAGGAACGCATGGAGCTTGTGAAGCAGCAGATTACTGAACTAGAATCCAACAAGGACAAGCCAAAGAAACAACCTGAACAAGAGAAACCATATGAAGAAAGTGATAATGATTCCATCTTTGGTGATTGTTTGCCTCTTGAAGAAGCATTAGATCCATTGGAAGTTAAGAAGGCAGAATTGGAACAATACAAAGATCTGTTTGAAATCATTGACGTTGCCTTGAGTATCTCTATGCCAGGTAGCGCAGATCATGAAGAAGACGAAGAAGGAGATAAAAACCTACAATCACCTCGGTCTAAAGATAAAATTGTCCAAATTCTGTACTGGAGACCACCTACTTCAGACGACCCAACCATGTCTAATTTGATTCGAGATGTAGAAGACTTGACTCGGGGCAAAGTGGATGCTGTCAACAGAATGCGTGATCGACTCGAGTACAACAATAGAGAGAGATCCGAGTTCCAAAAGAACACAAACCAACAGCCTAATTGGACTGAATTTGTGTATGAAGAAGACAAGAAATCAGACGAAGAAAAAGTAGAAGAGACGTTAAAAGTATCGCCTAGAGAGGAACAGCCGACACGTTCAAGAAGAAGCTTTTTGAGCAAGATCAAGTCATGGCGACACAGACAATCATCTGGTGTTGTAGGACGTCTATCCCGTCGATTCAAATCAATCACACCTGATTCGTTACATACGCCTATTGTAGAGATGGAAACAATTGATACACCTATGGGTTCGCCTGGTTTGCGGCCCAAGACAGCTTCAATTAAGCAAGAACATACCTCAGGTGCACAGACACCCAACTGTACGGCCAAGTCTCCTTCTTCGCCTTTGCATGCACCTGTTATTTCCCGTCCTACGTTCCCTAGTATTAAAGATTTTGATATCATCAAACCTATTAGTAAAGGTGCTTTTGGTTCTGTCTTTTTAGCTAAAAAGAGAACGACGGGTGATTACTATGCCATCAAATTCCTCAAGAAGTCTGACATGATTGCCAAGAATCAAGTAACGAATGTCAAGGCAGAACGTATGATTTTGATGTCACAAACCGATAGTCCCTTTGTGACTAAATTGTATTACACATTCCAATCCAAAGATTATCTGTATCTTGTACTTGAATATCTAAATGGCGGTGATTGTTCTGCTCTGATTAAGGTCATTGGTAGTCTTCCTGAAGATTGGACTCGAAACTATCTTGCTGAAGTCACTTTGGGATTAGAATATCTTCAAAGTAAAAACATTATTCACCGGTAAAGCATCCAAGCACACTAAATAACCCACTTATTCTTGCATAGTGATCTTAAGCCTGACAATTTATTAATTGATCAAAATGGCCATTTGAAACTGACAGATTTTGGTCTCTCGAGAATTGGTTTTCTTGACCGTCGAGTACGCGATGAATTGACGACTGTGTCTTATCATGATCGAGCCCAGCCAATTTCACCGGCGCCTTCAAGATCAGGCACACCACCTCAATCACCTGCAGATCAGCCTTCTACACTCAATGGTGGCGCTTATCGACATTCTTACTTTAGCTTCTTGTTTGATCAAGGGCGTCAAAGAACACCGAGTACACCTCATGTGAACATACCTGAAGAAAATAGTGTGTCGGATACTCGTAGCTCTGAACATACACATCGCCGTCATTTATCCTCTGCTATATCTGAACCACTTTCTTCAGGCATCACAACAAAATCAGATCGCCACAACAAGGAAGAAAGTACGCCTCGCCAAGCTGTTGGTACTCCGGATTATTTAGCTCCTGAAAGTATTTTAGGTACTGGTCAAGACTCAATGGTGGATTGGGTAAGTCTCTGCTTTATGCGATGGAAGACCTTATTCATTTTCTTAGTGGGCTCTTGGTGTCATTTGTTATGAATTTTTGTACGGTATTCCACCATTCCATGCAGACACGCCTGATAAAGTATTTGAGAACATCCTTTCAAGACGCATTGATTGGCATGAAGATGTTGTCCAAATCTCGCCTGAAGCACGCGACTTTATGGAAAGATTAATGACGCTTGATCCTGAAAAGCGTTTAGGCTACAATGGTGCTGAAGAAGTCAAACAACATCCGTTCTTCAAAAGTATTCATTGGGACACTTTGTTGACAGAAGCACCTTCATTTATTCCTCAACCAGCAGATGCAGAAGACACTGATTATTTTGACGCCCGAGGCGCTACTATGCAACTTGCACCTAATGAAATCAATCAACTGGATGAATCTGCCAAGGCTCAAGTCGAACGTGCAAAAGCCATTATTCGTGAACAAAACCCTGAAAATATCTCGCCAGTCTCGGACAAAAAGAAACACAAGAGTAAGAGTAAGAGCAAGAAATCAGAGCCACCTAAAGAAGATGCAGATGTGGATTCAGACACGACTGATTTCGGTACATTTACTTACAAAAACTTACCTGTACTTGAAAAAGCCAATGAGGACATGATACGAAAGATCCGCCATGATAGTATCTCTGCTAATGCTATGAATGATTCACCTCCGAGTAAATTATTGCAGCGTAAGATGCCATCCAAGTCCAAAAGTGGGTTTCATGATGGATCGGGCACGCCTACAGGCAATGTTTTTACACCCTCAACCTCGTCTTCTATTTGTGCTACACCTTTGTCCATGTCACCTTCAGTATCTTCAAAACTAAACGTTGTCTCCCCGCCTGTTGGAAGAAAATTGAATGATTCGACCTTACCACATATACCAACCAAAATGTCAGATATATCCTCTGCTTCATCTTCAAAAGAAAGTACGCCACATCGTAGTCGCTCCTTATCTACGCCTTCACTTGATCCTGTTAAAGCTGCTGCTGCCATTGCAGCTGTTGTCAGCAGCCAAAGTCCTGGCCATTCAAGCCACTCGACTCCATCTACACAACATCATTACCGTCATGAAGATCTTGATACTAGAATACCAGCTACTACTACTTCCCCTTTCACAAAGCCTGAGCGAAAATCTTCCATGACGCACAAGCCAAAACCTCTTGCTTGTCTAGTGGCAGATGATAATCCAATTAGTTGTAAAATTATCGAAACTATTCTTCAGATGTTACATTGCAGGTGTGTTATTGTTCGTAATGGTGCACAAGCCATCCGATCTGCCATGAGTGATGTACGTTATGATATCATCTTTATGGATATTCGTATGCCAATCAGTAAGTGTATATGCTCACAAAAGACAAAATACTAATTCATGTCCTAGTTGATGGCGAAACAGCCGCAAGAATGATCAAATCCACCAACAACAATAACAGACAAACACCGATTATTGCAGTGACAGCCTATGAAAGAACAGTTCAATTGGCAGGTGCATTTAATGATATCCTGAGTAAGCCAGTGACCAAAGATGTGATTTCAAGGTGTCTTGCGCAGTTTTGTCGAACGACAGAACACAATGAGGACATGGTTGTCCAAAGTAGTAATGTCACACCCTCCACAAGTCATCCCATTGCTTCGTAAACACATACTGGTTTCGCTCATTTTGAGAGAATCACTCAAACCCATAGAAATAGATTGATGCGCTTTTTTTTTCAAAATAAATATATTTAGGTTTGAAAAAAATTAGGCTGGCTCACCTTTAGAAAGCAAGTTGAGCTACGACTATGACCTTCCCTTTTTAACGTTGGTCCAAAAAAAAAAGAATCTTAAATATGTCTAAAGGGAAAGTGCTGAAAATCCAATTTGATAATTTTACTCATGTGTTTAGTTTGAGCAAGTCAATGACTTTTGATATTTAGGGCACCATGTTATTCATCTTTTTGTGATTGGAAACGCAATCTCTTATTTCTTATGCACATATGAGTTCAGTTTTGTCATCAAAAAAGATACTTTTATGTTAAGAAAATCCCGTATTTTTTTTATTTTGCTTTATTCAACGTATCACACCATGTTATCGTGAGTAAACAAACTCTAAAGCTTGTGCGTACTCATTCCAAGTAAAACCTTTTTTTTTAACAGACTGTACTACATAAAATTAAGAAAGAAAAAAGACATGATTTCTTTTTATAGAAAGCATCTTTTTCTTTTTCTTCCTTATAATAAACAGCTTATGGTTGACACTGTAAGTAGCGTTGTGTTGTTAGTATCTGAGAATTTAATCTTTTGTAAAAGTCGACCTCACATGGATTTCTGACTCGTCGACACTCCACAGGCGATGGAAATCTAAACAATACAATGATTCTTCCCCCTTATCCACCTACTATACCAAATCATATCTGCCGAGAATTCAGTACGCCTGAAGGCAATTATACCTTGAAACATTCTGTTTTCATCCATTCTATGCAGCCTCTGTATTCAGTCGGTACAACAGCCAGTCTTGTCTCGATCAAATACAAAGAAACAGTGACGACACAACGGTACGAACCACAGCCTGGTGCTCGTGGCTTTCGAAGGATGTTTAGTCATGGTCTTCCTGAACCTGACGAGGCTCATAAGCCTACAGACGAGATGGGCGAATTGCCTACGCTTTCTTTTTTGTCTAGAAACAATAAACATCCAAGAAAACTCAAGACAAGTTCCTCAAAAACAAATTCGAGTTTTGTACAGTGTATCATCACAAATGAACACTTGGCCAAGATTTTGATGTCTCGTACAAGCGATGATATCAATCTGTTTTATAACTGTGGTACTAATTTTATTTGGGTGGATGCGGCAGGACATCCAAAGGTAAATAACTGTTTTATGATTGGACCTGATCGAGTTTTAGGAGCCCCTTTCTCGTATTGTGTTTGCCAAAGCATGTCCAACGTCACACGATGTAAATGTATTGACTCGAGGCGCAGATCAGTTGGATATTATCATTGGATTTACGACAGGCGATATTGTTTGGTTTGATCCCTTATCCAATAAATATGGGCGCATTAATAAAGGTGTACGTGGATGATTGCTTATGTAAGCAATTCTCATGCATTTTATTAGGGTATTATGAACGCTTCAGCCATCACAATGATCAAATGGTTACAAGGTTATGAGAATTTATTTATGGCTGCTTTCAAAGATGGATCTGTTATGATATTTGATAAAGACAAAGAAGATGAAGCATTTCATCCAGGCGATGAAAAACTAGAAAAGAATGTGCAAGTCTTTTCATGTTAAGAAAAAAAACAAGTCACTTATTGTTCCTTTAGGTTTAAAGTATCTAAACCTTCTACGAAACTTTCCCTTAAATGCAACCCTGTTTCTCATTGGAAACTATCCAATAAGTCATTGACAGGTAAAATTTGTAGGTGTATTCGTATAGCTCATATCTTTTTAGCATTTGCATTTTCACCCGACTGTCAACATGTTGCTATTGTTGGTTTAGATGGTTTGCTTCGCATTATTAATTTTGTACACGAAACGTTAGTCTGAATTATATCACCTACAAAGAAATAACCGCTTTCTTATATAGTCTATATGATGTATTTGAATCTTATTATGGTGGTTTAAACTGTGTAGCATGGAGTCCAGACGGTAGATACATTATCGTAAGTGTATGTTATGATGACATTACAGTTACTAATGATATAATCAGACAGGTGGTCAAGATGATTTAGTCACTATTTGGGCTTACAAAGAACAACGTATTATTGCTAGATGCCAAGGACATAAATCATGGGTAAAAAAAAACATATAGTGTCTATTTTATACTTATTAAATAGGTCACCGGAGTTGCATTTGATGCTTGGCGATGTGATGAAAGAGTATATCGGTTTGCCAGTGTTGGAGAGGACGCTCGATTGATTTTATGGGATTTTTCAGTCAGTGCACTACATAAACCTAAAGCAATGGTAAATACGTAATAATGAATGTGACACTTATCCATACAAGAAAACAAACAATAGAAATAGAGGTGCCTCTTTATCTTCAGTCAATTCACAGCCTCAGGACAAAAGAATGGCTATTCATCCTGTTCAAGCCAAACATGAAGTTGCTTTTTTACAGCCAACCATGGTCAAGACAATTCATGGAGATCCTTGCGTAGGCATTTATTTTAGAGAAAATATCATGGTCACTACAGATAAACGAGGCCGTGTCAATACATGGCAAAAACCATAAAGAGGAAATTATTACAAATTTAATAAATTATACAAGAGGGTATAATAATAAGGTGTGTTGCTTCTTAAAGGGACTGTTGCTTTTCAAGATCAATAGATGTTGGTTCTTTGTTTCTATTCCAAAAAGAGGGGAACCAAGAGGATGTTTTATACATGTGTTTGATACCACTTGCAGTAGAGGGCGTATCGTCGTCATGCTTGTGTTCTTTGGTTGTTGATTTTGTTGTGTCATTATGACTATGCGCACGTCGTTGAGGATCATTGGTGCTACTGCTTCTGCTGCTACTATCACTACTATCACTGCTTTCATCAGGGTGAATCACATCATGGGTATAATATTCATGTCTTGTAGGAGGAGGAGTAGGAAAGTATTTATAATAAGCATTCGAAACAGCAAAGACAGCATAAATAACCAAACTAAGACCCAGAACAACCATAAAAAATCGGCCTCCTCCTGTATTGGCTAGCTTACTAATAGCAGCAGCCACCATGTTCTTTGAACCTGATTCGTTCGCTTCAGCCAAAGAATCCCAAAAGAAGCCAGCCATGGTACCAAACAAGGCTGCACGACCACCAAAACCAACTCGACCAAACATATGAACAATAAACGCTTCCCATTTTCTGGCACCGGGTTCACTTGTCTTTAAGTCTTGAATGAAATTACCACTGATAGCATTGATGACTTGTGTGGTGAATGCAATCATAAATGCAATAGCTAAGATACCAATGCCTGCTTTGCCAAGGGTTGAGTCAGTCCATGAAGCAGGAAATGTCTTGCTGGATGCGCTTGCTTGTTGTTCTTCCGAGGTTTGAAAGATCATTCGAATCACATAATAAGCGTATGCGGTATAGACAAGACCACTCACAAAAGGCGATAGACGATATCGAAAAAAGTTCTTTTTCTTACTAAATGAAGCATCACTTCCTTGACCTGTAATGGCTTCCCACATTCTATAGAGAGTGAGTCGATTGATTTAAATCAGTTCTTATAATTACCTCCAGATAATATACAAGACTAAGCCTACAGCCATTACAATCAAAATAGATCTTCCAATAGTAGGAATACCACCTAATAACAAAAATGCACCCTATGCATCATTGTTAGTTCATGTCATTAAAAGCCTAAAAACTTACTTGAGGTGATTCATTGCCTGCACTTCCATTAGGTGTCCAAGCACCTGTGACATTACTGATCGTCAATACACCAATACAACCATAGACAATGCCTTTGGCTATAAATCCAATACGTCCAATCCATTTCACAAAGTGCTTGTGTTCTTTTCGTACGCCGCCTTGATAGAAATGCAATTGACTGGAGGACGTTCTCTCATTTGATATGATGGGCGGAGCTGAAACAGCCGATTGATCTGTGTGTCCTGAAGTTGGTACATAATGGCCGGTCGAAGGTTCACCGTGAATTGTTTTCGGTAACTTTTTCTTTATGTTGTGTGAACTAGGATTGTTTAAGGCATGTTGGTCATCTTCATTCTTTTTCTTTTTTGGTATCAATTGAGCAAACATGGTATCAAATGTAAACAACTTTAAAAAAAAAAGGAGAGAAAGAGAGAAAGAAAGAAAGAGCGAAAAATATAATTATCAGCTCTATTTCAAATGATTGTTACAAACAAAGCAAGTCGATTTCATCATTATGACGTTTAATTCTCGTTTTGGAAAAGTGATCATCGGTATAAGATGCTTATTTTTTGGAAGATTCTGCCTTTTTTACTCTAATCCACAGGCCTGGGTCGTATTCAGGTACAGAGGAATGACTTCATCTTGGATATCATTGTGTGTACCTTTTCAGAAAGAAGGTTTATAACCACGCTTGTCCTGCCACAAACTATGTCAATTCCTAACGTGTTTTCTATTTTCTGCCTACTTGGGATTAGCCCTCTTCCCCATATTAATGAGTCTAATAGATGTCGTCTTGTTATCTTATGTACATGTCATTTCGAAATACACTCGCCTAAAATAAAAAAATAAAAAAATAAAAACTCCCCCGTCAGATACATAGAGTTGATTTATCAGCCACTGATCCAGTGAATGCATACCGTTTCCTTACCATTCAAATTATATAGAGTTTTTTTTCTGTTTGTCCGGGTAATAAGAACAAGTTGCAAAGTATTGATTGATTATATAATATAGATTCAAATGAAAAAATCTGTTTGATTGGCTAAACTAATATTCCCCAACAAAAAAAAAGGGAGTCCCAAAAAAAAAGAGGTGTCCTTTCTCTCTTTCTTTTACTATGAAGATCACTATTGCTTCGCGTAATCAAAAGTCAAGCAAGTTCCCAGTGACGCTTGAACTCTCTGGCACACCAGAAACCTTAAAGACCAATGACATCAACAAAGCGCTCCATGCTAAATTCGCTACTTATTATCCTGACCGTCAACGCTTGACAACCGAAGACAAAAAAGCTCTCGAACTCGACAAGAGTTTAAGCGAACAAGGTATTACTGAATCCACCACGATTTACTTTAAGGACCTCGGCCCCCAAATTGGTTGGCGCACTGTCTTTATGATTGAATATGCAGGTCCCCTCTTTATCCATCCTTTGTTTTACTATTTTTCTAAAACTATCTATGGCTCTGCATTCTCTCATTCTCCTATGCAAACCTATACGTATTACATGGTCATGGCTCATTTTTTGAAGCGTGAACTTGAAACTGTCTTTGTTCACCGTTTCTCTCATGGCACAATGCCATTCTTCAATGTGTTTAAGAATTCTGCTCATTATTGGTTTTTGTCGGGTGCCAATTTGGCTTTCTGGGTTTATGGTCCTTGGTTTGCTCAAGGTAAAAATCTTGCTGTTCGCAATGATGTCTGGATCTATGGTTGTATTGCTGTGTGGGCTGTAAGTAACGCTTGTTGATCTCGACCATATTAACCATTAGGAACAAAGTGGGCCGAAATCTCTAATTTGATCACACATATCACACTTCGCAATTTGCGTCCTGCTGGTACTCGTGTTCGTGCTATTCCTTACGGTTATGGATTTGATCTTGTTTCTTGTCCCAACTATTTTTTTGAATTCATTGCTTGGACTGCTGTTTGTTTCCTTACAACCAGCTGGAGTGGTAAGTTCAGTATACCTAAACTATATAAGACTCAATGCTAGGAATAGCTTTTCTGTTTAATGTGGTGGCTACAGGTCAAATGTACATTTGGGCTGTTAAGAAGCATAAAAACTATAGAAAGGAATTCAAGGATTATCCTCGTAACAGAACTTCTATGTTTCCCTTTATTGCTTAAATACAATGAAAAGATAAAGATTAAAAAAAAAAAGAGGGCATTTCTTGTACTTGCATATTTATTTATTTATTTATTGGAATGCCTTTTTGTTGATGATTAAACTTTAAGAAATTTAATTAACATAGCATTGTCTAATTTCTTTAAAAATAAAGGTAGAGCATTCTTTTCTCTTCTTCTCTTTAGAACCAATGATGTTTTCTGTAAGGTCAAGAAAAACATCTGATAAACAAGAAAAAGATCCATTTATTCAAGATGAATACGAGAAATACGAAAAGAAAGCTTACCCATATACAAAAGAAGGATCTTGGATCGACAAGCTGCACGATCAATTCAGGTTGCTTTTACTGACATCCCTCAGCTTCTATTTGCGTATCATGAAACTAGGATTTCCTCCTTATATTACAGAAGCAGAATTAGAAACCACACGTCAAGTGAATTGGTATATGGCAAGCAAGTTTTTTATTGGTAAATTTCCTCCATTGGTAGGCCTGGTTGCTTCTGGTCTGACACGCATTGTGGGATATTATGGTACAGAAGACTTGCTTTATGCTGGACAGTAAGTTTATTTCTTTTTGAGGGAAAAGGTTCCTTATCCTTATTGTTAGACCTTTTGTTGAATTTCCCGTGATTGCTTTACGCCGAATGTCTGCTTTATTAGGCACACTTTTGATCCCTTTGTGTTACATTACCTTAAGAAACCTGAACCACTCACGTTCAACAGCCACATTAGCAGCTGCTTTATTGATTTTTGGTAAATATATATACATATACACATACACCTTGTGTGTCGTATTGATTGATTTTCTTTAAAAATAGAAAATGGCATGGTGACACAATCAAGATATGCAACAACCGAAATTTATGTCTTGTTCTTTAGTGCATTAGCTACCTGCTCATGGACATTCATGCATAAATATGCTCAAGAAAGGTAAATTAGACACATATATAACAACTGTCATTTACATGGTTTAGTCAACACAGTCTACGTATGGCCTATTGGCAAATCATGACAGGCCTTGCTATGGGTTGTGCCCTCAGTTCCAAATGGACAGGTGGTTTGACATTCCCTGTGATATGGGCTTCCATTGGTATTGAAGCCTGGAACAAGATGTGTGAAAAACAAAACCAGGTCAAGACTGTGTTGAGACAAGTCTGTACGTTTGCTATTACCGTTGGATTATTACCATTAGGTGTTTATCTTGCCTTGTTTCATTTTCATTTCAGCTTGATACCCAAGGGTGGTGATCATGATTTACTACTAAGTTCAAAGTTACGTTATTCTTTAGAAGGCAATGCATTTGAAGCAAGTCAACCAGGTAAAAAAAAAAAAAAAAAAAAAAAAAGCTTTATATATATGAGGTTATTGACCAAGATGGATAGATATTGTTTTTGGTTCTCAAATTGTTATTAAACATGAAGGTACTGTGGGCGGATACATTCATTCTCATAAAAAACGATTTTCTGCTGGCAGTACACGTAAGTAAGCAACATATATGTGTGTGTATGCTTACATGCCTATTAGAACAAGAAGTGACTTTGTATCCTTATGTTGATCTGAACAATATCTGGACAGTTCATAAGACAAACGAATTATGGAATGGCACACAACCCTTTGAATTGATTCATAACAAGGACCAAATTCGTCTTGAACACTTTGCTTCTACACGTAAACTTCATTCGCATGATGTGCGTCCTCAACTGACAAACAAGAAAGAACACAATGAAGTGACGTAAGTTTCTTGTGGCCAATCGATGTATGTATCTTACCATTGAACAGAGCCTATGGTGACCGATTGATTCAAGATCCTCATGATTATTGGATTTTACATATTCTGGATGAAGAAGGATACCCCTCCAAAGATAAAAATTTGACTTGGAAGCCTCTTGAACAACGCTTTCGTTTACAACATATTCGTGGATGTGTCTTGATCAGTCATAATGTGCATTATGCTCCTCCTACAGGTGAAAATCACCAAGAGGTGACTTGTATGATCAGTGCGAATCCCAAACTATCCAACTGGATTGTTGAATCCTCTTTCCATGAATACCGTAAGTGCTTATTCTTTGAATGATCTTATATATCACCTATCTTAGTGGAACATGTGACACCTGTTGAATTTGGCAAGATGACCTTTTTAGAAAAGTTAAAACAAGTCCATGCATTAATGCTAGATTATCCTAATATCGTATATGATCGACTCAAGTCGGGCGGGAAGAGTGAAGGCGCTATCGTTCTCGCCAACTACCGCAATGAAGCACCCAGTAAATGGTTCTTGAAGCGAGCCACCATGCGTCTATGGGGTGAAATGGCTGGCCATGCTGTCTATATGGTACTTAACCCGATAGTTCAACGTATCATGTTGGCAATGATGGCAACCTATGTTGGTTTTTTGAGTCTTCACGCCTTTTTAGTTAAACGTCAAATGAAATTACCTTATGCTTTATCTTGGCTCTATGCATCAGGTAAGTCAATATCTCGGCGGACAAAAGCGATCTCATCGTAATTAGGCATGGATGTCGTTGTCCATGATTATTATACAAAATCTGTTGTGTTTTATTTCAGTGGTCTATTGATCCAATTCAGCTGCCTCAAGTTCTTTCCGAGTCATATGGTGTCTATGCCTGATATTCTCGGTGCTGTCTATTACGGTCTTGGTCTAACCAGTGTGATACTAGAGGCTTGTACTTGCCGTCTGCCTTCGTTTTGGCGTCGTACCTGTCTTTACGGACTTGTGTTCCTGTCTGTCATTCAATTCGCACACCTCTCTCATCTCAGTTATGGAGGCAAACCATGGTTCCAAAACGAATGTGAACAAGCAGACCTTGATATCGATTGTCTTTCATTCCCTCCTCATCCTACCGAATTACAGGAACTCATACTGCATAATGGTAACTCAACCACCATGACCGTTTATGTGGATTTAGTGGCTACAACACAAGCCTTCAAGTACAATTTGGGACAAGAGGCAGAGGCAGATAAACACATTGCTATTCTCAAACAAGCATCGTTCCTGAAAGAAGCACAACAAGCGACAGGCATGTACCGTTTCCATCGTGTGGTACAGACGCCTGTCATGTCTCCTGAAGAAGCAGGAAAATGGGCTAAAGACGTCTTGGAGGGTGCGAATCAAAGACAGGCAGAGGTGGCGCTTAAATTAGCAGAACAAGAACGCTTGAAGCAACAAGAAAAACAGACATAAAGTCGGATGTACTTGCAGACAAGATCAATGATTGCTTCTTTTAAACTCAGCTAGTGGTGCCTTTATAAAAAAAATACAATAAATTTTTTCTTTTCTTTTTTTTATCATCATCATTCTTCCATCATGACAGCCAAAGTGCAATCAGAACAAAAGACAGGTTGTTGGACGAAATGCTTGTTTGTGCTGTCTCTGTTGCTTGCCATTTGTATGGGTCTTGATCAAGTGATTCATCATTGCTACATCTTTGATCAACATAAACTTCAAGAAGTGGCTCAACGCAACATTGCCAAATATGGTCAAAACGATACGCGCGCCATGATCCAGAACATTGCCCTTGACTTAGAGAAAGAATACCCTGGCCATGTTTCCCTTAAGGAAGACTGGGTCTTTAACAATGCTGGTGGTGCTATGGGCGCTATGTGGATCTTGCACGGTTCTCTGTCTGAATATGTGATTATTTTCGGTACACCCATTGGTACAGAAGGTCACACAGGTCGTTATTTTGCAGATGATTACTTTATTATCTTGGAAGGTGAACAATGGGCTTATTATCCTGGTGAATTGCAACGCACTGTCTTTAAGCCTGGAGAAATGCATCATTTACCCCGTGGTTTAGCTCAACACTACAAGATTGATCAACATGCTTGGGCACTTGAATATGCTCGTGGCTGGATTCCTGCCATGTTGCCCTTTGGTTTCTTTGATAGTCTCTTTTCTACCATTGATGTGGTGACAATGTACCATACATTCCGTGTGTATGGTACTGCTATTATTAAAGAATTACTTCAAGGAAAGATCTAATAAATAAACTGTTTATTTCAAGCATCCTGTACATTGATATAAAACCGATTGATCCAGTCACGTACAAAAATACTGGCTTTAGCACAGCGTTTAGTAGACCATTTTCTGAAAAAGGCATCGTGTGTCACAGGCTGTGATAGATAATCCAACATACGCTCCACTGTGGCCTTGAGATCATCAGGAGCATAACCTGATAATTTCGTAAAACGGGGTGTCCATTTACCTTTGGCCAACATACGCTTCGATAGCCACAAAGCAGAAGCAGCAATCAGAGAGGGACGAGTACCGATAAACGAATGATCAATACAGGCTACTTCCATAAAATACTTGGCCAAGGTACGTGTATGAATATCACACTGCATTTCTTCAGTACAGACACGACGCAAGAAATTCAAAGGATTAGGATAACAAAGACGGAAATCGAGTACTTGAAGAATAAATCGCTCTGCTTTGATCAACTCATCTTCATTCACAGCATTGTCTGTCATGAACAAGAAGTCACGCAAAGGAGGTGTCGTGAGCTCTTCAAACTTGGCAGCAATAAAAAGAGCTGTAATACCCACTAATTGAAGTTTGCCTAGCACCACAGTACGTTTAGACAAGAATCGATCAATGATATTGACTGTCAGGAACAGTGTTTCAGGCAATAGACCAAATAGATAATGAATCTCAATGACCCAGTCAATCAAGACACTACGCATACCCCAAGTCACTTCATGTTGTTGGTGGTTAGCATAGTCAGGATTACCCATCATGGAAGGTTCAATGTCGTACAGATGACCAAAGATTTCACCTGCATATTCAGCAACTAGCATGGGATCATTCCATTGTCCTTCACAGAGGGATTGTGTGGTTTGAAGCATGGCTAATTTGGCTCTTTTTTCTTGTGCTGAATCGTATTGAATGGTTTCTTGATCAGCAGTGAATTCAAGGGGAGGTGCATCAGGTACAAATAATGGCCGTGAAGTGAATTTGGTCTTTTTGTTTTCTCTCTTTTCATCATCGTCGTTGTCTTCGAATGCTCGTTTTTGAGTTGTTTTGATATCTTTAATAAATAAATGCTTCATTCTAGTAGGCACAGCAATAGGCAAGACAGGTACAATAACCATTGTATCTTCAGGTTGGTAACGTGTTTGGTTATCATCAAAGAATTCTTGTATATGTGCTTTTTGTTGTGAGTCAAGGGTATCTTGGGGTTTATGTTTGATGTTCTAGCATAACATATGAGATGCATGTCCTTTTCTTTTGTATAGATTACTTTTAGTTTGGTATGTCTATTTGCATTGCTTTTATCAGAAAGAATAGGACGTGGTTTTAATGGTTCTCTTAAGAGTGGTTTGTTACTGCTCATCACAGTTTCTTCTTTAGCAACACTATTTTCCTATTTATCATCTATTTAGTTTATATGTTTATAGTTGTCAAACAACGTTACAAGTTGGTTCATTCTATACAAAGAAAAGAAAAAAGGGGGGGAAGGAAATTTAAAAAAAAAAAAAAATTTATTCATACACATCACGTCACGCAAAATAAAATAAAATAATAATAATAAAAAAAAAAAGACGCGACGCGTATTAGAAAAGGTTTTTTCGAGGATAAGAAGCATGTCGTTTGATAAAATTACGCCTTTTCCATAAATCACCATACTCTTCTTCTCCTTCTTCATTGTCATAGTAATAATTCTCTTGTGGTGAATAATAGTCATAAGGTTGGGTATAATACACTTCTTCAGATTCAGATTCAGATTCAGGTTCATAATGATATATTTGTGGTATTTCATTAAACCTCACTCTTTTCTTATGTGTTGGTTGAGGTGTCTTTTTTCTCTGTATTCGTTGTTCCAATTGAGGAGAAAGAAAAGGGGTGGGTTGTAATTGAACTGGTTTTCGTTTGATATGAGTAGGTGGGATCATCACTTGAGGTGGTGGTTGTGGTTGGTATCGATAATTTGCATTGACAATCGATTGTGCTGCTGCCATGACAGACATATAATTGGTCATATAAGGATTAGGTAATGGAGGCACATAATTATACATAGGCAACATAGTGGTAGGCTGTACTGGTTTAGGTAATATGTTTGTATAGACATCAATCGTACTGGATGCCTGAATAGGACAATCAGTCGGTTGATTGGGTTTGAATGCAATTCGAATAGCCAGTACATTATCCCATATCTCTTGAGGCATCTTTTTGAATTTAGAGGCAGGTTGATTTTCAATGCTTGGATCATGATTGCCTCTCAAGTCTAATACGATAATCTTGATGGTCTTATCGGGCCTTTCATCGGATATCTCTGGTAATTTCCCTTCTTGCTTTATGCCTGTCACTACAATTATGAGATGAGTGACCATATACACATAGTGTGTGTGTGTGTGTGTGTGTGTGTGTGTTCATGTTACCTATAATCACAGGTGGAATACCACTTGGTGTTGTTTGTCTTCTTATTTTAATATGGGGATCAGGTTTTGTAAGTGTACAATGAACATAGAGTAAGACAGGATCCCCTGGACCACAGATGGTGGAAGATTCAAAGTTGGTGAGATTAGTCGAATCCAGTTTGAGTAGATAAAAAGAAAAAAAAAATTATTTATTTATTTATTGAATGATGTAACTTAATGATAAGGAGTCCATGCTTGATATTGTGGTTTTAAATGCATAGGCATCCGATTAAATCCAACAGGTTGATTCTCTAACAAATCATCGCCTGTATTGGCTGCTTCTGCTGCAATATTCATGCGTGCTTTTAATGCTGCACTTCGCTTGTTGGACTGTTCTGTACCTTGATTTAAGAGTTGTTCATCTGTCATTTCTTGTTCAGGGGCAACAGCAAATCCAGTACGGTGTGTCTTTTGTGGTTCTCTGTCAGGCAATACAATACCACGACGAGCACGCGTACCTCTTCTCTTTCGTCTAGAATGCGATATCAGTGTCTTTCTATATGGTGTGTATTTGCTTACCTTGCTTCTCGCATACGATCCTTTTCCATCTTTTCAACTGCAGCATCTGATAATTCAATCACAGAAGGAGTAAATCGCTCTACTGCTTGATGATCACGAACAATATGAGTAAGATGAGGAAGAAAACTAGGTTTGATTTCATCATCAATCATAGAAGCACAGTTGAATTCATAACCCACAAGTAACAATGACTTGATATACACATGGATTTGTTCACGAATGGAATGAGCAATAGCCGTTCTATTCAGTCATCAATTATCACTTTTTTTTTTTTTTTGGTTACTTACTTGAATTCACCCCCTAAACCAAGATCTTTGACGAGTTTAGCTGCAAATTCTTCAGGTGAATTTTTAGGACAGCCAATATCCCATTCAAACTGATCTAAAAGTTCCCAATTGCCTACTGTAATATCGAGTTTGATGACTGTTCTTAGTTCAATGCCTTCTTCCTGGGGATATGAAATCAACTTTTCTGGTTGATGAATGGCATCTAACAATTCTTTTTGTTGCTGCTTATGTTCCTCTTCTTCTTTCTTAATCATACTAGAAGCATTCAGGTTATAATCATCTATTTGTTCTCTAATGGCCTTGGCTATCTGATCTGAAAAGATAGACACTGGTAATCTTAGATCCTCACACATCACATCGGCAAACTGTTCAGGCGTCACTAATGATTCTAGATAGACATCAATAACTACAAGTGATAAGGTGATTTTACCATTTAGATTCCATGTAAATGTGTCCCTTAATTTATAGCCTTCATGTTCTAATTCAATACGAATAGGTACTAATGTCTCTTCTTTGGTTGCTTGTTCTTTCAATGCTTCAAGTGAACTAACATAACGCATCAATCAAACACACAATCCTATCCAGACAACTTACAATCGAAAGCTTTCTCTTTTACGTTTCTTTTCATGAGGAAATCGTATTCTGCTCTGTGTGCCTGTCTTGCCATTCGCATAACCACGATACCCAGGTCCAAAAGCAGCAGCAGGGCCATGTTGCATACGCGTCCTTCTTTCCATACTGGCAAGTTCAATCGCTCTCTTTTTAGACTGAGCAAGTTCAATATGACGTTTATGTTGTAGATTCAGTGTGTCTTGATAGATGTCATCGCGTTCTTGGTATTGTTTCAGGTTTCGTTTTTGTCCTTCTGTTTCTACTAATATGGTTTTGGCTTCAGGTAATTTGGCTGGACTTGTGCTAGGCACAACAGAAGGCTGTGATAATCGTGGTCTATTAGGTACCATAGGGGTAGGTCTCATCATGCCTAACCGTTGTTTCTGTAACAAGAGTTGTTTCTCATCCCATGGCTGTCCAGTTCTTTGTTTTTGTTGCATCATACTGGCCAGTCTTTGTTGTTGCTGTTGTATTTGCAACTGTTGGTACTGTAGTTGAGTGAGATTAGGCTGCATAGGACTTGAAAAAAAAAAGAAATAACAGACTTTTTCTATATATATATATATAGCTACAATGAGCCAATCAAATTCAACATAAAAGAGTTGTTCTTATACAGGAGAGCATAAAGACTGAGTCGTCACTTTCCAAACTCCTTTGGTGGTAGAAGCGCGTGCTCTTTAGTAGCAAAAAAAAATTAATTTTTTTTGACAGCGCTTGTTTCTCCTCTCTTTCGCTTTTTTTCTTTTCTTTTCTTTTTTTCATCTTCCTCTGTATACAATGGTAAGTGATGAAGAAAAAAACAGACCTTATGAACCAACGATGTATATAGTCTTTAGCCCCTGTCAACATTTTCCAGGATCAAGCAACTGAAGAAAGAGCTGAAAATGCTCGTTTGGTAAGTCCATAAACATCATCATCTAGTCAACAGACATACTCATCAGTTTGTCACAAGTCTTCTTTTATCGGTGCTATTGCAGTCGGTGACCTTGTCAAGAGTACATTAGGTCCTAAAGGCATGGTAAGTTAACAAGAAACGCGTGTCTGATAGATAACTGATTCTGTTCTCAGGACAAGATCCTTCAATCAGCCAGTACAGGTGAGATCTTGGTTACAAATGATGGTGCCACTATCCTTAAATCGATTGCACTCGATAACGCAGCTGCCAAGGTCCTTGTGAACATCTCCAAAGTACAAGACGATGAAGTAGGTGACGGTACTACCTCGGTCTGTGTGTTGGCTGCTGAACTCTTGCGTGAAGCAGAACACTTGGTCAACCAACACATTCATCCTCAAACGATCATTGAAGGTTACCGCCTTGCTTCTGCTGCTGCTTACAAGACATTGGAACAAAGTGCTATTGATCACAGTGCAGACCAAACTCTTTTCCGTCAAGATTTGATCAATATTGCCAAAACAACACTTAGTTCCAAAGTCTTGTCTCAAGATAAAGAATATTTTGCTGAATTGGCTGTGGATGCTGTCCTTCGTCTCAAGGGTTCTACTAACCTGGAGAACATTCAGATCATCAAGAAGCCTGGTGGAAAATTAATGGATTCTTATTTAGATGAAGGTAAGAAAAGAAACGAGTCGCAAATGAAGCTTACGCTATGTTTAGGCTTTATTTTGGACAAAAAGATCGGTGTCAACTGTCCTAAACGTATTGAAAACGCTAATATTTTGATTGCCAATACATGTAAGTCTATGAAGAGAGAGAAAGCAGTCAAATTGATCTCCTCTATTTCAATTAGCCATGGACACAGACAAGATCAAGATCTTTGGTGCTCGTGTCCGTGTTGATGCCACTGGTAAGCTTGCTGAACTTGAGCGTGCTGAACGTGACAAGATGAAGGAAAAGGTTGAAAAGATCAAGAACCACGGTATCAACTGTTTCGTGAACCGTCAATTGATCTACAACTGGCCTGAACAGTTATTGGCTGATGCTGGTATTGCCACCATTGAACATGCTGATTTTGAAGGTGTTGAGCGTCTTGCCCTTGTCACAGGAGGTGAGATTGCCTCTACATTTGATCATCCTGAACTTGTCAAGTTGGGTCACTGTGACTTGATTGAAGAGATCATTATTGGTGAAGACAAATTGATCAAGTTCTCTGGTGTTGCTGCTGGTGAAGCATGTACCATTGTGTTGCGTGGTGCTACACAACAATTGTTGGATGAAGCTGAACGATCTCTTCATGATGCTCTTTCTGTTCTTTCACAGACTGTATGTGAACCCCGTACTGTTCTCGGTGGTGGTTGTTCTGAGATGTTAATGTCTAAAGCTGTTGATGAAGTGGCTTCCAAGACTGCTGGTAAGCGTGCTATTGCTGCTGAATCTTTCTCCAAAGCCTTGCGTCAAATGCCTACCATCTTGGCTGACAATGCTGGTTTTGATTCATCTGAACTTGTTTCTCAATTAAGAGCTGCTCATTATGATGGTCAATCTACCAGTGGTTTAGATATGGTGAATGGTGTTGTTGCTGACGTGAGAGAATTGGGTATTACTGAATCATACAAGCTTAAGAAACAAGTTCTTTTATCTGCTTCTGAAGCTGCTGAAATGATTTTGAGAGTGGATAATATCATTCGTTGTGCTCCTCGGTAAGTTTAACCACATTTGTTTACATATCACTGATCTTTATTTACAGTCAACGACAAGGCTAAAAAAAAAAAAAAATGAAAAGTTACATACTATATACACCATCATCTATATATATTCATTAAACTTATATTCTTTAAACTATATGTTGCATCATTCGTCTTTCCGCTGCTCCGATATTTCATGCTTTAGTGTTGTCCCCCCCCCCCACTTCTTATATGACTATATATACAGGGTTCGTATACTAAACCATTCAGATTAGTGCTGTTTTGATACCATGATGATAAGAAACTTAAACTTCCCCCCTGTGATCATTCATTCTTTAATAAACTCTAATTATATTCTATATCAGCTTCAAAGACCGGTTTAAACTCTAAATATCAAACCTCCAAAACAGAAAAGCTCTTTCGGTACTTCAATTCATAGTCACAGCATGATCTAATTGTAAGCTTGCATCCTAAACAGTGCCAAAATAGGTGAAACGCTAAAACATCAGGTCCCCTTAACTTTAGAGGATTGATGAACGGCAAGTGTTAGATCTTCACGTGGGTCACTTTAGCATCACAAGAGAGACTGGAGTAATCTTGTATTACAGCACCACCTTCCATTATCAATCCATAAACTGTTGATATTCAGCCCAACAAGTTTTGATGATAAATCAAGGTTGAAGGTATCGACATTCTACTAACAAGGCTTCAAAGTAGGGAAAGTATGTGTCTGTGTTAAATGAGCCAAAGAATTGCTTCAAGCTATTAAGGTTTTTCATGTTGGTTATATCAACAAGAATCCAGTCCTTGAATACTTGTATACAAAAAGATCGTCGATCTGCTAAGTATGCTTGGAGACTGTGGTAGATGTCGAAGTTAATTCTAAAGAAAATGCTCTTACAAAAGTGATCATTTTGTATTTGAACTCAGTGTTTATATCATCGGCATAATGTTGAAGAATATCAATTTTAAAGGAAACACTTTTCTCTGCTGTGGAATTGTGCTTGACCGAAAGGTGACCAAGGTTCCGTCTGTCGAAGGACTTGAAATCAGACAAGTTGCTAGCACAACTTGGTAGTGGAGGACTTGCTTGTTATCCTTGCAATGACCAACTCCCCTGTATTATGGTAGGGTTTACACTGTTGCTTTACGCCCAGTGATCCTCTCTGCTAACATTGCCACCTTATTATCTTATTTTTTGAAAAAGCAAAAGGGTTCCTCGCATTTAAAAGAAGTTATTATAAGTATATTAGCGCATTGTAACAAAACCTTATATCTACAGTAGATGTCTTTGAGATTTAGTAGGTAGTTCTCAACACCTTATGATTATTTCTCATACTGGCTCTCATTATCTGCAGCCCTCAAGTCAAGAAGGCATCATTTCTTTTGCTTATAGTCGGAAATAAACAGCTATGTAAAAATCTAAAGATACCATTAATATTTATAAAGTGATTTTGTTGGTAATTGGTTTTGATTCATGACCTTAATTAACTCCATAAAAGATAAGGTTTTTAAAGTTTAAGAAAGTGTATATGTAAATATGTTTTTGAATAATAAGCAAGGAAACCAGTAGAAATGAGCTGCTATTTTGAAGCAGTAAAATCATTAGAATTTTAAGTACCATTGATAATAAGATACTCATATTCCTTTATTATGGTATCAAAAAAAAAAAAAAAAAAAAAAAAAGAAAGAAACAAAGAAAGAAAAAGGGTTCGATTGTTACTGTGAAAAAGTTATTATTTTAAGTTCTTGATACCCAGGCATATATTCGCCTTTTATTTTGAGGGCACAACCTTTCTCAAGTGAGCTGACTATAGACCGTTGGAAAAGACACAAAAACAGTAGAGAAAGAGAGAAAAGAAAAGTAACTGGACTTGATTCAGTTTCTTTTTGGCTGAATCATGGAGACAATTAAATTAACAATCGGTCTTTGTAAACTTGATTTAATTGAATTTGATTCCAAGCAAAAACAAGCTTAATTCTTTTTTGTTAAGGTAATGAGTGGTGATATCTAACATGGATCAAATCACTGCAGAAGCAACAAAACATGTTCGAAAGTCATGAAACAAGGGAAGACTTGGGTTTTAAATACTAGAAATAAGCTCTTGAAGAGATGCTTTAAAATAGGGTGGCGTAACACTTACGTTTGCGCCTCTTCCATGGGGAGTGGCGTTTGTCAATGTGTATAGTATTAAATGAATCTGTCAAGTGTAATTTATGAAATAACAATAGATACCATGAAGGAAATGACATCAAATTTATCTGAGATACCATATATATATATATAGATGGGCGGGTATTTATCACTCTGGTTTTTACTTTTTTATTTGGCTCCATAAAATATATATATATATACATTTAGCAAATACAAGTTTAAATAACTTCTAACCGTAAATAAAGCCTATCTTTGTCTTGATCATACTGATATGTACAATCAAATAACAAAGAAAACCTGTCCCTCCTTATATTTCTTCACTGATAAACATCAAGTGGGATGATAGAAATCAAATTTGTACATTTTTGGGGAGATAAGTCGTGATCTCATTTTAGGATATTATTCTTAATTGCACCAATGTCCCAGCACAATAGCGGAGTCTGGCAAAGTGACCCATCTACGTAATTTTAGTCTTATCTTTTCCTTTATCCGAATGATATTTCGGCATCTGAATATCTCCAAATGGAGTAGTTTGCTGGTTTGGGTGTCAGGTACCTTGTGACTGAGTTTCATTCGAAACTCATATAAATATCAGAAATGAATCAACAATTGACATTTTGTCAAATTTTTTTTATCATAATTTATTTATATATTTATTTGTACATACAATCATAAAGAAAGAAAAAAAAATGGATCTTATTAACAAAGGTGTTCAACTCATTCGTCGATCGACATTAACAAAGAAGCATCAACGCTCACATAGTCAAGAATCAAATACTTCAACTTCATCATCTTCACCTACTTTATCAAAGACACCTAGCATTACTAGTAGCATCACAAGCGACGAAGGCAGCTGTTATTCAGGTAAATACCTATTTTAGAAAACAATTTTTTTTTTTTTTTTTTTTACTTATCAATATATAGCTGGCACTAGTAGTATAATGACACCAGGACAAACATCAAGAAAGAACTCATCATCACATTCTCTAAATCTCCCTTCTTCCATGATGTTCACTCCGATGAACAATGGCACAGACAGTCATCATCATTCACCACCTCATTCACCTGTAAATAACAATAAAAAAGGTATTCTATTGACAGTTGTTTCCTTTTTGAGCGATATACTCATTGTCTTTAGCTCCTATACCCATCATTCAGAAAAGCACTCATTTTGACAACCATGAACAACAAGAGCCCATTGTGCCAAAGAGCGCTGTGCCGGACTATCTTTCTTCTTCACCTACGCATGCTTCTCCCTTATCTCCTTTACCTCCACAAGGTGAACAACAAGTTGATAGCTATTTTAGTCTTGATCTAAAGTCCGAGAGCACAGCTGCTGCTCCTGCTCCTCCTGCTTCAACTTTATCTGTTCCCGATCAAACTAGTCAAGACTCCGTTACAATTCCTCCCCGCTCACCAACTAAATCTCATTTCACTCCACGACCAGTCCACGTGACACGAGTAAGCACCCATGCTGTACCTCGTGCAAGATCATCCAATACAAAGCAACGTCGTCAAAAGCACAGAAAATTAAGATTAGACGATTTTGTCCTTAAACGTACTGTTGGCACAGGTTCCTTTGGTCGTGTCCATTTGGCTCAAAGTAAAGTCAATGGCAAGCACTACGCTATCAAGGCACTTGACAAATACGATATTGTCCGATTAAAACAAGTGGAGCATATCAACAATGAACCTACCATTTTGAGAGAAATTTCTCATCCTTTTTTGGTTACTTTATGGGATGCTTTCCAGGACGATACACACCTGTTTATGGTCATGGACTATGTACCTGGTGGTGAGCTGTTTAGCATGTTGCGCAAAGAAAAGAAATTCTCGGAACAGACAGCTAAATTTTACGCAGCTGAAGTCTTGTTGGCCTTGGCTTATCTTCACGAAAACGGCATTGTCTATCGTGACTTGAAGCCTGAAAATATCTTGATTGATGCTCGTGGTCATGTCAAGTTGACTGATTTTGGTTTTGCTAAACGTGTGGACGACATGACTTGGACTGTCTGTGGTACGCCTGATTATTTAGCACCAGAAATCATTCTTTCTAAAGGCTATACAAAGGCTGTTGACTGGTGGGGTCTTGGTGTCTTGATCTTTGAAATGGTGGTGGGCCGTGCCCCTTTTATCGATAAGAATCCCGTGAATCTGTATCAAAAGATTCTCGAATGCCGCATTGATTGGCCTGAAGACATGAGTCCTGAACTCAAGGATCTGCTTCAGAATTTACTCACCAATGATATCGAAGGACGTTTCACAAGTGAAGAAATCAAGACACATGCATGGTTTAAAGACACTAGTTTTGAACAAGTCGTCAAGCGTAAAAACAAGCCTCCGTTTGTACCCAAGGTCAAAGATGATGGAGATACAAATTGCTTTGCAAAGTACAAAGAACCTGTTCATCTTTATGGCCATATTCGTGGTGATATCTTTAGCTCTAAGTTTCCTGCTTTTTAAGCAGCCTTGTAAATATATATATTTAATCGATAATAATAATAATAAAAGAGGAAAAACACACTAAATCTTGGTATGTTTTCTGATGTCGACATGCATAATATTCTCTATTTACCAAAACATTGCAAGTAACTATATATCCTGGTTTCTCAAAGCAGTCTATATTGAAATTCATTTTTAGGGAGACACCCTTGAGAGAAAAACTTTTTGATAATAATGTGCTTTGTGAATGCAATCATTTACGTCAATGGTTTTGCATAGTTGATATAAGCAGGAGTCGAAAAAAAAAAAAAACTCATTTTGCATATTTGGGCTTATCTTTCTTGTTTTGTAAAAAAAAAAAAATATTGCGGTACATCTGTTTTTCCCTTTCTTCTTCTAACTGATTTTAGAAGAAATGCTAACGTTAATTTGTTTTTCGGTTGATAAAAGCATTCCATTGTCATTATTTTAAAAAGCGAAAATACAGACTCGCTTCTTTTTTTGTTTTGTTTTTTTTCGTTTTGTATGAGACGAAAAAACACGGTTTTATTCTTGACTATGGTTCAGTTTGATGTTTTTATTTATCACTGGTCGCGTTTAAGTTTTTTTTTAATACAAACACAACATTGTATTATTCCTTCGTGCTACGTCAATGATCTCATCGTCATCAAGGCACATAATAACCGCTTAATCATCCTGTTATGAGATTTGTTTCTTAAACAAGTTATTTCCATTCACTGCGATTTCCCGAGAAATCGGTTTTATACTGCTCTTATCAAAGCAAATAGCTCTTTGAGTGTTAAACCATTTACTTACAATCCATGTTTAGCAAAAAAAAAAAAAAAAAAAAAAAAAAAGTTTTGTATTTATGTGTATGCTTTAAATACAACATGACTACAGTACGTTTCTTTTTCTCAATTGAATCGAATGAAAGAGAGTCTTTATGTTTCATGTCTAATTCAGAGAGATACATATTGTTTCCTCGATCACATAGCGTAGTAAAAAAAAAAAAAAAAAAATAATGCTTGACCATGTCTAAGCCCACCTTCCGAAAAAAAAAAAAAAAAAAAAAAAAAAAAAAGTTTTGTATTTTTTTCCACTCATGGATCCTATACGATCACCATCTGATTCAAGCGAGGATGAACATGACTTTCAGAAACCCATCGTGATTCCTTTTGACAACCTTAATTCAAGAAAAAGACATCATGCTGAAGTAGACACAAGTAATGATCTAGAAGAAGAAGAAGCAGATCATGAAGTAGACATTTGCACCCTCTGTCAAACGTCATGGACCAATGGAGGATTTCATCGTATAGTCAACTTAAAGTGTGGACATGTGTTTGGCAAGAGGTAATATCTTATTTCTTGTGAGTTCTCTCATGAGAAATTCATCTTTAGATTAGTTGTATTAGTACGCATATACGTGATATGCTATCGAAATTTGGTGCTGCTTGTTGTCCTATATGCAAGTAAGTGCTTCCTCATCAACATGTCTTGGATTGATTCCCTAGACTAGAAAACCTGCTGTAAAGTCAGAACCAAGACATATTTGGCCAACAAAATTGATACCCGAGAACCAAGAAGATCTAAAATCACTTAAATCACAAATAGAAGAAGCCAGCAAGACACTCAAAGATCTTGTACAGAAAAATGCTATTTTGAAAGGCGAGATTGAAAAATGTAAACTAGAATTAAATTCACTTGTGCCTGAAAATGGCATACAGCACACCACTAGACCACTTGCACCTCCACCCAGTATACCACAACAACAAGATAAACTGATATACAAGTACAAAGTTAAATTTCCAAATGAAGTAAACTATCTTGTATATATGTATGTACAAACACAATTAACCAAATCCATAGCATTATCAAGTTGTAGATTTGAATCCCTTTATGGACATGGTTGTCCTTGCTACACATAAGACTCGAAGTAATACATATGGACTACGAAAAATCAATGTCTATGATCCTTCATTAACTGAATTTGTGTCTATAAACCATCGAGACAGAATACGGGATATAAAGCATTCACCGCAAGCCATGATTCTTTCCACAGGCGATGACAAGACACTTAAACTGACCTCAATGACTAAAAACTTGGTTGTGCAATCCTATAGACTTAGCACACCTTGTTATTCATGCGCATTTGATAGCAAAACAAGCCATACGCTTTATTGTGGTTCAGTGACCGGTGATTTAATGGTATTTGACATACGTAACACAAAGAGTAGTTTGCATGTGTTAAAAAAGCCTATGGGAGGAACTGTTACACCAATCACCTCAATTCACTCAACATTAGATGCTATTGTCTGTGCAGATGAACAGAGCATCTATAGTTGGCAGCTTGGATCAGATGGTCAGTACGCCTATTGTCCCTTAGAACACAATCCACAGTTATTTTCAGCGAGTTTCTATGGTAACACGGTCTGTACGGCAGCCAAAGACAATAACAGTAAGATTTACATGAGTCATTTGAATGCTTCCCCTGCTTTAATCAATGTCTTGGACTGGTCTTGTGAAATGATGTTTGATTCTTTTAAATGCTCTCATTTTGAAAAAGGAAGTACTATTTATATCTGTTCTACAAAAGATAATTGGGTAAGTCTAATCATCTTTTTATGCCTTGTCTAATCACTTAACAAAGGTGCATTTAAGAGATAAGGAACAAGACATTCAAACTGTGCAATGCGATGCCCCTATTATTGATATCAAACATACAAGTATTCAACAAGATCAATTTACTGCCATATTGTCAGAAAAAGAGTTGCAAATGTACAAATTTATTTAAAATTCATTATGTATATCCAATCAAGTCAATTGAATGCCTGAATACAAACTGGGTTTATTGTGTATGTGTCACTTATAAGTGCAACTTGAGACATATAAATATTTTGTTTTGTTTTTTTCTGCATTTTACTCTTGTTACTTTTATTTGAATGGAAACATATTATTCTACATTTCTACAGAGATTCAATCGATTTGAAAAATCAGATAAAGTTGTCTCGATTCTCGGTACTGTGGCAGCAACTGGTCTTGCTACTTATTGTATTAAGAAAGCTATCAAGAGACACCATGCTAAACAACTCGCGTCAGCTAAATCTGTCTTTGGCGAAATCCCTACACCTGAAGGTGCTTATTATTATCTAGGTCATATTCCATTGCTAGGAAAAGTGCCTGCCTTCAAAATTACTGAATGGCATCAGAAATTAGGTCCTATCCTACGAATCAAAATGGGTGTACAAGAATGGGTGTTTATCAGTGAACCAAATACAGCACATGAGTTCTTTGTTGCACAAGGTGCCCATACTTCTGGAAGACCCTATATGACTTGGGGTAATGGTATTCTTGGAGAAGGAGAAAGGTAAAGCATAGAAAGGAGGAAAGACTTATTCATATGATCTAGAGGTGTTGTATTTGTTAACTATGGCAAGCAATGGAAAAATGCACGTACAGCCATTCTGGATGTTCTGTCACCTAAATCTGTGGACGGATTTCACGAGCTCTTACAAGGTGAAGCGGAACATTTGGTCAACACCTTGATTGAACAAACAGAGCGTTTTGGTAAAGTGGATCCTATTACTTTTGTGCGTTGTTCTTCTGTCAATATCATTTTGGCTGCTGCATTTGGTATTTCTGGCGTCAAGTCTGCTGATGACCCCTTGTACAAGCAGATTATTTACATTATGGAAACAGGTCTTGAGTTTGCTAATGTTGTCAATGATCCTGGATCTTTTTTCCCTATCTTGTCCTTCTTGGATATTTTCTTTAGACGTGAACGTGCCATGAGAAAGTACAGAGACACAACAGTCTTTCCCCTTCTTGTCAAATTGGTTCAAGCTGCTCGAGAAAGTAAGAACAACAGTTTAGTCAAAAAGTTAGATTTGATCAAGGAGGAATTTGGCCTTGATGAACAAAACATTTTGGTGCTGATGAGTAAGAAAGGCATGATATTAGATGGACTATTTTAACATTGAATTAGGCGAGTTGCTTGTCGCTGGCTCTGATACGGTTGCTGCTTCTACTTTATGGACATTTTCTATTTTATGTAACCACCCTCAAGTCCAGAAAAAACTTCAGGATGAAGTGGATACCTTCATCAACCGACATGGGCGTATTCCTACCTTTGCTGATCGTCTTGAACTCCCTTACTTCATCGCATTTCAAAAGGAGTGCTTGCGTTTCAGGCCTCCTGCCTTGTTCAATATTCCTCGAAAAGCAAGCAAGGATGGTAAGATGATAAAATCTAAGCTATTCGTTTAACGCCTATGGTTAGTTGTCTACAAAAATTATATCATTCCAAAGGGCACTGTGTTGCTCAGTAATATTCATACACTTCACAATGATAGCAACACTTATCCTGAACCTGAAAAATTTATTCCTGAACGCTTCTTGGGCGATTCAAGATCTATTTATGCCTGTAGTAACGGTAATATTCAAAACCGAGACCAATTTGTGTTTGGTTGGGGCAGACGTATGTGTCCTGGTATTTACTTGGTAAGGTCTTAAATGACAGAGACAATCGCTGACATATATTAGGCTGAAAATGAACTGTTCAATACAATGACAAGAGTTATGGCTCGCTGTGAAATTAAGCCTGTTCTTTCACAAGATGGTACTGAACTTTATCCTGACTTGGATGATCTGCATGATGGAGGTGCTACTGTTCAACCTAATCCATACAATATTCGCTTCGCTCAACGTGAAAATCGCTTGGTTGTGTAATAGATACATAAAAAAAAGCCTCTTTATGCTGATTAATCAAACTTGGCCTCTTCACTTTCACTTTTTAGGTAATTTTAAAGCTCAACCGTGTGACAATTTCAAAATGCATAAACTCGGAGTCAACAATTCAAATAAACTATATGAAAGAAAAAGTTGATTGCCTTGATGCCTCTGAGTATGTCAGTATCTACTTGTATTTGAGGAAAAAGACAGCCACTTTGAATGGTAGTGCTTGTTAATACCGAGAATGAGAACATATTGTGTTTCCATTTTTTTAAAGTACGACGACAACATTGACCATTTTATGACTACACCATTACGTTTTTGGGTTTACTAGCTATATAAATTTATATTTTCCTTTTTGTTCCTTTTTTTTACTTTTATTTTATCCAAACTTGCATTAACATGTCTTCTTTTAAACCTACTATTCCTAACAAACCTGAAACATTCTCTCTTGTTGTGCCCGGGCTTAGTCCTGCTGCAGCTTCATTATCTGAGCAACTCTTGGTTCAAAACAATGAAAGGTTTCACATCTTCTTCAATGATAAAAAATTTCACAAGTAGCGTATTCCATATGTACATAGCATTATATACTCATAACGATACAGTCACTTGATTCATCACCTTTTAGCTGCTTACTCTTTTGGCGCCACCAAGGAAAGAATTCAAGAAATCTTTGATTTTCATGCTAAAGACCAACGCCCTTTGCCTCCTTCCATTGGTGAAATCACTCGAGATAACTACAAACAACATCTTGGGGATGCCGCTGCCTACACTAGCTTCTTAAATTTCTTCAAGCTTGAAATTGATAGATTTGGCATGCTCGAAACTGTCCGTCGTTTTGTCTGGAGCAACGACTTCTTGGCTCGTACTGTAGGTGGCTTATATCATCCTTTGATTCATATTGGTTATGGTCTTGAGTTTGATATTCCCGGTATTGTTGCTGAAGGATTATCCATGGCTGCTTTAACAGAACCTTACTTTACACCTGTGATTCCACATCAACCTGAATTGAACCGATCCAATTTACTTCCAAGCCAAGCTCAATCCTTAGCTGAAAATGCACATACGGTTGCCCGAGGCTATGTCAGTCAAGCCTTTGACCAAATTACAAGCCAGCTGGCTACGCGTTTAGGCATTGCTGATGAAAAGACAACTTCTACAGCTCATCAGGATCGCTCTGTTGACGTGGATGATAACCATGGTCCTGATTACATGAAGAACAATTCTCTGTTTGCCATCTTCAATCATATTCAAAAAGATCCCGTCTTTGACAACTTGGTCAAGTCTACAGACGATAATAAGTTCAAGATTATTCTTGCTAATGAAAAAGCCGTTGAACGCGTCAAGCATTATGTGAAGCAATGGGGATTGAACGAGAACACAAAGAACATTCAAGCCAAATTCAAGGAATTGTACAGTGTAGCAGCTATCTTGACGGGTGCCGCCGGTGTTCGTAAAGACTATCCTGGTGTCTTACGACTCAGCTTCTTTTTGGTCCATGTCTTGACTTCAACCGAGTTTGTTCATCAATTTATTTCAAGAGTAGCACCTTCTGAAGCAGTGGCTTTATTACAGGCACATCTTGCAGAGACAATCATCTATTATGTGGCAGAAGGAAGACCTGAATTCTATCTTGAGGGTTTGATTGACTACAAGCCTTCGGTTCATACAGACTCTAGTCAAAACCAATGGCTTCCTGTACTCGACAAAGCATTGGAACGTAAAGAAGCTCATGTTATCAAAGCTGTTCGTTCTTGCGCTGTTGCTCAAGTGATGTACGGTCCTCACGGTGATCCTAATCTTGACTTAATCTGGCTTCGAGTAGCTCAAATGGCCGTTGATGTAGATGGTAATTGGGACTTTGATGGTGTAGGATTCGATGATACTTGGAAACAAAAAGCTTAATGATAAATAAACGTATTCTTGAACATCCTTCTTTTTATTTAAGACTGTATCATATGGCTTTCACTCCAGCCATTTCCACTAAATGATTCTGATGTCAGACTGGTATCAAGAAGCTGTTGCTCTGGGGATAGGAATTTCAGACTTGGACCTGACGATTTGAGTCTTAATTCTTTTTTCACTGTATCTTTTGTCGATTTTTTCTTTTTATGTGTGCCTGTAATGGACGATCCAGACTTGATACTGTTATGAAACACAGGATGTGATTGTCGTTCAATACCCAAATTCTCTGCATTGGTGCCTAACCTTGGAATACGCACATAGGCATCTGTGCCATAGCCATCCATCGTCAGCACCTGTAATTCTCCACCCCAATATTCCGCATAGACTCGACTCATTGTTAACCCAACACCCAAGTGACGGTGTCTCATTTCAGACGCTTGACTTGCTCGTTCATCAATAGAAGCAGGTAGTTTTTGCACTTGTTTGAAATTTTTGAAATCGCCTACTTGTGCGCGTGATTGATAAGACCATAAACAGTCGTAACGTTCTTTTGCCATGCCTCCACCTTGATCAGACACTCTGAAATACACATCTGAATCATTGGCACTCACAGTCACTTGAATGGGTGGGTAGTTGCCACTAGGGTGTTTTTGCATTGTAAATCGGACGGCATTATCTAATAATTCATACAGGATATGTTCTAATTGTTCAGGTACCTTTTTTTTTTTGCAACTAAGTCAATCGATCCTAAACATGAAGAAAGATATACACTTACATAAGCAAAAAGGATCTCATCTTTAGAGTGTTTGGCTACAAATCCGTTATGCTGAATATGAACTTGAATAGGTGGTACATCGTTAGATTGCTCTTGGTATCGATGCACATGCTGATAGACTAAATTCTTGGATCGTTCTACAATCTGGCTCGCTGAGCAATGAACAAAAATAATGCCTACATAACCATCACCAAACCCAGTGTGGTGATCCCAATCATGTTCACATGCTTCTGCTAGTGCAATATGTTGTTCAGCCAAAATTCGCCTTGACACTCTGGATCGAAGCATACGACTTAGAAACAGATCCAAATCCTTTTTTTCAGGCGGGTAATAAGCTGCACTCTCACTTAATCCCTGAGCTAGTCGTGGCAAGACTAAAAGACCATCTTCTAACAAGTTCCTTAGCAGGTCGCAAAAGCGCGTGTTGTCATTGTGTGTTGCAATAGGAGGGAAGGTACGCAATGATTCAAATGCACCCCAATAGAGTTTATAGACATACTCAATGTGAGGATTTGTGCCCACAAAAAAGGGGAGTTGTTGGAAATCACGAATACGGTGGGCAAGGCGGACCAAGAGTTCGTTGCGTACCCAGTTGGCTGACTTGAGTAAGCGATCCGTATTCATTTGTCGACCAAAAAAGATAAACTGACGTAACGTACTTGGGTTAACAGGTTGGGCTATGTATTCGTCCAAGACTTTGTTTTGATAAAAGTGGTAAGGTGAGTTGGATTGAATAGAGTCTAAGCGTGCAGTTCGAGGTGCTTCTGTCTTGGAAGGAATGATGGGTGTCTGACTAAAGACCCTTTTTTGTATACTTAGATGAAGAGCGCGTTTGTTGATAATACACAGGTGACGAGATAATCTTCTTAGGGACATGATAGTATAAAGAAAGAAAGAGAGAGAGAAGTGAAAGAAGAACAAGAGAAAGGTTTAAAAAAAATACCGGATTTTACAGCTTGAGTCATCGCTTGATAGACGAATTTCATTTGAAGATACCTTGCATGGTGTTACAAAAATAGGATGATTCTTTCTTTATGTAGTAACTGTTTTAACTTGGTAGTCAACCAATCAATTTCATGCAAACTCAAACGAAACATCATTGTAAGTTAGTTTCTGTTTCAACAATATATTCAATGAAGAAGCAAAAGTTATAAATGAACTTTTTACATTTGAAAAGGGCCATTTACGTCATAATATTGCCTGACAAAAGAAGTTTAAATGATCTGACATTTTTCTATCTTAATGACAAAATGCGTGTAATTTTTTAATGTAGATCCGATTGATATGTGTGCACTCTTCATTAAACTCCAATGATTCCTGAAAAAAAAAAAAAAAAAAGATCAATTACTACTAGAATCCAGTGCCTATGTCATTTTAAATATCAATTCAGCTCTATTCTATGGTATCACCAACACTCATTGACCCTGGATAAATGATCAGGCAGTGACTGCTCAATTTGGCAAGTTAAGAAACAAAAAACTTTGATCTCATAGTTTAATTCCTTTTATACTTTAATATGCCTCGCCAAGTAAGTATACAATGACACATGATGAATTCCCGCTCATGTACTGCCTATAGACCAGACGTTCTGCTCCTGCTCAACAAACCCGTCAAGCACACACCATGCCTGCTCGTCAAGCACCTCCCCCACCTGCTCCTAAGCCTGTTCAACAAGCTCCTGCTCCTCAACAACACGCCATGACTCCTGCTCCTGCTGCTGCTCCCCCTGCTCTTGCTCAAGCTGCTCCTCAACAACCTGGCTTGTTTGCTCAAAGTAATTTTAGACATTACATAAAATTCAGGGGTTAATCTTTTTTTTTTTTAATTAGTGGCCACAACTGCTGCTGGTGTTGCTGTTGGTTCTGCTGTTGGTCACACTTTGGTAAGACAATAGAGTTGTATAAATTCATGTTTAATTCGTTGAATAGGCCAATGGTGTCTCCTCCATCTTTAGCGGTAGTTCTTCTGAACCCGAACAACCTCAACAACCTCAACAACCTCAATATCAACCTCAACAATATCAACAACAATATCAAGCTCCTCAAGGCAATGCTTGTGAAGCTGATGCTAAGGCTTTCACTAGCTGTCTTGAAGCTAACAACAATGATTTCGGTGCCTGTCAATGGTACCTTGAAGCCCTTAAATCTTGTCAACAAATGGCTTCTAGATATTAAACACATAGAATAGAATAAAATAAAATAAAATAAAAAAACATTTTATAATACAATGGCAAGTTTTTCATTTTCTTCATATTTTTTTTTCTTAAGCCTTGCTCAATTCCAAATTAGCCAAAATATCTTCACAACGATTAATATTACGCAAGAACCAGTCACCATAACGACGACCCACTTTGCTTTCTGCGATATGAACCACATCTTGCTTTAAACAGAAATCAAGGTCTGAAGTAGGCAAATATTCACCTTCCAAAAGATTACCACTGACCCACTTGTATTGACGAGATTTTTGCTTAAAGATCAATAATTGCGTCTTGAGTTCTTCAGAATCAACCTCCAAAAACTTGGCCAATTTGTCAATACCCATAGAAGTATAGAGTTTCATGAATGAACGAAGTGTGGGGAGATGAATTTGGTTCTTGATATCAGACATGAATACCTTGAGTTGGTTTTGGTGAGGATCAACACCCTTTCCGGTAGGCGAAAGGAATTTGGGACAAGCGAATTGGAACAAGTCAATATACACAGGAAGGGATTCTTCACCCTTTTGCATCTTGAAAAGTTGTTCACCGTATTTTTCACGGAGCTGAGAGTGAATGTTTTCATCTAATCTGGTAGGGCAAAGAGCAATACAGATAGCCAAAAGAGCATACATTTGATCTCCTTTCTTGGCAATTTGGTCAAATTGGTAAGAACGAGAGTGGTATTGCTTTGTTCTTTGGATAAAAGACAAGACAGTAGAGAATGCCTTGATAGCATCAGCATATCGACGAAGCATCATGTAAGCAAAACCAACATAATAGTAAGTAGTGACATGACAAGCTGTGACACGGGCAAACATAGCCTTCTTGTTCAACACAATGTTATCCATCATCTTCAAGGCAAGGATATAATCACCCAACAAACAATGAACACGAACAAGACCCACAATAGAGAAATAACCCAACATTTTGTAGAGAGGACGAGAACCAAACTCACCAGCAGCTTCCATCATATCACCACCATTCTTGCTGACCAACAATTGTTCATTGATACGAGACTTTTGAATGAAAGAATAAAGCACATTCAAGACACTGTAACAACTCCAGATTTGAGAGTTTTCTTGAATCATAGTAGCTTCAGCATCAGTCTTAGTTTTAATGCGATCACGGAAGTTGCAGAAAGATTGGAATTGGTAAATGAATTCGTCAATAATATCCCAAAGCCATTGGTTAGGCAACTCCAATGAGACAGGACCATCAGAGTCTATTTGAAGACTGTTAGTATACAACAAGTAGATAGATAATTACTTTACTCAAGATATAGTTGAAGAGGTCGCAATAGTTTTCATAAGAATGGAAACGTTGTTCCAAAGAAGGAGACAAACGAGCATAAATATGACGATAGTAGAGTTCACGATACAATGTCAAGAAAACTTGGTCTATCATAGTGTTAGGTTTCTATTGAACTACCATGTACATTACCATCATTGACAAGAGGGGCAATAATATCAGCCTCAGGCCAAGCTTGCTTTTGATAGTACTTTTCAGTCAATTTGTTGAATGAGCTATCATAGATGTTGTGAAGCTCATAGACATTGTTGTCAATCACATTACGGTAAAAGTGAAGAATGAAGTTTCTGACACCATCGGGGATTTGAGTGGTGCTTGTTTGAGGAGGAACTACTAGAAACAATGTAAGCTATTTTTTGATGATGATAAAGTGTAGTTACCTTCAGTTTCAAACGCGTCATCTACATCGTTGTTTTGAGAGTAACGAGCTTGGGCGACAAGTTCAACTTCGGCAATCAAGTCGTCTTCTTCAAAAGTGTCTTGATACATGATATCTTTACAGCGAGAAAAGAACAAGAAAAAAATCCCTTCAGTCTTAGTTATTAAAAATTCTGTGGGCGAATCAGAAGGATCCCAAGTCACAGCTCTGCTTCACGCGTCTCAAGCCACCTAACCTACTGCGGTCTTCCCTTTTTTACTCTCACATCATGTCTGTTCAGCTTATTAGAAAGGCAGTGCCTGGTGTGGACGAAGCCATTGTTGAGTATGTCGATGGCTATTTAAGAGAAAACGACTTTGAAGACGATGAAGATGCTATTGCTGACTTTGTCAAACCTATTTTGCTTGATGCAGGTGGCGATGAAGACAAAATCAATAAACTATGTGAACATTTGACTCAAGTCCTCTTATCCAACAAAAAGGCAACAGCACCGGCCAAGCTATCTAAATTAGAGCACTCTGTGACCATTGGTAATCAGAGTGGGTTATCAGCTACTGTTAGTCTAGGCCGAGGTAGTGTTGATTTAGAACATGCTTCAGGTCGCCGTGTTCAAAGTCAAGTCAACCAAGAAAAGTTGCGTAAAGCAGAAGCCAAGATTGCTGCCAAGATGGCCAAGCGTAATGAAAAGAACAATACACGAGTAGAATATGAAGCTTCTCGCTTATTGAACGAACAAAAGGCCTTGCAAGACGAATACAAAATGTACAACCCTATTTTGGATTATACTTCTACCAAGGGAAAGAACAAGGATATCAAGGTCGAGAATTTCGATATTTCTTTTGCTGGCCGTCGTATCTTGACAGATGCCAATTTGACACTTGCTTTTGGAAGACGTTATGGTGTGGTGGGTAAGAACGGTATTGGTAAATCCACCTTGTTGAAAGCCATGTCTCGCCGTGAAATTGCTGTTCCTCAACATATTTCTATTCTTTATGTTGAACAAGAAGTACATGGTGATGATACACCTGCTATTGAAATGGTGCTTCGTGCTGATGTCTGGCGTGAACATTTGCTTGAAAAAGAACGTGACTTATCTTCTAGAATCACAGTGATTGAAGAACAAGCTGTTGATGAATTGACTGAAGAAGAAAAGAAGAAGTTGGAGGCTGAAAAAGACCAATTGAATACTGAACTGAAGGAAGTCTTTAGCAAGTTGTCTGATATTGAGAGTGATAAGGCTGAATCCAAGGCTTCTGCTATTTTGGCTGGTCTTGGTTTTGATGCTGAACAACAAAAGAGACCCACTAAGGAATTCTCTGGTGGTTGGAGAATGAGAATCTCGCTTGCCCGTGCCTTGTTTTGTCAACCTGATGTTCTTATGCTTGATGAACCTGATAACATGTTGGATGTAAGTGAGGCGTATGTAAAGAAAACCATGACTTATTTTTTATAGATTCCTGCTATTGTATGGTTAGAAAACTATCTTCAAACTTGGCCAAACACCTTGCTTGTTGTTTCTCACGACAGAGAGTTTTTGGATGAAGTGGCTACTGATATTTTGTATATGCACTCTGAGAAATTAGATTACTATAAGGGTAACTTTACTAACTTCCATGCCACTAAAGAAGAACGTCGTAAGGCCCAATTTAAGGAATACGAATCTCAATTACAATACCGTAAGCATCTCCAAGACTTTATTGATCGCTGGAGATACAATGCTAAGCGTGCTCCTCAAGCACAATCCAAGATCAAGATTCTGGAGAAATTGCCTGTCCTTGAGCCACCAGAAGATGAGAAGCTTATTACTTTCCAATTCCCTGATCCTGATGCTCTTTCTCCTCCTATCCTTCAAATGGATGAAGTCACTTTTGGCTATAAGCCTGAAAAGACCATTATTCGTAATGTAAATATCGACTTGAGAATGGACTCTCGTATTGCTATTGTCGGTCCTAATGGTGCTGGTAAATCCACCATGTTGAAGTTATTGACAGAAGAAAACAAGCCTTCTTCAGGTACTGTCCATAGAAATGGTCGTCTTCGCATTGCCTACTTTACACAACATCACATTGATCAACTTGATCTTACAAAGAATGCTGTTGGCTTTATGGCTGATCGTTTCCCAGGCAAAACAGAAGAAGAATACCGACGCCATTTGGGTTCATTTGGTATCACTGGTATGGTGGGTCTTCAGACTATGAAGACACTTTCTGGTGGTCAAAAATCCCGCGTTTCTTTTGCTTGCCTTAGTATGCAAAACCCTCATATTTTGGTTCTCGATGAACCTACCAATCACTTGGATATGGAATCCATGGATGCTTTGCAAGATGCTTTAGCTCGCTATAAGGGTGGTGTTATTATTGTCTCTCACGATGAAAGATTCATTAACACTGTCTGTAATGAAATCTGGATCTGTGAAGGTGGTGTGCTCAAGAAGTTCTCCGGTACTATTAAGGATTACAAGGCCATTATTTGTCCTAAAGATGCCCCTTAAGTTATTTGTTTTATATATCAACATGTATATCTTTCGTTTTACTAGAGAATAAAGTACGCTTATGACAATGAAGCTGAGCTGTTACCTTCCTTATCCCTTTTTCTTTTTTTTTATTGTTGAACCATAGTAATGCTGTATCTGATACGAGAAAGAGGTTTTTCATGATATGCGATTGAGGTGTGGAAAACCAAACTATTGTTTTTCATTTTTTGATAACTGTAACACTTAGCTTATGGTAAGCTTCGTTGTTTTTTTGCAGTATCATGGAGTGAATTTGGCTACAAAATCTTGTAGCTTTGAATGATTTGTTAATGGTTGTCAAACTCACCATGATGTTATGAGCAACGGATATTTTGGTTTAACCAATGATGAAATCGAACTTCTGGAAATAATCGACGAACACACAGCATTGTATAATCACATAAAGAGAGCATAAAGTAAGTTTGTGTACATAGAGACTTGTCAAATGTCTATAAGCAATGTTTGCTAGCACCTGTAGTACCTTTGGGGTCGATTTGGAAAAAAATCAACCTGTAATGACCATTTTCACCTCAAATTCAAAGGGTGCTGTTCATGAAAATCCTCAATTTCAAAACCCTTGAGCTTTTTTTTTTTACACTACATGATGAAGAGTAGAGCTATCGGCTAGCTTAGATACTTAAAATGTGCGCCAAAAGCTCTAGTTTTTGATCGAATTGTTTGCTTGTTAATTGTACTATGAAAATGGTGTGATAGAAACGAAAAACCTCATAGATATTTTTGCTTGTTTGCTCAATATTTTAGCAGCAAAGCTGTCATTCTTTTTATATCAGTAAAGTCAGAGAATAAAGGTCTAAAACTCTTGTCACTGCACCAAAGCCGAATAACTGCGTCTTTATGCAGTTCTCGGCAAATAAAATCATTAAAAAAAAGTTGAGCTTTTGCCGCAGGTGTTAGTGGTCTTGGGAGGGACCCACTAAAAGAGGTGCTCGACAATTATTTATTGTAAGAAAACATAAAGAAAAACGAAATTGGTACGATAGTAAGAAAGTAGAAAAATATAAAAGGAAAGAAGAGCAGCTATTGTGAGAAAAGACCTCTCAAGATGAAAGGTCATTTTCAGCAGCTATATGCTTAATTTGATAGCGAGTGCTGTGAAGAACAGAGAAATAACAGAATGGTTGGTTCTGCATGGTATGGGTCCAATGGGCCTTCCAGATTTCAGAGAGACCGATCAAGGTTACCATGGCTACTGAAAGAGGACAGTTGGTTTGAGACTGAATCCGAAAAAATTGAAAGATGCAAGTACATCAGAGACTAGATCCAGAGAGGTGCCTGGCCACAAAAACTCTCTGATCAAGGTATCCCAGAACGGAAATTTTTTGGGGCAGTGAAAGAAGAAATGATACACAGTCTCCTGATCGCCACACAAAATGCAGGCAGCAGTAGGGAAGCGAGCAGGAAAAACCTTGGATAGAAGTAAGCGAGTGGAATCTTGTGAGTCAGAAATCGATACATCACAATTCTCTGCAATGTTGTGATAGGTATGCACCAAAAGTACTTCCAAGTAGCAGAAGAAACTTCTTGCCGGACAATGATATCAGACAAGGCAGCTTGTGTGATGACCTTACGGAAAGTGTAGCCACCATTTTTGAGGGCAATGAAATTTTCATTGTCAAAAGGCAGTTTCAACATACGCACAAAAGAAAAGAAACCAAGAGACCGCTGGATTGCAGGAATATGCACAGGATTGTATAAGTCTAATGAAGTACGAACAAGGCATTGACCAAAGAATGGTTCCAGTTGACAATGACTTTGATTCACTGCTTGAAGGTATTTTCTAACACTACGACGGATATCCAGGGGAAAGGAAGAAACTGGTATTGGTGCCAAATAGTGACCCTGTGGATGGTACTCATATAGATAGGAAACTGTTACTGTGCGTAGCTTGAGAGGCAAGTCAAAGGTGTCAGATGGTAAAACAATTGAGTGTAATGGCAGTAGAAGGCATTCGATAGGGTTTGGCATGTATGAGTACTGTTTCCTAGGCATAGCATCCATTGTCTGGCAGCACATTGTGACAGTGTTACTTACCAATTGCCTGATTTGGCCTGGGCGAGAATGAGGAAAGAGCAGACCCAAAAGCAGATGTTCAGTCTGAAGCAAAGCACGGGTATGTGCTGCTAGAAAGACTTGTATCAGAGAAAGTTCAGCTTGAGGACATAAAAAAGGATGAAGCCAATGGTAATACAGTGATTTCTGCTGAGAAAACAAGTCAAGAATGCCAAGGCCACCATGCCACTTTGGTGCAGTCATCGTTTGCCAACTAATGCGAGGAAAGATTTGCCGGTTGACAAAAGAAGTAATGACAGTTCGAATGGTATCAAGGATTGCTTGAGTGGTAGGGATCACCCGCAAAATATACCAGCATTTAGACAATAAAAGTGCACTGACAACTGTAGCTCTGCCAACAACAGAAAGATTGCGTGAGGCATGAATATCCGCCAGTTGAGTCAGTGATTGAGTGAGGGACGAAAAAAAAATGGGCGCGTTGGTCCAAGGATTGGATAAAGGAAAAACCTGAATCGATAATGGGTTCAGCATCTGTACGGCGCCATATCTTAGGAATGTCAATGGCTTGTAGAGTAGTCAGCCATTTGTCATTTAGATTGTGGCCAGAGAGATTGCTCGCACTTTATGGTAGTTAATCTTGGCATTGGATGCTTTACTGTAGGTCTGCAAGTGAAACTGCATTCTGCGAAGGTCACGGATGTTATGAAGAAAAACTAAAGTGTCCTCAGCATAACTAAGCAGTTTGATAGCAGGTAAGGTGATAGCTTGACTAAAATCATTATGCTTGAAGCGATAGCCAGAAAATTGAGTGTCATTCAATATCGACTGGAGAAGTGGCTCTAAGGCAAAATTGTACAAAATACAAGAGAATGGGTCACCTTGTTTGAGGTCTCGGCGCTTTGGAACCAACTGCTTAGAGAGCCAACCATTGATGTTGATACAAATGGAATTATCTCTGAACAAGGTAATAGTGCTGGCAATCAGGGTCTTTGGAAAACCAAAGTGTAACAACACTTGCTTGAGATAGTCAAGGTTGACACGATCATAGGCCTTTTCTTGGTCTAAAAGAATGCCAAGATCTTTGTCTGGTCAGCGGTAGTTTGTTGCTGCATTTTCCATGATCTTGGGAATAAAGAATGAGCTAAGGCATCATTGTATACTTGTAGAACCAGCTGCCTTAAACAAGGAACACAAAGTAAAATGCCTAGAATTTCGTATGGCAAACCATCGCTACCAGGACTACTCTACTCTGACGAGGTGAGCGTCTAATTGCTTTCGATATCTCCAGCCAAGTGATAGGACTTTCAAGGGTAGATGCTTGCTCTTTAGTAAGTCGTTGGTTGTTGGTACGTTGTAAAAGCGTAGTGACATCAGAGGGTTGGATCTTGTCAGGACGATATAGCGCCTTACAGAAGGCAACCATCATCTTTGTTTTCCCTTCTGTATTAGTAACTAATCATCTAGAATTGGGATCAAAGAGCTTTGGTATTGTTAGCTGCGTAGACCTATCTTGTGAAAGTTTTTTGAGAAGACCAAGAAATCGTTCACTTTTTTCTCGCCAAAATTTGCCTGCTTTGAGATGTTTTATTTAGGCAGATTCATCCTGAAAAACAGTAACCATTTTTTCAACCTTTGGCCAAAGAGATGATAAAATATATGTATTTTTAGGATCTCGTAAGATTATGTTGCGTTTGGATTGAAGCTTTTTCAGAGATTTGGATTGCCAGTTGTTACGCTCGATCTGGAAGGATCAAGTAAAAACTTTGGCTTGTTCTTTCAATTCATCCCAAATAGTTTGAACTGAAGGGCAGTCAGGATCCAAACGGTTGATGTTATCCATGTATTGCTCAATATGTGTTGTCAAACCTTTCTATATGCAGATAGTCGAGCAAGATTAGGATTACCTTTCCAAGAACCAGGTCCAGCTGGAGTGTGTACCAGTTGATAGTTGATAGAAAGCAAGGCATGGTCAGTCCAACTGTAGTTGACAAAATTTTGAGTCATAGAAATTACATTGTCAGCATGAGGTAGAGTGCAAAATATATAGTCAATATGTGTGCGACTACCAGTGGTACTAACAAATGTAGGAAGAGGATCACTTTGAAAGCAATTTTGGAATGAAGAAGTAGATCATTTCAGCACGGATTAATGTTGGATTTACGGTAAATGTCATAGTTGAAATTGCCAGCAATAATAATAGGCAAAGACATTGACTGCAAATGTGACATTAATAGTTGATTGGAAGATAACGTGCGAAAGAATGTAGATCGACTACTACGCTGAGCAGGAGCATAGATATTGGGATATACATAAAAGGAGCGGAAGGTTCAGTGGCATGAGCGATGGACGTTAAGAGAAAGCGGCCATCCATAGAATTGATGATGAGATGTGCTGTAATTTTGTAGTGAGATTTTAGAGAAACAATGCCACAATGTTCTGTCCAAAGACTGGATTTAGTCTGGAACTTGAGATTGAGCTGTTTTTGTATATTAAGTGTAGATGTGTGTGTTTCTTGTGAGCATAGAATGTCACATTTAGTTTAACGTAGAAAGCGGATGAATAAGAATTGTTTGTAAGGATCTGAAGTTTTCGTAAGGCCACGACAATTAATGGTGGCAATTTGCATAGAGTCTTTAGGCATAGATTATCTTATTGAAAGTCAGGAGAGGTACCTGTTGATCCACCTGTATTATGATTAGGTACCACTCTATGTCTCTTATCGTCATGATTGAATGTGATCTTTCTACGCTCCTGAATAAGCCTTTCTAAGTCCAAAACCTCTTGGGTTGGATAATTGCTTGGAATATTTTGAAGATATTCATCATCATCCTCTCTATCGGAGTCAATGATTTCTACTTCACTATCTCCTTGCTCTTTCATTTCATGATCCATCAATTCATGCTCGACTACTGTAATATCGTTTGAAAGTATTTGAATAGTCTCGGTTGCTATTTGACTAAGAGGAACGGTAGTCAATGCAGCAGGAGAGACACTTTGCTTAGGCTTCACACTTTATGCCAATTGCTCATTGGGCAGGTTAGAGCCTGATCTACTAGCCTTGTCTTTTGTGATCCCAATACGCTTATTAGGAGGATGGCCTGATCCATGATTACGACGAGGACAATCACGACTGATATGACCAAGCTCATTGCAGTTATAACAACGACGAGTATAAATGAGTTCTATGCAATCTGCTCGACAATGGTCGAATTTTTGACAAAAACGACAAAATTGGATCATTTCATCCCACGTAAGCAGAAGTTCTCGATCAAATTCGGGCCAATCCACTACTCGACCAAGTTGCTCAGGCTCAGTCTTGTGAGGATTGTTCAGGTCAAGAACGACATAGCCCTGGCCAAAAAACACAGCACCATCCATATGAAATCCAAGATCCAGGACTTCACCAAAATGAGAAACCCGTTTGGTCATTTGCTCACGGAGAGTTGAAGGATGAATTAAGGGGAGTCGTTCAACCTTAACTCGAGCAATTTTCGCATTCTGGGACAAACTGCAGTAACTTTTGATAATATTATTATTTTCCATCTGTAAACCGGAGTTGATCAACTTATTGTATACTTCTGAGTTGGTGTCCCAGCAAGTTTCAATAAAACGTCTCTGCAAATACTTGCGCTCAACAAGTAAAGTGCCAAAGAATTAATACTCTTCATTGGTATTAAGTGACCCAAGGAACTGCTTAAGGCCATTCACATCACGAATGTTGGTGATATCGATCAATACACTATCTTTCTCTAAACCGACAATGTAAGGCGTAATGGTGCCTGAAGAATGAGTGTTGTTACTAGCATATTTTGACTGGGAAAAACCAGAAGTGCGTGCAGATGAAGCAGTGGCAGCCAATGATGACGACTGGTTAGCAGACACAATGGTTCTAGCCGCTACTTGCGATGAATTATCGTTGTTACGATGCCCTTTGGAGGATGTCATGTTGTGGGTTAGGTTATTGAAAAAGCCTGCAAAAGCTCAATTTTAGATGTGGCGGGATGAAGAATTGGAGTTGCTATAGTAGAAAATATAGGAATGGGTGTGTAATGAGCACCAGGTTTAGAGTTGTCCAACTTTTAAATAAAAAGTATAAAGGTTTTTTAAAATAAATATTGATGATGTTCCAATATTAGATGAAGGATAATGTTCAATATTCAACTTATAATGATAATGTTTACGATTACTTATATAATAGTGATAATGTTCAGTATAAGATTTGTAGGATTATAAAGATATTGTTCAAATGACCTCCTTCTTTATTCCAGAAAAATAAGGGAGTATTTATAATAAAATTGTGCGTTTGTACTATGTGAAAAAATAAAGAATAGGACTGCGGTATTTTACAGCAACTCCAATCCTTGGTACACATTTTAAGTATCTAAGCTAGCCGATAGCTCTGCTCTTCATCATGTAGTGTCAAAAAAAAAAAAAGCCCAAGGGTTTTGAAATTGAGGATTTTCATGAACAGTATCCTTTGGTCAAAAGGCATATTTGGGTCATTTTTCATGGGTCGTTTTCCTTGGTTCAAATCAATTTCAAAAGTACCCCGCATGTTAGTAAACACTGTTTGTAGGTATTTAAAATATTTATGCAGATGTAAACAGGCCTTGTGCTACCTTTATAGACTTAAGAAAAAGACAAAAATCTGTATGAACTGTTGCCTTTTTCGCTCCCAAAGCATTCGTTTACCTGGCACATCTGTCACATGAACAAGTAATGTACTACTAAATGACTTTTTGAACAAGATGTCCTAATAAAAAGATTCTTGACTTTCCTTAATCAGAGAGAAACTTCAAAGGGATGACAAGCTTTACAATGCATAATTGCATGTCTATTGGACTATTTTATTGATTATCAAATCTGTGGCGATCCATATGCCTCTATAAAGTTGACTTAAAAACATCAGTTGGTGTAAACTAAAATGGATTGAATTTTACACATAAGCGATTATCTTTCAATTTGCTAATCCTATCTCAATTCATATCTAGATGTTGCTATGAAGCTTGTATTTTGCTTCTTTTCAATACGTTATAGAGTTTATCCTTATGTAGCAGTGAATGGCCTCTTTTATATTAAGGCTTTCATAAACTCTCTTTTTAATCTCAAGTTTTAATGGAGCTCCAACGGATAAGGACTCAAGTTGTTATGTCTGTTGGGGACTTGGCTAACAAATGCCTCTATGATGGGTGACAATAACACTTTAGTTTATACAGCAAAGGATGATAAAAGCAGCAGTAAGACCAATGTATATTGACCTTTTCATTTTTTAATAGACCTCAAGTACAGCATTCAATTTCTTGCTCATACACTTGGTATGAGTACTAGAACGATAACAACATTAGTGTTGATTGCGTCTTGAAATAAACCTCCCTACTTGAGACTATTAAGCTTATTGTCAGCTTCATTTATAAAATTTTGTCTCAGCGACGTCATCTTTATAAAACACAGATTGTGTTCTTTTTTTCTTTTTTACTCTTTTGTACACAAAACGAAATAAAACTATTGTCTCTTCCTTCCTTCCTTCCTCTCAAGAAAGAACTCTTTTCTTAAAAAAAAAAAGCATGTCAGCCAGTAAATACGAAGAATACGAAGCAGGAGAAATTACGTCCGAAGGTAACTCTTATAGGAAGCGTGGAGTAGATGAAATTTATAATAGTCGACACCACCACCACCACCGCGACTCTTTTGAAGATGATCCATTTGCTGAATACGAAAGACTTGCTCGCAGTAAAAGAAGAGATAGCTATGAACGTCGTCCCTCCCCTTCTTATCGACGTCATTATCGGTCTCCTTCTTCTCATAGAAGAAGACATTCTCGTGATTATCAAAGTAATAGCATAAAGGATAAAAGAGAAAATTCATATGTATCCAATCGTGGTGATAATAACAATCTTAGACGCTCTAGATCACCTTCAAGTCATAGATCAAATTATACTATGAGAAAAGAAATATCCACTGAGGAAAGGTATGTAACTCTTCCTTTTAAACCATAAACGTTCTTATATCTGCCTTAGAAAACCTGTTCAAAAAGAACCAGAGCCTGCACCCTTAATACATTTTAACATTGAAGACGAAGAAGAAAAGAAAAAAGAAGAAGACCGTTTAATTGAAGAGCGTAGAAAGAGAAGACAAGCTATCTTGAGTAGATACAAGACAAGTCCTACGCCCTCTTTACCCAAATCACCTTCAGGTAAAGTAAAAACCATAACAAAAAAAAACATAGACTTATCTTTGTCTTTAGTCCCTACTGCTCAATTAGATAAACCAGACTCAACTCCATCTCCTGCTCAAGACGATACTTCAATGACTGATGCTGTCTCTTCAGAGTCTCCATCGCACCACATTTCTGCGGCTGATTATGACCCTTCTATGGATCAAGATCAAACAGAACTCTTGAAGAACAAAGATCACCAAGAACATGTTACTGAAGGTGTTGACAGTCATGCTGATATGGCTGCTTCAGACTACACTGAGCAACTTGAACAGCCTAAACCTGCTGCAGAACTAGACATGTTCTCTGATAATCTGGATATGTTTGCTGCTTCAGACCTTACCACAAACCAGATCAACTTATTAGATGCAAACCATCAACATGCTGCTGCAAATCCTAATTTGACTGACAATTGGGATGATCCTGAAGGTTATTACACTACTCGTATTGGTGAAATTCTTGATGGTCGTTATCAAGTCTTGGCTAATCTGGGTCGTGGTGTCTTTAGTTCTGTTGTAAAGGCAAAAGATCAAGAAACGAATGAAGAAGTAGCCATCAAGTTGATTAGAAATAACGAAACAATGTAAGTCATACAAGCCAAGTCTTGATCTTTTGACTCACTTTTTATTTTAGGTACAAAGCAGGCCAAAAAGAACTTACTTTCCTTAAGCGACTTATGGAGGCTGACCCTGAAAACAAGAAGCATGTTATTAGACTACAAAGACATTTTGAACATCGTTCTCATCTTTGCCTGGTATTTGAAACCTTAAGTATGAATTTGCGTGATGTACTTAAAAAGTATGGTAAAGATGTAGGCATTAGTATTAAGGCTGTACGCATATATGCACAACAACTCTTTTTGAGCTTGTCTTTGTTAAAAAGATGCAGTATTCTACATGCCGATATCAAGCCAGACAATATTCTTGTCTCTGAATCAAGAAACACACTCAAATTATGTGATCTTGGTTCTGCTTCTGATGCCAGTGATAACACAATTACACCATACCTTGTTTCTCGATTCTACCGTGCTCCAGAAATCATGCTTGGTCTTCATTATGATTATGCTATTGATGTATGGTCTGCTGCCTGTACTTTGTACGAATTATTCACTGGCAAAATTTTGTTTCCTGGAAGAAGCAACAATCAAATGTTAAAGCACATCATGGAGCTTAAAGGGAAATTTCCCAACAAACTGCTACGTAAAGCACAGTTTACCTCGCACCATTTTGATGAAGACTTCAGCTTTCTATCGATTGAAGTGGATCGAGTCACAAAGAATGAAGTAGTCAAGAAAATGACGTTATTAAAGCCTACAAGAGACATGAAATCTCGCGTATTTGCTGCTGCTACACCTGGTATGTCTGAAGACGAAAACAAGATTCTGTTGGCCTTTGTTGACTTTCTTGACAAGTCATTGGCATTAAGTCCTGATAAGAGAATGACACCTCATGAAGCACTAGTACATCCTTTTATTACTGGTAAATTTTAAATTTAATAAAATAAGATATAAAAAAAATGTTCCGTACCGGGCATGCATCTATTCCGGACAACTAGGTGGTAACATCATTGCCCGTGTGTACACATGAATCAGTTCCAGATGAAGGTAAAGAATCCTTCTTTTTCCAAAACCATAGGTGAGTGATCATCATCCATCCAATGGAGAGAATAGAAGACGACCATCAACATGAATCAACGATGACTGATGAATATACCAACTTGTTAGATTATCACAATGGCTCAACGTCTCACCTACAGACGCCGTTTGTCTTACAACACTCGTTCCAACCGTGTTAAGGCCGTCAAGACTCCTGGTAAATTCGAATGACGATGTATTCAGCCTTATTGATGATTTATTTTTATAGGTGGTAACCTTGTCTACCAATACGAAAAGAAGCCTGTCAAGGCTCCTCGTTGTGGTGACTGTGGTGAAACTCTCGCTGGTGTATGTATATATATATAGAATGTTGATTAAAAAAAAACTTATATTAATGATTATGATTAGATCAAGGCCCTTCGTGCCCGTGAATTCGCCACTGTTTCCAAGACCAACAAGCACGTTAGCCGTGCCTACGGTGGTTCTCGTTGTGCCCACTGTGTCAGAAACCGTATTGTCCGTGCTTTCTTGATTGAAGAACAAAAGATCGTCAAGAAGGTCCTTAAGGCTCAAAAATAAATAGCTCTCTGACAAACTTGCTTTGTGATTTTTCGAATAAAAAAATCCAGATACACACATGTACAGAACAGATTTGTTTGATTTATTATATATATGCACAAATGAGGGAGGGGAATGAGGATTATTTCTTTAGACGTTTGCCTTGTTTAGAGTTGTCTAATGCACCTTTACGTTTCACAGAAGCAACAAGTTGTTGAAGAGACGACTTGGATTTAGTTTCGCCTAAACCAGACTCAGTTTCTTTAGACTTCTTTTCCTTTTTCCAGTTGTCATTCTCGGCCATACTGCCTTCCTTCATCTTTTGTTGTCTAGCGTTCAACAACTTCTGCATGCTCTTTGTCTTTTTGAATTGAGGGTTGGTAGGATCAATAGCAAAATGGTGCGATTCTTGCACAGCAGCAAAACGAGGATCACTGACATTGATCTCAAAGTCATCTTCACCCAAATCTTGGTTCTTCTTATTCTTTCTATTCTTCTTTTTCTTTTCCATCTTTTCTCTCTTGAGTACTTCCTTCATATTGAAGCCTTCGCCCTTGCCATCATCGTCCATAAGAAGTTCCAATTCAGCTCTTTCTCGAGCCTTTTCTTCGCGCTCTTCTTTAGAAGCTCTCTTTTTACTCTTTGTCTTCTTTGTAACAACACCTTCTTGTTCCATTTCTTCCATGGCTTCCTTGAAAAATGGGTCATTGGCTGTCTCTTCGTCCATATCAGCTATAGAGGGGGAGGGAAGAGAAATGAGTTAAACAAGTAGAGAACCAGATGAAACTTACAATCTTCATCTTCCTTATGTTGTTGTTGTTGTTGCTTAGCAACCTTCTTGGCTTTCTTCTTTTCTTTTTGTTTACGTAAATAAGTTTCAATGGAGGTCTCTTCCTTGCTTTCTTCTTCTTTGTCCTTAACAAGAGCACCAGCAGCTTCACTTAAACCAGGTGTAAATGTAATTTCCATATCACCTTCTTCATCATCATCATCGTTGATCTTGTCTTCAAATGCTGTATTCTTGTTGCTGCCTAACAATTTCTTGTATTTTTCACGAAGAGCATCTAAATCTTCTTCGTCTTCTTCTTCATCTGTAGAAGCAAGGTAAATATCAAAATCAAGATCCTTGAGATCGTCTTTAGTGAACTCTCGACGAGTGACTTGGTAGCGATCCACATCATCTTCATCCCAAGTGAGTGAGACTTTAGTGCGTCGAAGAGCGTCTGTTTGGAACTTGGTAGGTGTGTAATTCTCAGGAGCCACTGTGGCTGAATCCCTAGGCTCATCATCAAATGTCATATTTTCGGGTATATAACGCAGATCAAAGAAGTTGGCACTGCTTTCGTATTCTGTATTATCGCAGGCCTTGTAAATTACTTTGGCTGTCTTGGGACTATCGCATTCAATCACAGCATAATAATACTTGAGTCTGTCTAATTGGTATTTACGCAAAGCTTCTTGATCAAAGTCTTGTCCATCTCCTTCTTCCAGTTGGTTTTTAATGATAGTTTCTTCTGTAATTTCCTCTTCTTCTTCCTCTTCTTCACTGTCGTTTGATTTCTTGTGCTTAAAGATCTCAGTTGGAGGGCCTTGTGTTTCTTCTAATTTTAACCGTTCTTTACCGAATTCAGAAGGGTAAATAGTGACACTTTGAATAACACCTGTGTCAGGCTTAAATCCATTCAAGACCTTCATGATATCCACTGCTTTGATCTTGTCCCAGTCCATGTTGACAAGAGCCAATCGACTGGTTTCTTCACCTTCAGGAATATGTGTCACCTTATCTAATTCGTCTAACTCTTCTTCTTCCTCTTCTTCTTCTTCACTGCCAGAAGCATCTGTATCATCGTCGTCATCATCAGAAGAAATTTCACCACGACCACGCATAGGATCATAAAACTTCTTTTGCGTCTCCAAATCCTCTTTTTCGGATTCTTCACTGTCTTTTTCAAAGCGTAAATTATCTTTGTCTTCAGCCAATTCTTTTTCTAATTGCTCTACTGTCTTGTCTTCATCAGAATAATCGTCACTCTCTTCGTCTTCTTCAAGTTGATAAAAGCGCTTCAATTCTTTTTCAGCTGTATCTTGTTCCAAACGACGACCGTATTTATCGACTCGTGGACCACCACTGAAATCAGTGGACTTCATCATGCCAGCAAAACGTTTGTCGATCGTGACTTTCATGTCCTTCTTCTTGGGTCTAACGAAACGAGGATCATTATGAACACGGCTAAAACGAGGATCGTTTGTGACGGGCGTCTTGGGTTCCCCCTTCTTAAAATTCTTTTTGTCGTTGGGTGCCATGGAGATGGTGAAGACGAAAAAAAAAAAAAAAAAAGTTGCGAGTGATTTAAGATCATTCAATAATGTAAAATAGTCACGATAAGCCACACATCAGGACAGCATGATTTGTGTATAAAAATGGATTCTGATGGGTGCCTTATTTGTTGAACAGAGAGTGAGACAAGCAATCTTGTATTTTACCTAACTGAATCTGAAGAAGTAGTTATTTTTCTATTATAGTACCAGAAATATGACCAAAGAAAGAAAGAAATAAAGTGATCTATCTATAGATACGTAGAATAAGAAGAACCAATCAATTCAGATGGTCATAAAACGCGTGTCCGAATAAGGGAGACTCAAAATCAAATGCAGACCGTCACGTCAACTTGATTTTTTCTATTTGTTTCTGAAGAACACATACAACACTAGCTATGGTAATCAGCACAGTATAGGTTCATTCATAGTACTTACAACCCCCTTTTTTTATTTTGGTTTAGTCAAACCATACCATTCTTTTGTTACAAGCAAATCAGGGTCAAAGGTATATATAAAAGACCTAGACCATGTAAATACTGATTCCTCTCTTTCTTCTAGTTCAAGAACATATTAGTAAGTAAGCTTGTTAAACATAAACAAAATCTAATGATATGTAGTGACTTTCCTACAGAGAGTGAAGCTATGGATCGTAGGTATCAATAAGGGTTGAATGAGTGTCTTATGCCATTCCTCAGATATTGCTGGATTATATGAATTACGCCTTGCTAAAGAAAACCCAAATGCTGGTCAAGTACAATACAGGTAAAGAACATTGGATGATACTAAGTTGATCAACACAAATACAGGGCTGAAGATCTCTTTCGATTTATTGATACATATAAAGAATTTGTTGGATTAGTATTTGATCCAAAAACCAACGTAAGTCATTCTCGAGAACAAAAAAAAAAGAGACTAAGCTCTGCTGTTAGTTTTATCAACCACGCGATAAAGAATGGATCAAAGACCGTCTAATTGCTCATTTCAGTCAGCCACAGCCAGATCAATCACCAGCACCCCAACGTTCTCATGGACGTCGTAGAAATCGCTAAAATGCAATAAACATTCATTAAACTCCACGTTTCTTGAAACGCGTGATAATATTTGTGTATGTATGTGTGTGTAATATAAAACTAAACTCAGCAACCAGTCTTAATTGACCCGCTTTATACGTTTTTTCCCTTCTCCCCCCTTTTTTTTTATATATATATTTTATTTTTATTTTTTGTGTGTATAGATAAAGTAAGTTTCTCAAAAAGAAGTGAAAAAGTAAGCTGATGAACCACATGTGTTTATGTTCTAGAGAGATGTCAGTGTTTACACCTGTGATTAGGTTACCACCAAAGCGTAAACCTAGTCTGGCTCGTAGTCATAGTAACAACAGTAGTAGCACGACTCATTATAGCAATTATGATTCCCCTGATCCAAAGGAATTCCTTGTATCAGACACATTATTTCTAAGCAAATTGCCTGATAAAGTAAGGGAAAGCGATATTCGTACTTTATTGCAACATTGCATGCCTATTGAGTAAGTCATACATGACACGTAGAACCATCATTAACCATACGACAGGATTGTACTTGACCGAGAGAAAGATATTGGACAGTTACGATTCAGCCACCCAAAATATGGTACTATTATTTTTTTCTATTCTTTTTTTTTTTTTTTTGACCTATTATTATTTTTTTTTTATCAATAGCTGACAGGGCTTATTCGCTTTATAATGGATTTAAGTTTACCAACAGTGCTATACTGGAACTGCAAATGTATCAAGATAAGCGGTTGGATCCCGAAGCAACTGCCGTTCTTTTGGAAATTAATGGCTTACCTGATTATTTTGATGACAACAAACTGTACGACGTGTTTCGTCCTTTTGGCCCATTGGATTTATGCAAGTGTGTTATGAAAGACGGTGCCTTTAGAGGCACTGCTTTTATACAATTCTTTAACCAACACAACTCTGATGATGCTGAAACTCATTTGGTAATACAAAAAAAAAACACATACACACACACACACATAGGCTTGATCTGATCTTTTTGATTGACTAGCATGGTCATTTGTTGGACGGACATAAATTGTAAGTTAAAATATGAAAAGCAAGAAAGGGGAGGAGGGGGAATCAGGGGCAAGGAATATTTGCTATTTAAGGAGGCCTAGTTTTCTATTCTTTTTCTCTTATTCTTTATTTTGTATAGATCTGTTGTTCCTTTTATGCCCTCAAAACCGTATGCACCAGCACCAGCACCAGCACCAGCACCACCACCACAAAAAAGAGAAGAGGTAAGTTAGATGCAAAAGAAAGAAAGAATACTCACTTTATCCATAGATTTTAGAAGAAACACCACAAACTGTAGATATTATGAATCTCTATATCAAGAATCTTGAACCTCATATTACGAATCAAGACCTGAATCAAGCATTCCGAAAATTTGGCCGAATCATCTCGGCTAGAGTGATGACCAACCCAGCTACAGGTCAGTCTAAGGGCTATGGTTTTGTTAGCTTTGGTAAATCTGAAGAAGCAGCAGCAGCCCTACAAGAAATGAACGGCGCCATCTTGGGCAATCGTCCTCTGACTGTTGCCTATCATGAACCTCGAAAAGGCAGAGGCAACACGAACAATCATAGCAATAACAGCAGTAACAACAACACGCCTATTCCCAACTATCAACATCCACCTCATGTGAATAAGCAAATGAATGAAAACAATAACTATTACAACTATAATTCAATGGCTCCTCCTCAACAGCAACAGTCTTACTATATCCCTGATCAACGACCAGTGAACTGTAAGTGTTCTTTATTGTAGCATCATCATTGACTTATGACCACACTAGTATCTTCTACAACACCTATTAATGGTCTTGGTATTGATAACGTGGATGAATTAGGCATCAACATGAATCTCAGAGATCTTTCCATTGGTCAAAAACCTGTAGCTATGCATGCTGCTACAATCAATTTACCGGCAAGAAAGGTAAATATTCTAAAGCGGACTTTGTTTAATCGTGTATAGGTATCCGATGCACCACATATCAATTCCTCGCCTAATTCAGGTACAAGCACAGGCAAGTCACTCATTTCTCTTGCTTCTGGCTTAAGTGTTCAACAACCACCACCTTCCATGCCACATCCTGTGATTAACTATGGTCATAATGGTCGTCCTACTTTGCGTAGAAGAGGTTCTTTGGAATCCGTCATGACAGAATCAAGTGCCAATATACAACGTATCAAGTTAGAAGATGCTGTCAGACATTGTGGTGATTATGGGAAAGCAACGGGAGATATTGTTGATATGCTCCTTACCTTGAAGCGCAAAGAACGATCACTCTGTTTGTTCAATCCTGACTTTTTGCGTGATAAAGTACAGTTGGCTTTGGAAGCTTTGGCTACTTGTAACGAGACAGACAGTGAGGAAGAAGAAGAAGAAGATGTGGACGTGGAAATGGAATTCACCATGAGAAAGTAAGTAGAGAAAGAGAGAAGGCACATTTAACCCTATGTATCAGAATGCCAAGCAGCAAAAAATCTTCTGTGATGATGCTTCCTTCTCCTACACATCAACAGCCTTACTATAATCCTGCTACGAGTCCTCCTATACAGCGTGAACATAACTTATCGCCACCTTTTATTCAGCCTGTAAAAGAATCAAAAGCAATTCCTATTATAGCACCCCCTTCGACTATTGTGAAAGCGCCTTCTACAAAAACGGCAAGCTTAACAAAAGAAAATTTGATGAACAACAATGAGAAAACGCCTGAACCATCTTCTGCATCGCCTATTATTTCATCAAGCGCCAATAAGGAAATTGAGGAGCTCTTGGTTTCTCTTGAAGGTAAACCCATTCATGAAAGAAAGCAGCTATTGGGCGATAAATTATTCCCACTTGTCAAGGTAAGATCCCAAGAGAGTGTACTGACATGATTACTCATACAAAGCTTTAGTCAACGGGTACAAAACAAGCACCCAAAGTTACCATTTATTTGTTAGATACAGTGGATTTACATGAATTAGCCAATATCATGTATGATACCCCATCATTAAAAATGTGTGTGGAAGAAGCATTCGAATCTTTACAACAACAACAACAGCAACAACAATAAATTATTGTTTTTTTGAGAAAAAATAAATTATGGCTTGTCAAGAGCAAGAGATTCAGTAACAAATTGATGATGGAGATGCATCATGTCTTCTTCTTCTTTTTCATAATATAGACGTGCTCTTTGTAGACCATGAAAGTATTGAGAAGGCATATGATCCATCAAGAAGAACGGGTACATCTTTTCAATGAAATAAATAGGGTTTCCATGTGGCAAGTATCGTTGTACCCAAGAGTTTTTGATCAGTGTGGCCCATTTAGGCAAGTTGGGCAGAGGTAAATTTTCATACTGTCGTGCAAGTAGTTTCTTGTGATTACGTACGGGTTGTTGATGACGCATAACAATATTGACCTGCATAGGTGGTTGATAGCTTGAAGGGTAAGATTTTAATGGCTTTGTATGCCATTCACGTGTGATATGAATAGTATGGCCTATATGAGAATAATTAAAGAAATCATTTTCGCTGATGAAATGACCTGCAGTTTAAGGAGATGAGTTAGTTATGTCAGGAGGGTTGGGAGGGGAAAGAAAAGAGGGGCTTACCACACGTTTTGCTATCATAGCCAGGTGGAAGTCGAGAAAAGATGTCACTTTTGTTAATGATTCGCCATAATGTGCTCGATCGTGTGACGGGTAGATTGGTATGTGAAGAGAAATTGGATGCAAAATCACTATCGCCTACAGCTGGTGTGCCAATAATGTAACAGTCGCGCAAGACAAGTCGATCAGATAAATCTTGAGGACATTTAAGCCATCTTGCATACAAGAGCGAACTCAATGCTGCTCCTAAAGAGTGGCCTGTGATCCATAATTGAACAGGTGCAGTGGTGTGTAACTGTTCTTGAATCTGAGCTGCTTTCGCTTGAACAGCAGCCAAGATAGCACCATAGGGATCACGTATATCTTGATCACCAAAGCCTGTCGTGCTGAAAAGGGACTCATAAAAGCCTTCGTGAACACAGCCAAACAAAAAAGAGCGAGCATCCGTACGTTGAAATGTAGCATCTACCAAAAACTCTTCATAGTTAGTAGGTGTTGTTCCTTTGAAGGCAACTATAATGAAGGGCATGGTTTCTGACCAAAAGATACCACAAAATGGTCCACCCAACGATTTAAGCTCAGAGACACCGGCAAAATGCAGCCCCCAGGTTTCAGCAATCTGTCGAATACGAGCTTCTGATTCCCACAAGAGCTCCTTCATTCTGCTTTCAATGATATATTCTGAATTGGCCTTGGTAATGTCGGAAGCTCTTTTGTTTTGGTCATCTCTAGAAGACATATAGAGATCATAGGCTTCTTTTACTTTGATAGTATCTCGCTCATAGATCAAAGACGATAAGAGAACAAAGGATTGAGCAATAGAAAGATCAAACGTACGGCGCCGACAGCCTGAAACACTAATAGGGCTTGCAGGCGTACCCAAGATAGGCAGTGTCCCAAGCACAAGCTGTGCAGATGAATCAGACAACATGAACTCAGGTGATCCTTACAAACGCAGTCAATACATGTTAAAGAAAAAAGTTGCTTACCCCAATTGATAGCACTGAACCCTTCACCATACTTGACACTCATATACTTTAAGATACGCCAGCCTTCCAGTTTGACCATAAAGAGTTTAAGGCCTATTTCAAACATGACAAGAAATGTCATGGTAGTAGGATACACCATCAAAAGAGCTGCTGAACTGACGGGTGCAGTAAAAAATAACGGCCAATTAAAATAGAAAGTTAAAAATAAGTTTTTGAAACTGTTAATCATATAGCCCAGATAGGGCCAAGGACGACTTCTGACAGGTTCAGGTGTACCTTGTTGTTGTTGGAAAGCTTTAAGTAGGCTATAATGACTTTGTTTTTTCTCGATAAAGATAGGCGTGCCTGAAAGACTTGTTTTAGCATGACGAGAAGTATAATCCCGCTCTGGTTGCATTGAGGTTGAATTCAATGATGTGCTTTTCTTTTGCGTGCTGTTGCTACGGCTATGCGTATGATGATAAGTATCAATAGGGGTTGAATAATGCCCAATGCTATGATGTGGTTGCTTCATATGGGTCACTTTGCTACTTTCAGAGTGACTTGCATCAAGCGACCTTGATCCCTTCACTATACAATGTAAGTATCGCTTCAATGGCACTCTGTCATTTACCATGATGAAGGTTAGGAGAGCGAGTAGACATGATTCAATAAAAGAAGAAGAAAAGAAAAAAGAGACGCGGATACTGCTTTTACATGATTATTTATTTGTTTCGAGAAAACGCCTTTTTCTGATATAAACAAAATTACAAAAGACGATTTTTATCTTGAGGTGTCATTCTAAGTGTTCTTGCTCGACTCTTGTAATCATCCCAAGGAAAATAAGCACCACAAATACGACGGTGACCAGTAAAAGCACTGCGGCCATGCAAGACACGCCAATTGTCGAATGTCACTACACGCCCTGGAGTCAATGAATCCCAGAGCTCATTCTCTTTCGCCTTGACTAATTTGCTCCATAAGAACAAAGCATCATAGAATTCGTCTAATTGAGTCGAACTCAAATGATCCAATGTGGATCTATCATCATTGTTGTAACGAATCTGATAAAGTTCACCGTCAGGTCCATGATTCAAAATAGGAAAGGCTCGAGGGGTGGGAACAATTAAAACGTTTTCATCACCCGCTGAGTGAGTGGGAATACGTGTATTAGATAAGACACGATAAGCATTAGACGAGGTTTCCTTGAGTTGTTTGGCTACATGGAAACCATCCACAAAGAGGGAGTCACCGCCTTTGCCTTTGAATTCTAGCTTGTGAAACATTTGTAAGCCAGCAGGTTCTGTAAAATACGTGTTGTCTGTATGTGCACCCAGAGCGAGCTGTGTGTAAGCCGTATCCGCATGAGCCAGATCAGCCGTAAAGGACCAGATGCCTTGCGAGTAATGCGTTTGTCTTAAAAAGCAAAGACGCCGAGCTAGTTTCTCGGTAGCTTCTACAGTAGTTGGGCATCCTTCAATAAACGAAATACCGTATGTTTCGAGCTGATCCAGCCATTGTTTTAGGCCCTCGTCTGTATGCATCACAGCATCATGTTCTATGGGTGATAATCGGAATTGAGCATCCCATAACTTAGGCTTTTTAGAAGCCAAGGGCTCAGAGGAGCGAAGGATAGGACTATAAGAATGCGTATGTAACCAATCCCAGGCATAAACAGATTGATGGCCATCTGGCCATGAGACAGAAAGACCCTCCTGTGTACTATCGACAGCTACAGGCTGAATATCTCGAGGAATTGAAAAAGTATCCACAAGTCGCTGACGTGTGATGGGATGATAGCATTTTTCGCAATGACAATGGTCTCGTAGCCAAAAGTGACTATAGACACTTGTCTTGTTGGCGTTCCAGTCTAGGTATATCTCCTTGTCGTTAGCGAGACCAGCTCTTTGAGGAACTGCACCCGTTCCTTGTAACTGTTTTCGAGCATTAGGCTTATGCAAACGAGATGCTGAGGTAGAGAATAAGGCTCGATTGATTTGTTTGGATCCAGCCAGTCTTTGTATACTGAAAAAACGGTGCATTTACGAAAAAGAAATAAAAAAAGGGAAAATAGGATGAGTCAAGCGTAATTAAAGGGCCTGTCTTCTAAATTGTGTTACTTTGATTTTTTTTTCTTTTCTGGCTTGATGTTTTACTTGAAACTCAGGCAACTTGACCATGACAAGCAAAATGTGATGTAAATTAAATCTTTCTTTCTCTCAGAACTCTCAAGTAATCTTAACTTTTTTAAGATTGACTAAGATTCTTTTTAAAGCCAGGTGAGCCTATTGTTTTTTTTTTCATAATCATATCGATTCCGTAATGTTTGGAAATAAGCCTGAATAAGTTTATTGACAGCACCAATTAGACAGCCTTCTAGCACAAGATATTTCTCAAGAACAATGCACTGGCAATAAAGTCTGATTTGATCAACAATTCAGGCATGAAGGTAGGCTTTTGTTTTAACCATTGATCATGACTATCTTAGCTTTTATCATCATGAAAAAGCTAGAGAAAAAAGCCTGTTTTCTAATGTATAAAACAATCCAAACAAGAAGCTTATTATAACTCAAATCAAAAGCATTGGATTTTGATTAATGTAATTATTTAACGCGGATAAGCATAAAAAACTCAGAATAATAAGTCTTGATGGTGGTTGACTTCAAGTAAGCTTTGATCTATAAACAAAGCAAAAAGAAGATAAAAGAAGTACAGTTATTGTTGTTGATCAAGCCAATCTACCTTCAAATCCATTTAGCTACTAGGAATTAAAGACATTAGATATAGAATATCTATAAATCAAAATCATACATATTTTGTGGTCACTAAATGACTTTTGATTCCATTTGACACATTACACACTTGATATACTTTTGATCCCCAATTTGCGCCTTTTTTTTTTGAGTATCAAGCTTATTGTAAAATCTTATTTTATAGATTAAATTTCTTAACAACTCATTTTTGGATAAAACTAATAAGCATAATGGCACCAAAAGTATATTGGCAGCCTGCTGCAGGCGCGGGTGTTTCTCAAAATAAACCATCATTTCTGCTTTCTGATTCCCTTCTTTTAAGCTTCCTATGTTTGAGCATGCACAAAAGAACGCTTCTATGCAAAGATAGAGCAAGTTTCGAGAAAGTCAAAAAATCTTCATTTTGCCTTTATGATACCTCTACAAATCTTCATTTTTCACTATTTTGCAATTTATGAGCGATAGAGACGTTGTAAATATGACATGTCTTAGTATAAATTGTTTCTCTAGGTTTATAAAATACATTCAAAGTGTTATACTTGCAAAGTACTATAAAAATGTATGCTACAGCTCAAAAACAGAAGACACGTTTTTGAACAATAGCTCACTAATTCGATATCAAACATATTGCGTTTTTTACACCATTCGATACGCCTTAATTGTATCTACCATTTTTTAATACTCCTTTTTGATAAATCTTCGTTTTTAGACGCTTTTAGTCCATCGTTTCTCTTGAATTTCTAAAAAAAAAAAAAAAAAAAAAAAAAAAAAAAAAAAAAAAAAAGCTATAAAAATAACATTGAAGGGTGGTCAAGTGTACACAGAGTGAAGTGACTTGCCATATAATTATCATTTTGTATTAACTATTTGAAATCTCTAGTATTTCTTTGGTGATTCTTTCGGAAATTTTTTCAGGTCAAAAGGCACTCCATGGAAATGATGTCGGAAGTAGCTATACCAAATTGATCGAATAATTGTCGCAGAAAAGTCATATATGTTGATGTTTACATCTAAGTTGTAGATGAGATATCTCGAAAATCTAATATTTTTAAGGTCTTGTAATATTCTATCTGTATTAATTTCGATTGGGTAGCCAAGGAACTTGTTTAATACATCTTGCCAAATCATTGCCTTATTTCCACAAGATATTAGCAGATGTTTGGCGTCTTCTGTTTGGTTCCAACTGACACATCGATCGTTTTCGATGCCTTTTATTCGTTTTTCGTGTAGGAATTGCTTGCTAGGGATTCTGTTATGTAGAATATTGAGCCAAATATTTCTTGTAGAATGATGCATTGGTACTGTGTAGAATTGCTTCCATTGGCATGGCTTGATGTTATTATTAAAGTCGTTTGGCCTTTTTTAAAGGAATGTTTTCCAGTAGTATTCTTCGGAGGCCTTGGTTGTTTAGGTGAAGAATCGCTTTGTTGTTGTGTTGTAATTCCTTCAAACCCCAGGAATTGTTGAGACTTTCTTTCATTGTCTTTTTCAATATGTCGTAGAAAGTACTGCTTTAGTTTAAATGTGTTGCTAGAAGTGTGTTTCTTTAACTTGGATAGTATTGCTGGTCTACTGCATTCATTTCTGCTTTTGAAAGAAATTTGATAGGTTGCTAAGTCGAGATTGAAAAAGTGTTGAACTAGGTTTTTCTTTGCGGTTGGACAGCCAATGAATGCCAGCTCAGGGTTGTCTTCCCAATCTTTGCAAACAGCTGAAAGTGATAGAGTCATACAATTGATTGCTGATAATGATATTTGGGCTTCGTTTTTTGGTCTACAGGACTTTTTCAATACATCCATTGTTTCAAAAAGCAATCCAAATGCACCGTCTTTGTTCAGGGATGTTTTATATCCAGAATTAGAGAAGAGCATAATAGATTCGAGGCTTGGGTTATTCGTTTCAACTTGAAGAGCGTATACCATTATATAATACAGGTACTTTGGAATTCAGTTGAATTGCTCATAGTTGAGCAGAGCTTCGGTATATCTCTTCTGTAGAGATCCCTGTTGGATAAGCAAGTTTAATAGTTCCAGACCTCCTTTAGCCTTAGGCAGGCAAAAGGCATCCTTTTGGATTTGCAATTTCTTCTCATCGACTATATACTGGTAAATAAGTGAGTTCAAGGTCGAAAGTATAGCTTTGGGTAGTAGTGTCAATCTGAGCACATGCCATAGTTTGGAAAGTATTATTGTGTTGGCTATATTTGCCCTCCCGTACATAGAAATATCTCTTGTTTTGAAAAATGCCTCTTGAGCTCTAATTCTTCCGATCATTTCGGCCACAAACACATCTCTCTGTTGTTTTGTTACATAAATTGGGTATCCCAGGTATTGGATATAGTCGGCAATGTTGTAGTCGTACCATTTAATGCGTTACTCGATGTACGTTTTCAATCTTGCCCCAAAATATCCATTCATTTTACCTCCATGGAGTGGAAAGGCCTGGAACTTTTCATAATTAATTTTGAAGTTTGACGCTTGACAATATGTCTTGAAGCATTCTTCCATTTGCATATATTCCGATCTAGATTTGACAAATATGATGATATCGTCTGCATAGGCTAGGATCTTGACAAGTGATGGTGGAGTGAGTTGAACTGTTCTTTGATCTGCTGATTTGGTAGCTTGGATTGAATATCCTGAGATACTGTTATTGTTGATAGTTGATAGCAGGAATGGCTCAATAGCAAAGTTGAAAAGTACTGGTGATATAGAGTCTCCTTGTCTTAGTTCTCTTCTCTGTTTCATTGGATTGGATAGAAATCCATTCATGTTGATGAAGATTTCATTGTCAAAGAAAATGCTCTGTATGCATCTAACAAATTTGTTAGGAAAGCCAAACTTCAGTAGCACTTGTGTAAGATATTGTGGATGAACTCTGTCGTAAGCTTTGTTATTTTCAAGCATCACTCAAACGTATCCTTCAAATTCTTGGTTGTTTCCTGCTCTGGTCATTTTGGCATTGTCAATCATCATTCTAAGAGCTAAACCTTGGTCTTCAACAAAGCTTCCTGGCATGAAATCAGTTTAGAATTTGGTGATAAGCCGATTGGCGATTTTCATCATTCTTGCATTCATTAGCCTAGTGAAGACTTTACAGTCTGTATTTATCAATGTGATTGGTCTCCAGTTTCCTAGGTCTGATAAGTCACCCTTTTTTTTTGGTAGCAATACAACACACGCTTGCTGTCATGATCTTGGAAACTTTCCTAGCTTGATAGCATCATTTTAGACTTGTGTTATGATATCTCGACAGCTTGGTTGATTGACGATGATATTAAGTATCTCATATGGGATGCCATCTAGCCCTGGACTATATTTACGTGGGCTTTTTTGCGTACCTAGTATGATGTGTTCATAGTAAATCTCCTCAATCAAGTTGTCACTTTCTTCTTTAGACACGACTTTGATAATTTGGTTCGTCATAGCTCCTAAACTGTTTATGTCAACTCTCTCTTCTGTATACAGCTTGGAGTAGAACGTTTAAGCAGCTTCTAGCTTGGAGTTATTGACTGTACATTCATTACTAGTGGCTGGGTGTTTCAAAATGCCCATTGTCTTTTCTTTTGTCGCCGCTTAATAGTATTTTTGATGTAGGATGGGGACTTTTCGTTGTTTTCCATCCATCTCTGACCGGCTCTGAGTTTATCTGCATTGCTTTTCTCTTCCTGTAATTTGGTGATTTGGCTCTGGACTGGAGGTAGTAGCGTATTCAAACATACAGGATCTTGACCATAGAGCCGTAGCAATTTGTTTCGTTTTCTATTCAATTCTTTCAATTTCTTTTCTCTCCACTGGTTATGGCGACGGCAGAAGTTGGCTGTTACTTTTTTAACCATGTTTTTGATTGAGTCCCATTTGCCTTGTGCTGACATTGCCGGGTCTAACTTGTGTTGTATATATTTGTCAAGTTCGCTTTTCAATTTGTCAGTGTATCTTTCATTTTTGGCAAGATAGGGGTTCCCTCTCTATATGACTTTCCCATTGTTCTGTAGCTCAATAGTCAGAGCTTTCTTTAGTAGTGCATGATCTGTGTATTTGTCACTCAGGAATTCCACATCATTATCTGACATTTGTTTGAAAGTGTTGAGTCCGGCAAATATGTAGTCCATGGTTGACGAAGATACCTTGTCGCTTCACTTTTAGATGTAAGTATAGTCGTATTGCTCGCCTTGTTGATTTATGCAGGCTTTCATAGGACCCTTGATGAGTTCATTCAGTTGTTGAGGCTTAGCTTTTGTTATTGTAGAGTGTTTGCTTGCGCTATCAAAACTAAAATTAAAATCACCGGCCATAATTAGGTCAGGAATCATCTCTGGTGTCTTGAGTAGTAGATTGACTATTGTTCTAAAAAAAGTGTTTCTCTCGGTCATCTTTTCAGTTTTTAGACCTGATTGTGCATATAGGTTCATGATTTATACAGACGGGATAGAGTTGTCAATGGTTGTTAGCTTAACTAGGATAATTCTTCCATCTTTAAATACTTTGATTTCTTCTAGATTTAAAGCATTGTTGAAGTTAATTATTGAGCAATGTTTTGTCCAAATTGCTTGGTGATAGTTGAACTTGAATTTCATGTTGTTTATGGCTTCTTCAGAGGTGAGAGTTGGTATGTTTTTTTTGTTGACATAGTAGCACATTCAATTTCTTGGTCTTCAGTAAAGCAATAAAATCGTCTGTGGTTTGTTGGTTAGTGTGCATGTATAAGCTTCTGCAGTTGACAGAGCCTATTTTAATGTGCAAGTGTTTGTATGTATTCATCTTTTTTAAGCTTTTAGTCCAGCTCATTCATTTTCTCCCCATCATTGTCAGGAAAAGGAGAAGACATTTGAGTAACAATTTCACTTTTAATGTTTTTGCTGAGTCTTTTTGTATTTAGAGTCAAAGATTATCTTGTTTCAGGAAAGAGAGCGTCTTCCAAGTTACGCTTTGTAATTGTCCTGTTTATTTTAATTTTCTCTTTACTAGTCGAGTAGAATGAGTGTCTGCGAGTGATAATATCGTCCAGCTTTCTGGTTTGTTGACTTCTAGAGCTTCTTGGTGTAGAAACTAACTTAATAGGAACAGGTTCCTTCATAGGCTGGCTTGATTCGCTAGTACATCTACTCATCATTAGGCTTTTTTTCTCTGGATCTATTACTTTTTCCATAACAGTCGTTTCACTTTCTACTGCCTGTGGCTTTGGATCTTTCTTGAGTAGTTCGAGCAAATTGATTTCTCGTCTAATTCCTGCAGCATTGTTACTTTTAAAGCCAGTTGTCATATCTGACTCCTCTTCAGGTCCAGACTTTCTACTTTTGGACATTCCTCCTGTTTTGTTTGTTTTGAGGGTCACGATTCCAAGGTGCCATAGGGCATTTGACTTGCAAGTGGTTAGGGCTCTTGCAGCGGAAGCATATATTTCTGACTCTTTTGGGTCAGTCAAATTGGATGTGTTCGTCCGTATGACAGCCAGTGCAAATAGGCTTCATTTGAGACCAACGGTGTTCAGTAATACTGCTTGAAAACCTACAAGTCTCACTTGGGGAGTGAGCTCAGCTGCATACGTTGCTTTTAATTTATCCCTATTAATCGTAGCAAAACCGCGACTAGTGAACCATTCGGAGTCAGCGCACTTGGAGATACCAATGTTCAAAATATCGCCAAAGCGTTCAAAGGTATTGATCAATGTTGACTTCAATACTTCTTCTTCCATGAGAGGAATTTCAGAAATACCAATGTTGATTACCATTGCAAAATGGTCAAGGGTCTTGTTCAGTTCAATTTTCTTTCCATTCACTACAAATTAAATTCTTTAAGGAAAGCGTCTCTACATGCGTTTTCAGTCGAGAAGCCAAGCTTCATAGCCTTTCTTTTGTTCTTGCCAATCATTCTAGGTTTAAGGCCAAGGCATTTAGGAAATTGCCAGTGTAACATTTTGAGTAAAGGTTTGTCTTTAAACTCCATGCCCAAAAATTGAGCACAGTTGATTATAATGGAGCTTCGTTCTTTAGCTTCCAGAGAAGTTGAATAGGCGTTGAGAGGTTTGAAACTACCATTCTCAACATTTGGTGACACTTCAAAGATATGTCGTTTTTGAGCTTTAAGAGCGTCTTTAAAGGACTGATTAGAAGACAATTGGTTGTCTGGATCATGACTAGAATCCAACGTTGAACTGCCTTGTGGGGAGGTTCTACGGTTATCACTCTGATAATTAAGCGAAAGAGCCATAAGAATTTCTAAATCCCTTGACATGAACATATTAATTCAAACTCAGAATTTCGTTAGAGACACTCTACTAACGCCAAACTTCAAAGCATTATAAACAAAATCATATTTGACAATACCATTCAATCTTATCTAAATATTAAAGCTATTTTAAGTGAATGTCTCTCTAAGCTTTGATCCGCATTACCATTTTCTGTCTTGTGTTCAGTTTGTTATCCATCTTTTAATTATTTTGTGCATCTTCGTTCTTCACTTCATCAGTTTTGATAAGGACATTTTGTTTTGCCTTTTTCAATGCTAGCACTTCTTTAAAATATATCTGTACATACCATCTAGGCTAGAGAGGAGACTGAATGTAATCCAAGAAAAAAAAAAGCAATATGCATTCATTCAATTTCCGCGTTTATTATCGTCTTTCTTTCAAGCTTATAACATGAAATCAGTTGGCAGTCTTCGAAAGAAAGGCTTTGGAGGGGATCACTTCATGCGTAAGGATAAGCATAAAAACTCCAACACAAATGTGTCTTCTCCTATTGCAACGGGCTATGTGCCCAAGTCTTTTACAACGCTTCCAGCATCAACCATGACAACACCTACTGCACCCATCACAGTAGATTTGCATCGGTTTGCAGATGAAAACTTACAGCCAGAAGAATGTAACTATAAGCTAGATAGATTGACTCGCTTCTTAACATCATCTTAGTTGTCAAGCGAACTTTGGGGGATACGAATGAAGAAGGCATTCGAGGTTTTTACAAGTCCCTAACAGACGCCAAACATCTTGTAGGTGGTGATTTACAGCGCAATGTCTATCGAAATTATACAGAGTTTGTGTCGATTTCAAAAGAGATCTCTAACCTCGATGCCGATGTCTTGAGTGTCAAAGAATATCTGAATGAGCTCAAGTCGATATGGGAAAGCTTTTTGGTTGCTACTCATTCATCTGAACATGCTTCTGCAGCAGGTGAGTCAAAAAAGCTAATATGCAAGGCATTAACATAGCTCATAGGAACAGAGTCTATCTTTGCTTCTCAAAGAAAAAAGAGCGAAATGATGGCAAGTGATATTAACAGTATTCATCATGCACAAATCATGGCGTTATGGGAAAATGTAGAAGGATCTCAAAGGTTTATTCCTCAAGCACAGAATCGACACATTGTTCGAGAATGTGTTGGTTTTTATGAGGTCAACACAAGGACACTTCAACAGAGACAAGCTGTGCATTTGTTCTTGTTGAATGATTGTTTATTGTTGGCTCGCAAAAGAGGGCACAAATTAGTTGCTGATAAATGTTGGGGTATTCAGGATTTGACTATTTCAGACATTAAAGACTCTTCAGGTACACAGAAACTAAGTTTGTGGGTTCACTGACAAGAAGATAGACTTGACCAATGCTCTTCGCGTTGTTGTATACCCAGATACTTTTATCTATCGTTCGGAAAGAGTAGAAGACAAGTTAGACTTGCTAGATGTCTACAGAAGAATGATTGAAGAGAATGATGATAGACAGTTAGATACACCTCAACCAGGTAAGTTGTCAATAAAACATCTATCTATACTCATATCAGATAGATATTCGTAAGGTAAAAAAAAGGGGGGGGTCTAAACCACACCTGGACTAAAAAGGAAAGCATAGCCTACAAGTTTAAGCAGTGGCAGTATTCATCATGATAAAGAGAAATGGCTTGTTGAATTGCCTGATCAAATGGAAGTACTGATTGCTTTGAGAGAATTTGAAAAGAGTGTTGCTTATTTGGAGAAAGGTATCTACAAACAATAGTGAATATCTGCTTATTTGTCTATAGCTCGTCATATTGTCATATCATCATCGGCTTCATTGCCTATTGTGAGAGAAGCGCGGGACAATATTGAACATTATACAGACATTCTGAGTCAGATTATCAGCCGAGATCTTAGTAATACATTGTTAACTAAAATACAATTTCAGCGCTATGTCAATTGGTTATTGCGATTAGACAAAAGCGAAAAGGTAATAAAACAGTATAGAATGGTGTATTCATCTTGATGATAGGCACGTCAAGTCTTCTTAGGCACTCGTACTTTAATTATAAAGAAGAGAATTAGGTATGTGTGGCTTTACGTCATAAGTGAGCTTATGCAACACATAGACAATTGGTGTTCGAGGGTGATATCACAACATACATTGGTGAACTTGCTCTTGTTGTGTTTACCTTGATTCGAAATACTTGTGAATGGTATCGAGATTCATTTAAACAGAATGACATGGCTTCAGGTAAGATATATCTAAATGAACTACCACTTATTTTGTTAGGATTCGTAACATGGGTTCGAGAACAAACAGAAGTTTATGCTGATATTTACAAGCGCCAAGTATTCGGTCAGAGCCATTTAAGCTGTCAAGTGATTGCTGACTGCTTTAAGTCTACTTTGGAACAATGCTCTATCGTAAGAAACGTAATTTGTCAATTCGTATGCTCACTCTATGTTATAGCTTAGAAAAGTAGGTCTTGATCTTAAGTTTTTGTTAGAAGATTTGTTTCTTGAGAATGTAAAAGAAACAGTGATTTCATATGAAAAGAGAAGCATGGACAAAATAGCCAGATTTGTGGGCAATGATAATTTTCATGTTGTATCTGGTCAAGGCTTAGGCACAGATGTCAAAGTTACGTCAAGTGTTGTAAGCTTTTATAATCTTCTAGTCAAGTTTTCAAATGATGTTTGCCTATTATCCAAACTACAGGCAAGTAAGGAGTACTTGGCAAACAAAATAGCTCATCATGTTATAGCTGTATTCGACTGTCATCGATAGTGTCTGCCAATTAACTGAACATTATTTGCGTTCCATGATAGCTGAGTCACGCAAAAAGGAATTATCTAAAGATCAGGCAAGTAATAATCATTTTAAATTCATTTGATCTGATACATGCTTGTAGAGGACAATTGCTTCCATGAATGTATCTTTTATTCTTGATAATGTAGTACCAAGAGTGTCTTCTCAGTTAAATGTAAATGCATATAGTTCATATTAGATACTTATATGTCTATAGTATCATTTCAACCGCCCTATACCAGAATTAGATACTTTAAGAGCAAGACTCCGAGGTAAACTATGACAACCTGATTCTTTATTTTTAATACTTTTAATAGAATTGACTTTTACGAATTGAAATCATCAACATGTGAGACAAGCTGGGTCGCAATTTTTTTTTTTTTTTTTTTTTTTTTTGGCTCTGCATTCAACTCCTTAATAAACAAGTGTCAATTCATTTTTTTTTCTTTTTCTCTTTTGTATATATCTATCATTTTCAATATATGCATTTATAGACTCCTTTAAGTACATTTGGATAAACATACATTATATAAACATATGCTATCAGCTCTATTATTCTTTATTACAAGACATGATATTCTCTAAACCAAAATCATTTTCAAAAGGCCTATTACTGTCCTCCCTTCTGATATTGCCTTGTTCCTGTGCTTATATTACAGCGACATCTACAAGGAAGCAAGTACCATTCTCTGATATCATGGCTCTTTTTCAATCTCGGTTCTTCCATCTTCTTTTTAGTTTCTGGGCTTTGGTCGAATGTCTTTTTTATATCTATTTTATTCTTACTCGAAAAAGATTACAACGTATCACCAAGCCTGAAAAAATGCTTACCAAATCAGAAAGAACAGCATTATTCTGGAACTGTGTGAAGACGATCAAGAATTTTCCTTCATGGTGCGAGGGATGGTTTTATTATAAAAAGGACTACACACATCCTACTTTTGACAAGATATGTCGAGGCAATATGGCACAATGGTTTGTCACATTGAGTGTTACACACATTTCTAATTGTTTACATTGATAGGCTTTCTTGGGCATTTTGGCATGAGCATGTCGAAATCATACAACAAAATCAAGCCTGGGCTGAAGAAATTGACTGGATGATCAGAACAACTGAAGCCCATTTCAATTCTACCTTGCCCAATGGTCTCAATACTGAGTTAGAATGTATTCGACTTAACCTGGACCCTGTGCACGCAATACACCGCCCTCTGGTTGTATACATCAGTGTTTATTTAGCCACACAACTCTTTAATCTTGTCTTTTTGAAATGGTGTTGGGGATTTACTTCGAATGATTCTATCAGTGGATTATGGGGTGGCCCTCTTCAATACATCGATAGTCTACTGAACAACACCTGTAGTGATGGTATCAACAAGATCACCTATTGGTATCGTAAACCATCAACCCAAACATCAAAAACACCGATTGTGTTCATTCATGGTATTGGTGCAGGAGTGATTTGTTATGCAGAATGGATTTATCAGCTCCTTTGCCATTTTGATCGACCTGTGTTCTTGGTCGAACTTCCTTATGTTGCTATGCATATGGTAGATGCTGCACCCACAGCAGCAGAAACAGCTGATGAAATCACACGCATGCTGCATACATTTGGTCACACCAAAGCTGTCTATGTGTCTCATTCACTGGGTACGGCTGTCACTAGTTGGATCATGAAACTGGCTTCAAATACAGTAGCAGGGACTGTGATGATTGATCCCATCTGTTTCTTGCTGCATTACCACCATGTTGCTTTTAATTTTGTACATCGTCTGCCTAAACGATTGATGGAGGTAAGCTTACTGATGCCTTGATGGTTTTAGACTAAGTGATATAGTATCTATTGCATTATGGTGCATCCAGAGAAATGTACATTAGTTATTATATTTCCCGTCATTTCCAATGGTTTGAATCTATCTATTTTGTTGATCAAACTCAAAAAGTGCCTTTACAGAATATAGCTGTCTTTTTGTCCGAAAAAGATGGTATTGTAGGCAGTGATCAAGTGTACCAATATCTTTTAGAGAATGATGTCAATACTTATAGTATGAAAGGTTTAGAACATGCCATGTTTCTTATCAACAAAAAATGGAAAAGTACAATAATTCATCAAATTGATACTATTTCTTGTAAAGCAGATAGTTTAAAATAATAGTAATAGTAATCATAGTAATAATAGTAATAATAGTAATAATAGTAATAATAGTAATAATAACAACAATAGTAATAATAACAACAATAGTAATAATAACAACAATAGTAATAATAACAACAATAGTAAAATAATAGGTGTGTGTGGGTGTATGTGTATTAAGAGAGAATATAGAATATGAATTAAGGCTTCTAGGTATTATACATAGAAAAATCATCAAGAAACAATACTAGATAAGGTAGGTGATATTTGTTGCTTTCTTGCATCACCTATTTCCATGGCAGTCAATGCAGCATCCAGGCTGGTCATACTTGTAGGACGACTCAAAGGTTTCCTTTCACTCCCAACTGTAGTGGGACTAGCAGGAACACTGTTACTATTGTTATTGGTAGGTAAGCGATGTTGCTGATGACTGTATTCCAGTAACTCCGCCTGCGATAGTCTAACAGAAAGTTTAGACGATGACGATGGAGAGCGATTGCCATTTGTAGCTGATATATGAGATCGGATGGATTCTGCACGTGAAGGTGCCCGAGGATAGTTCGAGAGATGATGCTCTGCTAAAAATTGCTCGAGAAAATCAACAATCAAGGGTTCCTTCATCACAGATAATTTGTATTCTTCAAAAGACTACACTTTGATTAGACATTTCTTTGTATTGAGTCAGTGACTTACCAAACGCCCATCATTATCAATGTCAAAGTCTTTAAACATATGTTCAACCATCTCTTTAATTTCAGTAGTTCTATCTTCATTTGAAAATGCACCAGACTAACAAAATATATCAACAATATGTTTTTTCTTGAGCTTTTTACTTACTAGTTTTAGCATGACCCTTTCCAATTCAGCACTTGTCAAATAGCCATCATGATTTACATCATAAAGTTTAAATGACACTGATATAAAAAAAAAAAAAGAGATGTTAATCTTATGCTCATTTTCCCACACACACACACACACACACACACACACACACACACACACACACACACACACACACACACACACACACACACACACACACACACATACACATACACACACACACATACATGTAAGTTTTTCTTCTGGAGTTCCTTTCATAAAAACACTAAGACCATCAACAAATTCACTAAAATCAAGACTATTGTTATTGTCTCCACCGAATGCAGAATAGAGTTGTTCTAGGAAGGCGTCATCATTGGAAGAAACAGAAGGCACATATTTCTTTACTGTCTATTGTTACCTGCGTTAGTCTGGAACAAAAGACGTTGCATTTACCTCTTTGAACACTTCTTGAGTAATACTTGATCTGCTTGATTTCGTTGAAGAGTCTACTTTATGGCGGAGATCGTGAATCTCTTTCTTTGTAACTAGAGAAAAGTAAGACTATGTTTGTTGATAAAGGGAACATTTACAGTGTGTCTTTTTAGATAAAATGTTGTTTTCGTGTCGTTCCCTACTCTTGGCTTGTCCCATGATTTTGTGCTGAGCGAAAAAAAAACAATAGAGGAAAAAAGGGAGAAATGGTTTTTTATTGAGCCATTCTTCTGGCGGTGATTTAACTGCTGGTGATACATGTTGAACCCCCCTCTCCTTGTTACCTGTGCGCTTCGTGTTTATTTACCAAGTAAACACAACCTTGTTGCTAAGCAGCAGGCTTCCAAGACAGTGATTTCTTCTGGTTTTGCTGTACCTCTTTCTTAATCTGCCTTGTTTTTGACGGGCATGATTTTTTTTAAAAAAAAAGCTTTCTCCGTTGGATTTAAAGTCAGAACCTGGTAACAATTATCCTTTTTCTTTTGTCTGTATTATCATGACTATCCACAGACAATCTACTGTTATCTTTGTTCATTCCACGGCCCATTGGGAGTCTATTTTGCAACAGAGAGCTCAATTGCTGGGTATAAGTCGAGAAACAGCACCAGAAAAGCAACAAAAACCAAAGGTCTATAAAGATAAGCGACCTGAGAGTAGCGATGAGCAAAAGAAAGAATCCCGCTATTCTCATCTTATTGGGAAAGAAGGCAGTCGTAGAAGACAACGTTGGACAAATAGTATGTCTAAATCAACATGAACAACAAACGATATTTACTATGATAGATACTTTTTCGGATCACCCCTCTGCTGTGCTTTATGCTGAGGATTTACGTCCTCCTGGTTATCATACAAATCAACCTAGAAAACATCACCAAACAATTACTGCTTTGTCACTCGATCAAGAAGATCAAGAATTGACATTGAACTTGATTGAAAAGAATGCTACACCACAATTACTTTCAAGACATGTTCGTCATGATCTAAAGAAAGCCCATATCTCACAAAGTTTGGTCACCAATTACGAGCTTCAACTGATCCAGTTCATTGATCAGTGGCTAAACGATCTTTATGCACTTGAACATGCTTATCTCAAACTACAAGTGGCCTCAAATAACCAATTTGAGCGATATGTACTGCATACCATGAGTAGATATTATGGACTTTATTCTTTTAGTACTGTATAACGTAGCAAATTTTGATTTTACTTAAACGTCTATATAGGTCAAGATGATGATGAGCAACATGGTCGAATGACATATATTTGTCACCCTGCCTACACTAATTATGTTACAAAAAGCGACAAAGATTCGATAGATTATGTAAATGCTGCCAATTGGAGTATGCCAGAGAAATCATTCTATGATTATTTATTCAATAGAAAGTAAACTCAGAAAGATTCATTAAGCAACAACAAGAGAGAATGTCTTTTAAGAAAGAGAGCTTGAATAGTACACATTGTTTTGTCATTATTGTGTTAAGGAACAACCATAAAGCTTATGAACTTTTTTTTCACATGCAAATAGCTCTGTTTTTTTTTCTGAAAATAATGCATGTGAAGGACGAATAGGTTAAGGTTCTGTGATAGACAAAACTCGGTAATGTCCTTTTTATTTTTCTTTGTATGAATAGCGTAGATGATGTTGTTAGTGTCGGTATTAGCTACATACAAAAAAAGGTTGAACTTTAATACAGCTAGAAAAAGAAAAAAAAGAGTGTTCATTCCTTTAATCATTCTTGAAAAAGAAAGCATAATTGCGATGATAAGGTTTTAATGTAGATACTTTATTCAAATTTGTAACTTTTTTAATGAAATAAATAAAAGCTGATTTCAATAAATAAATGATAATCTTCTAGTAAGAAATAAATTAGGCAACAGTCAAGAAGTCAGAACCGAGAAGACGAGTGGCAACCTCAGTTTGAGTAACGATAACTTCACTATAAAGAGAATGAGTTCAGATTGAAATTCTTAACAAAATAAAAATAAAAACTTACGCAGTTTCTTGAGCGACCTGTAAGACAGTGCTTGTACCAGAGGAAACAGTGAGAGTTACGAGAGGTGCAACGCCTTCTGTGGGTGCAACGCCTTCTGTGGGTGCAACGCCTTCTGTGGGTGCAACGCCTTCTGCGGGTGCAGCGTTGTGCCAGATGAACATAACCTTGGAATTCTTCTTTCCTTTCTTGTGCTTGCTCGACTTGTTATCAGAGTCAGATGTATAGCCTTCCTTGTCATCGTGACCCCAAGTCTTGGCGCTCTTATCATTACTCCAGCTCTTGCTAGCATAGTCCTTGTGGCTCCATTCGCTGGCACCCTTACCATACTTGTTGTCTTTGTAGTCTTCACCCCAAGACTTGCTGGCATGGCTTTCACCTCCCTTGTGGTAACCATAGTCCTTCTCTTTACCATAGCCATAGTCCTTTTCTTCTTCATAGCCCCAGCTCTTCTTGCCACCCTTGTTACCGTAGCCGTATTCTTTTTCTTCACCGTAGCCATAGTCCTTTTCTTCTTCATAGCCCCAGCTCTTCTTGCCACCCTTGTTACCGTAGCCGTAGTCCTTTTCTTCACCGTAGCCATAGTCCTTTTCTTCTTCATAGCCCCAGCTCTTCTTGCCACCCTTGTTACCGTAGCCGTAGTCCTTTTCTTCACCGTAACCGTAGTCCTTTTCTCCACCGTAGCCGTAGTCCCTATCTTTTTCTTCACCCCAGCTCTTCTTGCTATCCTTCTTGTCGTAACCGTAGTCCTTATCTTCTTCATCGTAACCCCAGCTCTTCTTGTCTTCCTTGTCATCATCCTTCTTCCAGTCCTTGTCATCATCCTTCTTCCAGTCCTTGTCATCATCCTTCTTCCAGTCCTTGTCATCGTCCTTCTTCCAGTCCTTGTCATCGTCCTTCTTCCAGTCCTTGTCATCGTCCTTCTTCCAGTCCTTGTCATCATCCTTCTTCCAGTCCTTGTCATCATCCTTCTTCCAGCCCTTGTGGTCATCATCATCGCTGTCGCTACCACTGTCGCTATCGCTATCGCTTTCATCATCCTTCTTGTCGTCCTTGTCATCCTTGTCATCGTCCTTCTTCCAAGACCAACGCTTTTCCATCATGTTACGAGACATCATAGAGGGAGCAACAGAAGCATCAGAGGCATCCATCATACTGGCAATGACAGAGGCATAAGCAGCTTGAGCATCAACAGAAGCGGAAACAGAAGCAGAAACTTGAGATGCAGGTGCAGCAGAAACGGCAACAGCCAATAAAGCAGCGGAAATCAATGAAAGAGAGATTTGCATTTGAATATATGTGTTTGTGATAAAAAAAAAAAGCAGATTGACCCAAGAAGTATTGAGGTATTTATACGAAAATGAATTGATAGTATGTGTTTATTTTGTACAGGATCAATTTAAAATTTTGCGCTCTAGATGTTATTATTGCCTGCATAAAATTATTTTGACAATTGGTACAAATTTGGATCGTAAAAGACATGTTGTTAACAAACATTGTAGGCAGTATTCATTTTATTGCTGTCCATGTAGGAAAATAATTATAAACAGAGCGACATATTCACATACAAAAAAAAAGGTATATCACTCGGAATTATACAGTTTGAAAAAAGAAAGAGAGAAAAGCTTATATCCAACTGTCGATAAATGATCCGACTAGGAAGTATTAATTATTATTCTTTTTTTTTTATTTTATTTTATTCACACTCCTTGTTTATTAGTAATACTTGTTGCCCATTTAATGAGATCTACTTTTTCTGTAGCAGCAGAGACGAGGTACTGATGATTCTATTATAGAATGAGTGACATGCTGAATGTAGTTTTTTTTTTTTTTTTTTTGTTTGCTTACCATTAGATCATTGGGTGTGGCTCTTTCTTTAACATCCTTGGTTAAACTAATATAAACAAAATGAGAACATAATCTAAACAAACATATCCATACCATAAAGCAACAAAGTCTGTCAAGTCAGAAGGATATTCTTTGTTGGGAGGGAATACAGGTACAGGTTCATGTACAATGTGCTGAAGCAATTCAAAGATAGACAAAGGTGTTCCTTCAGGAGGGAAAGGGAACCTTCCTAAAGCTAATTCCATCAATGTGATACCTAAAGACCAGACATCGGACTTGACTGAGTAAGGAGACCCCATAATCCTTTCCGGCTATATATATTAAGAAAAAAACAGTAAATATAACATATATATTTGGTTATAAACGTATTTACACTCATATATGAACTTGTTCCAACAAATGTGTCTGCTACTGAATTGATCAATTGACCAGAAACACCAAAATCACATAGCTTAATTTGACCTTGTGAATTGACCAAGACATTGGAAGGCTTCAAATCTAATAGGGTGTTATTCATATCACACACTCTATATTTTGCTTACCTCTATGAATAATACGATGTTCGTCATAAAGGTATATTAAGCCATCTACAATCTAACCAGAGACATAAATCACTAGTAGAGACTCAATCAGTAACTTACTGCATACGCCACTTTCTTCAAGACATCTAGAGGAAAAGGACCATGTTTTTTATAGATTTGATCAAGTGAGCTATTTTAAAATTAATAATAGAGTATAAAAATGGAATTTAAACATACCCCGCATCCATGTACTCCATACAAATTGAGATATCTCCTCCATTCATAAAAGCACCGTAGAAACTTACAATATGTTTTGAATTGCAATCGTGCATGAACTGTAATTCACGCATTATTTGCTTTCTTACATTCATATTAGCATCAATATGCACAATCTAGAGAATTTCTTAGTAACTGTTGCCATGGAGTATCCTAGAAATGTATCAATTTGGATCAATTGTCAACTACCTTTCTTGCCATGACTGTATTTGTTCTGATATGCAGCACTTTTGATACGGTCCCGCCGTTTCCTCTTCCAAGCTCATCTATTGACTTAAAATCTTCAGGGCGTAGATCCAATCGTAGTTCAAGACCAATCTCCAGCTCACTTAGTTGGTCACACAGTTGAGTATAGTCATTAGTAGCAGTCTTGATGGCTGATCTGTCTGTTGATTCATTCAGAGAAGCAGATGATGGTGGGGAACCAACCACAACAGGCGAGTTTGGAAGTGTTAAGTTCTTAAAGTTACGCTTCTTTCTTAAAGGTGCTTTTGAGAGCATCATACAGTCTTGTCTGTAAAAAAAAAAAGGGTGATGAAAGAAAGAATAAATTAATTTAACAGTGGCCTTTTTTTTTTTTTTTTTTTTTTTTACTCTGTTATTTTTGCAGCATTGAGACTCCGGACAACAGAGAAAGAAAGAAATGCCAGGCACCATTTTCTCTTTCTCTCACTTTTTTTTTCTGTGCTTGTCAAACAGAGGCTTGCCTCTTCAACCTTTCTTTGCTTATCAACTGTTTAAATGCAAAATAAACAATGAAAAAAGCACAAGCTATTTCAAACATGAAGCAACAAGATTTGAAGACAATTAATAAATGTTTTATTGCCAATTTGATCTAATCTTTAGGAAACGTGCTTGCAACTAAAAATTGGAAACAGCACTGACTTATTTGATTCACAGCCAAATTTCGCTTTTACAGATGATGAATGCCAAAATCCAATATCCTAAACGATGTCTCGTTTTTCCTGTTCATATGAATAAAAAAAAAAAAAAAAAAAAAAAAAAAACTTACTTTTGTACTGCTGCTATACACCGGCGTGCATTGAATCCCAAACGCCATACCACATCCACATCTTTAATTAAATCGTTTTCGAATTTACCAGTCTTTACATCCCATATCTTGACCCCGCCTTCAGCACCAGAAATGATTTTATGATTGTCGTGTTGAAAACATGTAATCGAGTTCCTGTGTCCGGACAAAGCATGATAACAAACACCTGTTTCTGTAGACCAGATACGAATCACAGCATCTGCTGCTGCAGAAACAAGGCATTGATCTGTTAATCCCAATAGCCCAACAAGAACAGTATGGCCTTCTAGTCTCCATAGACACTGACCCGTCTTCAAATCCCATACACGTACGGTTGAATCTAGACTACCACTCATACACCTGTTTCGATCTGAATCAATGACAACAGTATATACTTTCTGTGTATGTCCTTCCAATACGTGGAGAGAGTGGCCTGTATGGAGATCCCAGACACGCACTGTACTGTCATAACTTCCACTGACGATAATATTTTTATGTGAAGCAATGGCTCTCACGGACTGTCGATGGCCAATTAAGGACTGTATAAAAAAGGGGTTCACGTCATCCGCATCACCAGAAAATGGCTGGTCGTTTGCGTCAGGCAGTTTCCATACGCGTAGTGTGGCATCACGGGAGCCGGTAATAATCATACGTGGCCCGCCTTGTCGAACAGGTTCTGTAATGAGCAAACACCGAATAGTAGATGTATGGCCAGTAAACACATGCGTGCATTTACCTGTCTCCATATTCCAGACATGGACACGGCGATCTGTAGAACCAGTAACAAGCGTATTTTCCACATATTGAAGTGCCCATACACCCCCTTCATGGCCTTCTAAAGTCATGCGTTTTTTCCCTGTTGCTGTATCGTAAATATTAATGTACGCATCGTCTGCACCAGAAACAATTTTGTCATCATCAAATTGCAAGCAAGTGACGACAGACGTGTCATGGCCACGAAACGTCTTTTCTTGTGCTCTTCCTTTACGCCAATTCTGTCTTAATGTGTGGTGTCGTGCATACAGTGTCTTGTAGCTAGTGGTCTTGAGAAGAGGGTGGATAGGATCATGAAGTGAATAACCATCTTGCAGTAGCCATGTCTTCCATAATTCATCATCACTATCAATCATTGTTTTCCACTTTTTAGATACGCAAGAAGCCCTAGCAAGTGAAAAAGGGTCCAAGCATCTTGTGATATGTTTTGATAATTCGAGGGGCAATGTGGATAAGAAATCGCGCTTAAGAATAGGCATAATCATAGCATTGACAAACTGAAGTGTGTCTATTGAGGACCTTTTCAGTAATTGAAATAAAAGATACGTCTTGTGGTTGTGTGGGATAAGATCAAACGCATGAATCATGGAAGGGAGTTGCCATAGTGCATTTAATGTGCTTGAATTCTCGATCTGATTTGCCCAGACGCATGGTTCACAAAGTACTGTATCGTCTGATCGAGCCTTTTTTTGTGGATCAAATGTACTATTTGGGTCATAAGTGGCTGATCTTTTGCGAGTAAATAGAATAGAGTGGCTCTATTCAAGTTGAACATACTAGAGAAAGGACCTTTTTCTTTTTCTTTTTCTTTTTTACCTCATTTGGTTCTGTAACATTTTCATGATAGAAAGAAGGAAGACTTATTCGTATCGCGTTTGACTCGGTATGATTTATGAGCGACTTGTGAAGTGAGTTTTGGTTTGGCATTGCTTACAGAAAAAGGAAAAAGAAAAAAAATAAAGAGAAGGAGATAAACACTCTTTAAAAAAATAAAGGGGTGTGAGAGGAGAAGCATGTAAGGAGTTTGATTTTATCTAATGAATTTTGTTCTTTATGCAATACACAATATGTTGTAAAACAGATGTGACCATCTATGGTAGTAGATTTTCTATTTATCGGCAGAATATTGTTTATGCATACAAACAGTGTCTCTATTGCGTGCCAAGCAAATTCGAGTAAAAATAAACAAAAGTTGTTTTTTAACATTCAGAGCTCATATGTCGTGCCTTTATCATGAGTCATACTATCATGCGCCTTCTTTTTTTTTTAATTCTACTTCTATTGGTATACATGAACATTTTTTTTAAAAAAAAAAAGAACAAGAAAAAAGTAATAGTAAACATAGTATATAAACAAAATTAATAAGCACTGCAGTTCATTTAGCCCTTTTTTTCAGATCTTATTTACGTTGTTCTGAGTCAATTATAGCATTTTCAAAGGAGAAGAAGTTAAAATATTCTCTTGTACGTTAGAGATTAACTATAAATCTGTAAGCATCGACGCCATTCTATTGACTATATCTCAAATATATTTTGCACTACCGGGAATTTCTTTTGCATTTTCCGTTGTGGTAATGTCGTTTTCAGTATTGATTAATCTCGCGCCTATTTTGAGCAATGCATCAAGAGATACCTTGTTCTCCCAAGAAGTAGCCGCCTTTATATAAATATGTTGGCCTTCAAAAGCTAATTGGTTTAAACATTTCGTAAAGTAATGGTTTATTTAAGGATTTGATGTCTCCTACTTTGCCCTCCATCAGGCACGTCAGTTTGTCTTAAACAACAAATCTAATTAGCCTAAAAAAAATGCAAAATCGTCTTAATCTGAAGTTAAAATATTATATTCAAAGCATCAGACCCTATATTGACATATACGTCACTTTTGCTTTGTCATATTATGTACGATTGGACAGGATGAACTTTGCATAAGACATTACCCAATTCAACAAGTCTTTGTGAAACCACAGGGAAAGTTATAAAAGATCTCGATTGAATTAATGGTACTAATTTATTCTTTTTTGTTCTTATAAATTATTAATCTACGCATTATGTCTAACAAGATCTTGACTACTTCCAACGGCTGCCCTGTTGATAATGACCAGACTTCCATTACTGCTGGTGTCAACGGACCCATTCTCATTTCTGATTTTCATTTGATTGACAAGATCTCTCATTTCGATAGAGAACGTATCCCTGAACGTGTTGTTCATGCTAAGGGTGCTGGTGCTCATGGTGAATTTGGTAAGTAATAACTGCAGTAAAAAAAGGGCTCTTTTAACATGTCGTAGTTGTCACACATGATGTATCTCATCTCACAAAGGCCAAGTTTCTTAATGGCATTGGTAAAAAGACCCCTATGTTTGCTCGCTTCTCTACTGTAGGTGGTGAAAAGGGTAGCGCTGATACTGCCCGTGATCCCCGTGGTTTCTCCCTCAAGTTCTATACCGAGGAAGGCAATTTCGATGTGGTTGGTAACAATACTCCTGTTTTCTTTATCCGTGATCCCTCCAAGTTCCCCGATTTCATTCACACACAAAAGCGTGATCCTCAAACCAACTTGAAGAACCCTGAAGCCAAATGGGATTTCTATACTTCTGTTCCCGAATCGCTGCATCAAGTCACTATCCTTATGTCAAATTACGGTACTCCTGACGGTTTCCGTTTCATGCATGGCTACGGATCCCACACTTTCAAGTTGGTTGATAACGAAGGCAAGTTCAAGTACTTCAAGTGGCACTTTAAGGCCAAGAATGGCAGCAAGAACTTAAAGGCCAAACAAGCCAAAGAACTAGAAGGCTCCGATCCTGATTATGCTACCAGAGATCTATTTGAAGCAATTGAGCGCGGTGAGTATCCTTCCTGGGATGTGTTCTTCCAAGTGATGGAGCCTGAAGACGCCAAGAAGTACAAATGGAACATTTTCGATGTCACTAAGGTCTGGCCACACAAGGACTACCCTCTTATTCCTGTTGGTACATTTACTTTAAACAGAAACCCTGAAAATTACTTTGCAGAAACTGAACAATCTGCATTCTCACCTTCTCATATGGTTCCCGGTATCGATGTCTCTGCTGACCGTATGTTGCAAGGCCGTCTCTTTTCTTATCCTGATGCTCATCGTTACCGTCTCGGTGTGAACTATCATCAAATCCCCATTAACCGTCCTCGCGTGCCCGTCAATAACTATCAGCGTGATGGCTTCATGGCTGTGGAAGATAATGGCGGATCTGCTCCCAACTATGGTCCTAATTCCATGGGTGGTCCTGTTCAAAACAACATTATCGGTTCTACTTTTGCCCCTGAAGAAATCGAAGGCATGACAGGTCGCTTCAGTTATCAAGTCACTGACGATGATTTTGTCCAACCTGGTAATCTTTATCGTCTTATGAGCGACGAAGACAAGAATGATTTGGCCGATAGTATTGCTGAAGAATTGGCTGTTTGTAAGCAAGAAATTGTAGATAAGGCCATGAACATGTTTGAGCGCGCTGATCCCGATTATCGCAGTCGAGTTGAAAAGGCTCTTGCTAAATCAAAGAACTAAATTTGTAAATAAACATCATATTTTCATCATTTTTCTGTACAAATAATAATGAAATCATCTTGTGTCACAAACAATCTCGATTTGAAATATTCTTTTGTATCAAGATAAGGTTGGTACTTTGATGTAAAGAGGTTTATAAAGCAGTTCAGCAGTGTATTTCAATAATGAAGATGGGCTTTTTTTTATTAAGAAAAGTAGTCATTTTAATTTTATCAATCTAGTTTGACAAGAGTGCTATAGGTTAAATAATATAGGCTGGGTGATGGAATACACTCTGTGATATCAGCACCATTGAATCAATATATATTGTTTTCATAGTTATTACTTTCTATGAGTATTATAATATGTCGTAGATGGTCACTCAGCGACTTCTTAAAAAAAAAAAAGAAGGCATAAACGCTTCATTTTGAGGCAGAAATAGTTCGATGTAGACTGCTTGTTTTTTTTTCTCATCTTCTTCATAAACTACGTGTTATGCAACCGTTTAACAAGTATTATCCTCCTGACTGGACGCCTGAAAAAGTAAATCATGGTTGAGTTAATCCAGTTTAACAAATAACATGTTAGGGCTCGATCAATACACATTATGGCAAGCATGCCTTGGGCGATAGAGCAAGAAAGCTCGATCAGGGTATTCTGATTGTTAGGTATTCATATACATGATCTGGTTCATGTTTGCTGATCACTCTGATCGGTTAGATTTGAGTTACCCTTCAATATTTGGTGTACGGGTTGTGATAATCATATTGGTCAAGGTAATGATTTTAGTCTTCAGAATCCAAACTTAATAGACTAGGTGTTCGCTACAATGCTGAAAAGAAAAGGATTGGGAACTATTATAGTACACCTATTCTTCAGTTCAGAATGCGCTGTCATTTATGCAGCAATTGGATTGAGATTCATACAGATCCAAAGGTATTTTATAAGCGGTAAGCATCTTAAAATTAACGCTTGTATAGAACACACAATATGTTGTTGTCAGTGGAGCTAGAAAGAAAGTAGAAGAATGGAATGAGGAGGATACAGAAGTTATTAAATTACAAGGTAAATGTGTATCTCTGTATCTTGGTCAATCCTTCTAAACAAAAGACCAGATGAACAAGTCAAGGAGAAACTAGAAAATGACCCCATGTATCGCTTGGAGCATGGGATCGCTGATAAAAAAACACTGGAGAATGCAACACCGCACTTGACACAGCTACAGAACTTAAATCAATCTCAATGGGCAGATCCTTATACAAAATCACAACAATTACGAAAGCGGCTTAGAGAAGAAAAGAAACGAGATAAACTAGCAAAAGAAGAAGCAGACAAAGTGCGTGATAAGCATTCTTTAACCATTGAGTTATTGCCACAGATACCCAGCGATGAAATTGCAGCCAAAACAACTAGTTATGCTTCATCTGAATTACTTGATAAAAAGCGATTACAGACAGCTGTTTCGTCTCTTTTTGAAAAGAGCGAGTCAAATAAGCGTGATTTAAGTCAAATAGCTCGAGTACACACTAGACTAAAGCTGGATCCATTTTATAGTCAAAACCCTTTCACCAAACAAAAACAACAACAACAACAACAACAACAACAACAACAAACAAAAAAACCAGAGATAGTCTTAAAAAAGACTAAACCAAACGATAGTGAATCTATTGTAGCTTCTTTAGCAGATTATGGTTCTGATTCAGAATAAACAATTTTATAATAAAACGGAAATGAAAGGGGTATGAAGTTAAGCGATTAATGAGATTTCTTGTTTGATATGATAAGGATCAGAAGGGTTAATAGTGATGTTTTCGACAGTTAAAAGCAACTCAATATTATCAGTAGATTGATCTAAATCTTTAGGCATCGTATAAATAATAATTTCCACAAACAAGGGAAACTGTTGAAAGAAGTCCTCCATGTCAGCAGTAATCAAAGGTTGATCCAGTTGATGATATGTGTAAACATGGCCTGTGCGAATCTTGATCAAGACACGAGAGAGGCCAATCAGGCCTTTCACTGATTGACGGGATTTTAGTTTGTTGATAATGTCTTCTGTCAAGAGTTCAACCGAGTCTTCTAAAATAGGTAGTCTATCTAATAGACTTTCATTGGCACTTTGATGATAAAGCTTATTCTGTAGCCAGTCTTCAAACATTCTTGAAATATGAGATGCAGCTTTCGTGCTTGTGTTACCGAGCATAGGTAACTATAAACAAGTCAGTAAAGAGCAAAGATATGAAATATTCACTTACTGAAATAAAACGATTTCCACCATCCATGAAATAGGTGTTTTGATACCGAGATACTCTGTTATCTTCTGAGTTTTTCATTGACTCTTCAAATAAGAACACATCTTCATCATTGCTTATAGAGGGGGAATCAAAAGAATGATGGTCTGTACTGAAGGTCTTCCCAGTAGTAGTAATAGTAGTAGCATCATCATCTTCTGAGTAATGATCAATATACAACTGCTTTGTAACTCCCAACAGTTGTTTTGTGTTTTGTAAATCAGTCATAGTATTTTCCATCCACATGATGAGTATTGTATAACAAAAGAAAAAAAGAGAATAAGATAGAAAAAAATAGGATAGATTTATACTTGACAAATAAGGTTTTCTATTGTTCCCGATCATACTCACACACACGCATATAATCTTACCCCCACGCCCCCTTGGAGTACAAACGTGCAAGAAACAAGAGGAAATCAAAAGGCGCCAGTTTTTCATAGGTTCTCTTTCATTTATTTTCTCTGGGGAAAGCATTATTTTAACTTCAGTTTAAGGCGAAGTTGCATGTTTTCTAGACCAACGAAGTTTATTATTATTATTATCATACGAGTCTATTTCGTTTAAGTGTCGAATTGTGAAATATTCGTAATTAGGTGTTTTGTGATGGAAATTATTTTCTTTATCTGAAATCTATTTGTATAATATAATTAAACCCTACACCTAAAATAACTCAATGTCACCTATATACTAGAACATAAAACATGATTACATTTGGGGGGGGGGAAGAAACTATCACTTTTTGTCTAAAGCCTTACCAACGAGTTCGTCATTCAGTCGATTTTCGGCGTTCTAGATATCCTTTCCAATAACTTCCAATGCTTCCATTCTTGTATATTTGCTCTTTTGACATAAAACTGGTTAATTTTTAGGCCCTGCATAGTCTATATAGCTTGCCATATTTATTCTCCAAACTGTTAGCAAAAAAGTTCTTTTTATTTGGAGCTTTAAAGATAGTGCTGTTTAAGTTGAACGTCTATTGCAGGTCTAACGAAACAAATTTAAAAGAAAAAAATAAAATTCCTTTTCTCTCAACCCCCCTCCTAAAACAATCTATTCAAAATGAGCTTTACTGTGCAAGCCCATACGGTGTTGATGTCTCCTAAATAGAACCTTATTTTTCTCAAGCTCTGTTTCTCGGGGATGACCACAAGTCGGCGACCAGGTAATCCAAATGACATCTCAATTTTCTGAGCCCGCGCTCCCGACTCACATTAGACGCGCAAATGTGATAGAACTTTGTTCGGGATACGAATATGATAGTACATCGTATTATTTGATTTTCGTATAGGCTTGGGGAAAGAGTTTTTCTTTCGCCTTGTTTTTGCCTGTATTTCTATTACGTGCTAGACTAATGCAAATGGACAACTATCCATGGTCTTCATAGTACATTGGGTGACATTTTTTATAAAATAGTTTTACCATCCAGAGTCTCCAATCGGCTGCACATTATTTTTCTTTTTTACCAAGTGTGAATAACAAAACGCAACTAATGACAATGAAAGATCCACATCCTTTTGATGTGGTAAAACCTAAACATCTTGAGTATACGTGAATACATGCATATCACACTTACATTGGGCTTCATCTTCTTCACAAAACCAAATATGGCTTAATCCATACACTAGAATTGCTCTTAGACCTTGTAAAATACCTGTAGCAACCTAGTAGTATTGTTGAATAAGAAAAAAATATGTGCAGGATCAACTTACATTGCCTGTTGATTCAATTAATTCATAATAATTCCAAGAATGAAGTGCACTCGCCATAGTGACTACCAAGTACATTAAAACGATGTGTGTAGTAGAAGCATGCTCATCCACATGAATAACAGTGTCAATTCGAGGAAGTGTATAAGCCATAATCCAAACCCAACTAAAAAGAGAAGTGTAAACACCTATCCAATAACACACACGAGCAGGCAATGGTTGTAACTTGTTCTTAGAAAGAACCGTATCAGAATACACATAGATACACGCTATATACATTTTATAAACAAACAACAAAAAACACAACTCCTCAAGACATTACCTGAAATAAAAGTACCAGCCAAGGTCATTAGGGTACCTTGAAACAATGTCTGGCTTGAAGGCGCTAGAACTATACCTTGATCTGCACTTATTTGCACAGGTGGTCCTTTTGGATAAAAGTTATCAAGCGAACTTAGGCCAAGTCCAAAACTAGTGCCTAGAATAGCAATCCATTGAACACCTGAAAGTGATCTTCTCATAAACAACCAAGTCAAAATAGCACACCAGACAACAACACTACTGTAGATGACTTGATACATCTTGTCGTATTGTTAAACGCTTTGCCAATATAGATATTTACTTACACCACTTCCAACAATGGAAAATCCTATCATGAGTGTAAAGCTGGAAATGATCTCCAATACTGATAGTTTGATAATAGATACATGGCAAATAAGTCCTTCTTCGTCGAGTTTATCATTTCCTGTCTGTACAAACAAACTGCTTGATAGCTACCATTCAAGGTAAATACACACATGTGCTACTCCCTATCTATTTACCTGTTGTTGTTGTTGTTCTTCTTCTTGGAACAGAGTATGGTAAGCCGTTATTTTTCTTTTCAAGAGAATAGGTATAAAAAGTCCAACAAGCAACATGCCAGTATAAGAAGATAACTGAGGTAAAAAACTCATGGATGCTAAATAATCATTAGCTGAAGGAACATTTTTGGTTGATTTTTACTTGCTGCTCCTCTATAAAACAGCCATTGTACACCAAGTGTAGTACATAAACCAGTCAATAAAAATGAAATTTGATGTAAAACGATATGAGCTGAAACATGGCCATTTTTACTTGCTCCCATTGAATGAAAATGAAAAAGAAAAAGAAAAAGAAAGGAATGATAGGTAACATATTTATCGTTTTAAATAACATATGCATAAAAAAACAAATATACAAATAAAATCCTTATTTAATGAGATTGAGGAGCAAGAACATATTTGTAAGCAATAGCGCCAATAACGATAAGGGCAGGAATAATCACGCGAAGAGAACTAAAGAGTGAATCAATCAATAGAAACAAAAAAAAAATGAAAGACTTACGATCCAGAGGACTTCTTGGGCTCAGGAAGTTCACCAGCACGAATGACATTGAATTTGTGAGTCTTGCTCTTGGACTAGTCGAGAGTTAGTCGTGTTCCTTGAACCTGGATTTACTTACAGCTTCATCCAACTGACCAACCAAATACTTTTCCAAAATTTCACGGGCTTCATCTGAGTGTCCGATATCTTCAAATGATTCAGTAGCATCTTTACCTACATATCCAAGAAATTAAACAGGATTGTTCATGCTGTGTATTACTCACCAGCTTCATCAAGCAAGACTTCCTCACCTGAAGACAAAAGAAGGGAAGTGGTGTCATGAATCACATCACGTGTAATTTCTATTATTTACTTACCACCAGGGTGCTATACAATTAAAAGTAAGAAAAAAAACTTTTAGGTCTATATTGTGCCTTACTTCTTGAACAAACTCGGTAACGTTATAGACCTTATCATGGATACTCATCCACAAATCATCCTTAGTGTTATGCTTTGCAACTTCTTCCAAACTATAAACAGTAGTCATATTAAGAGAGTGGGGGGGAATAGGAAACTGAAAAAAAGAAAAGAGCGAAAAAAAGAGGTGACAAGAGTTTTAACCTATAAATTTACTTGTGTAACAAAGGACAAATAGGTGGAGTATCTGGGATGTGCTTGCCTTATCATTGGCTAGTTTAAGAGGGATCAATGATTGTACCGTTGTAATCTGAAATTTACCTAAAAAGAACTTAATTTCGCCGCTCAATGACTGGCTGATAAGACATATACATTTTTTAAATGCCCGGATATTTTGTCAACTTTCTTCTATCAAATCGACTACCTTCAGGGTTCAACCTAGGCTGAATAATGTCTTTTTTTTTTTCGGATTGCAATAAAGGACATACTATCACAACATCTCTGCTTTTCTCAGGAATACATTTATCATATATAGATGGTTAATACACTTCTACACTTTATTGGAAGAAAAATGCTAACACAGTATGATATATCTACGATAAAGCCAATAAAAGCTTTCTAAATCTCAAGTAACAACCAAAAAAAAAAAAAAAAAAAAAAAAAAAAAAAAAAACCATAAAACATCAGGTTATTTCACAGGCACAAGATTCTTCAACATGATGACCCCAAAAAAATTAGTAATCACTGTCAGCCAAAAGTTATTCAAGTGTCTTATTCGATATTGAAGGATTATTCATCTACTGTATTTCTGCCATCAATTAGTCACTTTACTGAAAATTCTGGTCGCTTTTTAAATTTCAATTGGTCACTTACTGAAATAAATCAATAATGTCTTCTGTTCAGTGAGCAATAAATTTGAGTTAGATAGCTTCTTTAAGCACTTATGAAATAAATTTACAGGATGTTGAATAAAATTTTGAAGATGTTGGAGAGGAACTTCTTCACAAGCCTCAATTATTCTTTTGGTCAGAGTTTATGTGTCTCTCAATGCATGACACCTAACTTTGGACTTAACAATAGACCAAGAATTTTCGATAGGGCTAAGTTCTGGCGAATAAGGAGGAAGGTAAACCAGAATATAACCGCGGCTTTCGATTAAAGGACTAATCAAAGCAGGAACGTGTATAGGAGCATTATCCATAACAATGTGAGATCCATGCATACTTGGAAACATGTCCATGATATCCATTGTGTCGATAATGAAATGCATATAATGAGAACCAGTAGTTCCGTTAGGTACTGATAGTTTATCACCAGGTGCCTTACGCTTGGTTGCTCCGACCACTTTTCTTCTCTTTAGGCTACTGGGCTCTCTCATGGATACATTTACCACGCCTACGGAAGGAATAGCTCCCAATACTGTATGAGATGTAGCCCTTCCTGAGGGTGTTTCTACGGTAGCTGGTTCATCACGTGTTGACCAAGCTCTTCCACGGGTCATATTGATGTCAAATCCTGACTCATCTATAAACACACGATTCTGAAGGTAAACCATCCCCTTCTCTAACCACTCCTTTATCCAAACAGCCCGTTTTTTCGATGGAATGTCTAGAAACTACTTTAATAGAAAGATTATATTCTTCTTTCATGAATTCTGCTACCCTGGGGGGGGGGTTTATCTGAAGACCCGCGAAGTTTTGCATCAAGCTGTTGACGGCGTCTTCGATAGTTGTCCTTTTGTTTTCATCAAAAAAGCTGGTCAAGTAATCTTTGTGTCTATCATCTAGTTGGCTCACAGGACGAAAAGGCACAAGGTTTGTTGATTTATAAGACACATACTCTTCAAAGTTCTGTTGATACTTCTGCTTCCATTTTCGTGTTGTATGTTGGTTGACGTTGGCAGTCTCCACGGCTTGCTTATGCTTCATACCTTTTTGAAAAACGAAATAAAGATATAACAACCAATCTTTTTCTGTGTATGTATTATATTCATTTTCTCTTTCTTTCTTTTAACTGTTATTTCTTCCATGCTAACAGCTGTTTCTCCGGATGTGTGCAATTCTGAATAAGTGTTGTTTTTAACAAGATTCTTGAGATCTGTTATTTTTTAAGGCGAAAAGAAGGAATTTCATCATACGCTGTTGCCTCGTTACTCTTATCGTCAAAAAAGTTTCCTCTTCCATCTTCGCAATAAAATGTTATATTAGAATCCATTTACAAGTTGATTAACGAAAAGAGTTGCAATAAAACAGTTAACGCACGATCAATCTATAGAAAGAAAGACTAATTGATGTTCAGAAAAGTGACCAATTGAAGTATAAAAAAGCGACCAATTGAAATTAAAGAAGCGACCAAAATTTTCAGTAGTGGCCAATTGACGGTGGAAATACAGTATCTTTTTTTGACGCGTGAAACTGAACACTGTAAATCTCAAGCCAAGAGAGCCTATTGATATTTAGGACTATAAGTGTGGTTGTTTATAAGGTCACCTCTATGCTGATAACCATCAATATGAATGAATACCTTTTCACACTCGTTACTACAAACAATGTTCAATATGCATAATGTGAAATATTTGGAATAATGAATTTCTAAGTAAATTAGTTGTTATATTCTCTCTGAAAATAGCTTACAATGTCCTGCAAAGTTTAGAAAAAAATACAAAGTTCATTTAAGCCATAGAAAAGAATTACGTGATTGTTATGCTTCTAGTAAAAGAGCCAATGCTATCGGAAGGAACGAACTGCAGAATACCCGAATCCGTCTAAAAATCTGTAATCAAGAAAAGAAGGTAATCACTACTCATAACAGCGTGCGATTGGTATTTATTGTGTCATTTTGAACAGGTCCTAAGAAGTCAAAGGCTTGTTTATTTGTTGTAGATCAAGGCTCAAGGTTAAAAGGACATAGACGATATGAAGGAAAATGGAAGCAGAAGCTACTGGGGAGCGCAAGTATTGCATGCATTACAAACGAATATAGTACATCCCAGACTTGTATCTTTTTGTTTCCAGAAATTGGTCCACCCAGTGAACAGAACTGAGAAGGGAATAGGAACAATGAAAGGTGCTTTCTATTGCTTGAATAGGGACTGTATCTCCGTAAAGAACAAGGAGGCAATTATGTCTCATCCCCGCCTATCGCCTAACTGGAAACGCTTTTGGTCTCTCAAGATCCCTCTCCCTGCTCGCAATGTCCTCTACAGGATGCTTCACAACAAAGTCAACAACCGTTTTCACCTACATCGTCTTATGCCCCATACAGTTCCTAATAACTTTTGTATCCACTGTCCTTCAAATCTCATTACTTCCATTGATACCTTTGATCACTTTTATTTCCTCTGCCCTACCAAGTATGATGTTTGGTCTCATGTCTTCTCCAAGTACATCAATCCCAACATCCGTGCACCTTCGGTCAATCTCCTACGTCAAGTCCTCCTCCTTCGGGTTGTTATCCCTCGTGTTTCTCTCCTCCATTTTCCTTCCTTAAGTACCTTCCAAATCTTTGCATGCACTGCTCTAGCCCTCTGGCAAGCTCACTGGCAATCTGTTTTTTCTGAAAACCCATTCCTCTCCAAAACTATAACCAAGACAGTTTTCCGCTTAGCAAATAAGCTGCATGATGAATCCCGCCTTGATTATGAACCGTAAATTCTCTCCTCCGCTTTCCTTTCTAGTTCCTCTCTCACTACTCATGATGTTCTCTCCATTTCAAGTATCTATCAAGCTCTCTTAAACTCTTATTCTTTTCTCAATTTCTTCTACCACAGGCTCATTTCCCATTCCTTAGTCTAGTTCTTATAATACCACAGTCTTTTCTTCCACTCTTTTGACGTCTAAAGGACTTAAAATAAAATTGGAGCAAGTCTCCCTTACAAAAAAAAAAAAAATTATGTCTCATGACCAATTGTCAGCTCTGGTATTGTTGATCTCTCTCTACAATCTTGTTCGGTAGAACGTTCCCCGCATTTTTCCATAAAACTCAGTCAATACTACACTGAAGATGATTTCAAGCAATTCCTAAATCGAAGAGTGCGTAAATTTGATGACAGTTCTATCAGCATGGATGATAAGCAGCAACAAGTCTCCAAATTTAGACCTATGCATTATCCTGGGGATAAATAAGGAAATGATGATTTCATTTAATTTAATATCAGATAATCTTCATAAGACACCTCTCTAACGGTCTTGTAGTTGATGGTACTCTCCAAGTGACTGCGGTTATTTTCTGAGTATTTATCGGCATTCATTGGCTGCTGATGAGATAACGTAGTCGTGCATAAACTAATAATAAAAGTGAGAATGTACCTTTTCTTTCTTTTCTTCCCTTCTTTTCCTTATTATTATTACTACTAGAAAATACAATGACAGAAACACTTACACTTGACAATGCAAAGGATCTCTTGCAAAATGATACCAAGATCAAAGTAGCCGCTGTTGATATTGATGGTTTACTACGTGGCAAGATCATTCATAAAGATAAGTTTCTGCAGGTCATTGAAGACGGGTTTGGTTAGTATTGTCAATTCGTGATCAAATAGCTCATAAAAAAAACAGGTTTCTGCTCTGTTATCTTTGGCTGGGATATTCAGGACAACACTTACACTACATCTATTGAATTTGCTGGAAAAGATTGTCAATATTTTGATTTGATTGCCAAGATTGATTTGGCTTCTTATCGTCGTATTCCGTGGGAAGATAACATCCCTTTCTTCCTTGTTCATCTCTATCATCCTACCACCAATAAGCCATTGTACTGCTGTCCTAGAAGTTTGCTTACAGGTGTTGTTGATGATTTCAAACAAATGGGTATAGTTCCTTATTGTGGTGTTGAGTTTGAGTTCTTTTGCTTTCAGGGTAAGTCTTCTTCATCATGCGTACACAGCGTCTAATCCATTTCATAATTTAGAGACCGCAAAGAGTCTAGCTGATAAAGAATACAGTCAACCTAAACCTTTGACTGTGGGCATGTGTGGCTATTCACTCTTGCGTCCTTTACAGAACCAAGCATTCTATTACAATTCATTTGACTGGCTCAAGCAATTCAAGGTCGATGTCGAAAGTTGGCATACAGAAACAGGTCCTGGTGTCTTTGAAGCTGCCATTCTTTACCAAGAGGCAAAAGAAGCGGGTGATCGTGCTGCATTGTTCAAGACATCCATGAAGCAGATCGGTTTAAAACATGGTGTCATGACATCGTTCATGGCCAAACCTTATGGTGATCAGCCTGGTTGCTCAGGCCATATGCATTTCAGTCTCAAGAACAGTAAGGGTGACAATGTGTTTGCTGTGGGTGAACCAAGTGATGTGCCTGGATTGACTCAACATGGTGTTTGGTTCTTGGCTGGTGTGTTGAGAGGACTGCCTAGTATTTTGGCCATTTTAGCACCTACTGTAAACAGGTAATGTCGTTCAAAATAGGATTTGCAGCACTCATGTTGGATGTTAGTTATAAACGACTTGTGGAAAACTATTGGGCACCTGTAAGTGTTTCATGGGGTATGGATTCTCGTCACAGTGCAGTACGTGTCATTGCATCTGGTAATTCTACAAGAATGGAAATGGTAAGGCATCTTTGTTTATGCTATGTGCACAGATATAAATCTAAATGTTGTTTGGTAGCGTGTTTCAGGTGCAGACATTAATCCTCATTTGGCTTTGGCTGCTATCCTAAAATGTGGCTATTGGGGTATCAAGACGAAACAAGAATTACCATCAGGACCAAGTAGTACAGCTGAAGATGTTTCCAAACAAGAGCGTTTGGCACGTACTTTACAAGAAGCTGCTAATGCAATGGACCAAGAGGGATCTGTTGCTCGTCAAGTGTTGGGTGATGAATTTGTTAATCATTACGTTAGTACAAGAAGACATGAGTGGCATTTGTGGCAAAATGCAGTAACTGATTGGGAATTAAAGCGTTATATGGAGCTTGTTTAGTTTATTTTTAAATAAAAGAGAACATAGAAAACAAAGGTGAAAGAGGGGTATTGTTATTTTGATTTGAGTAGACTACATGACTTTCTGCTATGACCATACTATATAGTTTGTATTAGATACAAGCTAATATAAAGGGTTCATTTTACCTGACCGCAGTGATCACTATATGAAAATGTCAATCATTTTCTACATATAAAGAAGGTGTCATTATTACCATTGGCCTCCTGACAAATTAACTGGCTTGACTGGTATAGGCATTTCTTTTTTTCTTGATGAGAAATTAAAGGGAAAGAAAAGAAAGTCAAAAAGCAAATTCTTTTATATACCAGTGATGTCAAGACAGAATGTTATAAAACAAACAGTGCAGCTCTCTCTTTTTTTTTCTTTCTGTTTCATACTACTGGAAAAAGTCTATAGTTTATTTTGTTTATGTCGCTTGTCATACACTAACTCTATAAATATATATGGAAAATGCTGAAACAAACTCCGTATCTTTACAAACAAGTGGGGTTCTTTTGATATTTACAAAGCCATTTTAAATAAGTTTGGAGGGTCTGATTATCGTTTATGCAATATGCCAAATTTATTAAACTCAATAAAATATAATAATCCTAAAACATCAAAAGCTGCATTTAGTGCTTATTTGGAAGTAGCCATACATGCTGACTCAAGATGAACCTGGCCGTTTCTTTTTAAAAAGACTATCAATTCATTCTATACTATCAACAAGAAACAAGCTACTCTGACACTATTAATACACTGAAGTTCAGACACATTCTTTGACGCATTGAAGAAAACTACATCGTACCCTAGTATATCAGCCGGACAAAACTATATCCTATTGAACATAATCTTCTTTGCCTATGAACAAATAAAAAGCAATTGTTAATGCAGATGGTGATACTAAGAACATTAAGTCTGTTTTCTAGCTATGACAAGATGATGTGATACATTCAAGACAATATAATTGTTGTTACATAAAAGGCATCTTCTTCATTAAGCATATAAACTGCCCAATGAAATCCATTGAAGCAGTCATTTGGCACCTTTATGCAGGAAACGTGGTTACAGCATTTCAATTTCAGGCTGATTGTTGGAGATTTATGCTTTTTTTTTTTTTTTATCTCCCCCCGCTTTTGAACATGATATTAATTTACTCCTTCCTATCTTTTTCTTTTCTTTTCTTTTCTCTTTCTTTTTCTTTGTTTAGTGAATATGGTGCCTAAATTTGATGAAGAAATCGATGAATCTCTATTGTTGAAACACAATTGGTCTACAGCTTCTTTGTCTGAGCCTTCTATTGAATTGGAAATCGCTGTTGAAAGCAAGCAAACATACGACCGCCACGCAGAAATAGAACTTGTCCATCGACTAGACAAGAGACTACTGGTCTTTGCCATGTTTGGGAACCTTGTAAAGACATTAGACAACACCAATTTAGGTAACTAGAAAGAGAAGCGAACTTCTTTTTGCTGATGCTTTGGTTTTTAGGAAGCGCGTTCATCAGTGGCATGGAAGAAGAACTCAAAATTACAGGCCTACAATACAACTGGATGGGCGTTTTGTTTATGATTGGTTATTTATCGTAAGAATTCCTCATTCTATGCTTATTTATTTAGTAATCATATAGAATGCAGTTACCTTCAAATATCTTACTTTCAAGATTAAGGCCTTCAAAATATTTACCTGCATTAGAAGCTATTTGGTGCCTCTTGACCTTGGCTATGGCTTGTGTTCAATCTGTCAGAGGAGTTTATATTATTCGATTCATGTTGGGAATAGCGGAAGCAGGCTTTTTTCCAGGCGTAAGTTGATTATCGTTCACCTGAATGTTTACTCAGCCAGCATATTTATTTTTGCAGATCGTTTTTTTACTCGGTACTTGGTATACAAAAAAGGAGTTAGGCAAACGATTGGCATTCATGACCATCTGTGGTGCTTTCGGTAGTGGACTCAGTGGTGTTGTACAAGCAGTCATGCTAAAGACAATGGACGGTATTTTTGGCATTAGTGGGTTAGTTTACTTGATATCATGTGAATATGCCTAACAGTGTTTTAGTTGGCGTTGGATGTTTCTGTTTGACGCAAGCATTACTGTCATATTGGCTTGCTCGGGCTACACTTATTTACCTGATTATCCTCATAATACCGAGTGGCTGAATCAACAAGAACGCGAACTAGCCATTCAAAGATCAAATTACCAGGAACAAGACAAAGGCTTCAAGACATGGGATAAAATCAAACTGTTACTCACAAACAAATACCTCTATCCATTTGTGATTAGTTGGGCATCCATACATATTGCTACAGGCGCTTCTCAAGTACTTGGTATTGTAGCTAAAAAAGTTGGCTTTGATGCAATCACTGCTAATCTATTGACAACAGTAAGTGAATGGCGTATCTGTAACACATATTGATGTTTTATTTAGCCTGATACGATCATCACTATGCTGTTTGGCTTATGTAATGGCTTTATTAGTGATAAATATCGTAATCGAATAGGGTAAGTCTTGTGTTGTAGAAGGTATACATTGACCTTCTTTTTTTCTTCTTTAGTTGTATTGTTGTTCCAGCTACTATAGGGCTTTTAGGCATGTGGTATGTAATCATAATGTCTCTACATATCATATTCAATCTTTTGTAGCTTATTGTCCGCTTTTGTACAACCTTTTCCTTTACTTTATATTGCATTTCTAGTTACACATGCAGGCTTAGGATCTATTGCTTCTGTAAGCAGATCAACATTCTTTTGACATGATCACTAACTGTCTTATAGATTATTATGACATGGGCAAGTGAGACTATCTCATCAGACAGTGAAATCAGAGCCATGGCCATTGCTATCATGAACACGTCTTCGTCTTTGATGTGGATTTGGACACCCCTTGTTTTATGGCCAGTAACAGATGCACCATACTATCATAAGGGATTTACAACAAGTGCATTCTTGATTGTTCTCTTTATTATTTCCATGTTATCTGTTGTATATCTACAAAAGAGAGATGGTCAAGTAAAAAGAGCCAATTCCACAGATCTCACAGCAGAACAAGAGAATACAACGGTGCCTTTGTTACATGATGAAGAAGTCTATAAACTATGATCCCCCCTTTTTTTATTTTTTACATGATACCATTCAAGTCATACTCATTTTTGTTTTTATTTACTATTGTATCTAAAAAGAATAAAGTTTAGGATATGAATTACCTCTTTTTGCATAGTATATGTGTGTGGTTGGAGGGGCTCGAAAAAGTGTTTTTATACTATAGCCTACCATATCACACTGAACAATATGTACATATAAATTTTTTTCTCTCTCTCTCTCTATATATATATATATATATTATGCTTGTCATACTCGAGAGAGTGGTATTATAGATCAGAGCGAAAGGGAGGGGGTAGTTTTATAAGGGTACAAAGATCCCATACAATAATCATAAAAGCATGGAAGAATAACCCGCATTTTTCTTTGCATTATTGCCATTTTGTTGTTGTTCCTCTAAACCAAAAAATCGCTTTGCTTCTCCTGTGTAAGGTTGTTGGCTTGAATTCAATCCTTCTTCTTCCTCAGGTCCCGATCGACGACGTCTTCTCTGTTGTCTATATTCTTCTGGAACCGAACCAAGGCCTAATTGACGTGCTTTATAAATAGGTTCATATTCCTATCTTCCATGTTAACACTTTAACGCGTTCGGTTTGCTTACCTTAAGCTGACTTTTGAAGCCATCGTTAGGATTGATACAAAGACGTTTGGCTTGAACGAAATGATACGCTTGAGAAGCATCAATACGAAACACTTCCATCACATAGGCAACTACAAACGTTGGACTACGTGACATACCACCATTACAGCAGACAAGGACTTTGCTTCCGAGTTCTGTTATCACATGATGAAAGTACTGTGATGTGTTTGGAAAGAAATGGATAAGGTTTTGTAGATTAGAGTCGCTCACGATAAACTGTTGGTACTTGAAATAATGAGCCAAGTTTTCGGTACGAAACAATCGAGCTTCTGTCTCATCGACAAAACAAACAATGTGTGTGATGCCCAAACGTTTCAATTCATCTACTTGACGACAGGCAGAAAAGGGTCCTAGAAACAGTCCAGGCTAAAGCCCACTGTATGTGAATAAAGGTAGAGATGACGAATAACAACTTACCACAATTTCTTGTATTTCTCTTCTCATTTCGTATCGCCAGTCATCCATACCACCTTGCGCATTGGTAAAGAAGTCCTTATCATAAGGTGTCACAGGTAAGCTGTTGGCTGATTGCATTTGATATAAGTTGAAAGAAAGAAAGAAAAAGGAAAAGGATGCTGCTTTGATGAGTTTAAAATAAAGTTGATTGAAGTTGATGTTGCTTTTGTGAAATCAAACATTCAAAATCAGTTCTTTCTTTATCATGCCTCAACATAACAGTGTTTATCCTTACTGTATTAGTCAAAAAAAATAAAATAAAAAAAGCGATAGGTGATGGTATTAAAAGAATCTTGCCAGTAGAGCTTTTTCAAGTTTTGTTTTCGGATAGGCACATTTCTTTAATAGATAAACTAAACTTTTGTTCTACATGGGTTAAAGCACTCATCTATTATGCTTTGGATAGCTTATTGAAGGATAGGAAGCAATATTAACATTTATGATTGGGTATGATTTCTGTCTTTAATATTCGGTTCGTCTTCTTTCGAGGCACAGGTGCTATTCAAAATGAGTTGCGATTCTGTTTTGTATGTGCATATCTTACCATGTTGATTTTCTCTAACATAAAATTTTCTTAATAGCAGAATCGCTTCTTCATAAAAAAACCCACCTTCAGATGGGTATCCTTTCGATTGACTTGTATCAAGACGAGAACTAACAAATAAGATTAATACTGGTGTCTTCATGTATTGTCTGGTATTTACTCTGTATGGATATGAAAGACAGATCCATTGCCACCAAACTTATCATTGCCGCAACCGAAATAAACATGGCGAATGCCTATCTGTCGAAGAGCAGAAGCACACATCACACAAGGTTCAACTGTAACATAAAGATCAACGCGATCAAAGATTGTCTTGTCATGATCTTTCAAGATTAAATCAATGGCTTCAATTTCTGCATGTCGTGTGGCCTATCCTCCATCAATCAATCCATACACTTTTGAGAGTTACATACATTATAGCTTTCATTGGGTTTATTGCGACCTCTTGCAATAATAGTTTGATTGTTCAACACAAAAACACAACCTACAGGAACTTCAAAATGATCATAAGCATCTTGAGCCACAACAAGTGCTTCTTTCATGAATGTCGGATCATATGTTGACATGCTGATAGAGAAAGGGATCTGGTGAAGACACACACACTTGTTTGCTCATAAAAATCGTTCACTCTTGTGACTGTGCGATTGGCCTAAAAGGTGTATGTATGAATTCATTGGGTAACTGTGTTTAAGAAGTGAGTATTTACAATCAAGCAGCATGTTGATTTCAATGTATGCGACTTGACTTTTCGTTTCAATAAAACAAACGCAGTTATTTTTTTAATCTAATTAAAGTATTGTTTTGATGCTTGAAGCAATTCTTTTCATTTCTTTCTTTGGTTTGCATTTGAAACTCAAGATTTCACAAAACAGCGAAATCAATGGTACCATTCAATTTCTAAACTCCAAAGAACATGTTTTAAATTCAAAAACGGACTGTTTTGATAGTCTGGTTGTCGAGTAATGGCGTATCAAAGATCGGCTTGTTTAAGCTGTGTTTTGAGCATTTTTTGCTCAAGATGTCATATAAAAGATGCCAGCAAAGAATTGTTAAGAGATAATATATGCTGTTTGGAATGCTAAGGAATCGTGCTTGCACTCTTAATCGAGTGGAATAACAAATTACTATCTTCATGAGAGTAGCGCATTTCTTCTGTTGATTACAACACTTTCAAGACAAACGTTTGTTATCGCCATGTTTTTATTAAAAAAAAGACCAACAATCCATCCACTTCATTGTCTACTCCAAAAAGAAATATAAATGTATACAATTTGAGAATAGAACTGTTATTAGTTTTAAAGCAATGCTTTTCATTTTATTTTGTAATGCCCTTTATATACACAAGCAAATAATTTATCTTTAGATGCATTTGATAAATTACTGATCTCTTTGTGTGATAAACAATAAAAAGTCTGCTTATTGTTATAAAGTGGTTAAGGAATAAAATATTTTCGGTTTGATGTCCAAGTAATACAAACTCATCTGTCAACCTTTAGGTAAATTTTTGTTGAGTTAAATAGTCGATATTAAATAACAAAGTCTTACCAAGTTCTGGCTTTATTACTGCTGAATTTGAAAGAAATTTAAACTATTCTGTCAAGTTTTCAGCCAAGATGATATTTGTTTAGACGAGTAAATCAGTCTATTGTCCATCATAATCCGACCACTAGAGCGCTTTGCAGTCACATACAATTCCGAATGCCACACATTCTTTTTTTTTTTTTTTGTTTTCAAACAAACGGTATGAGCTCGAGTCATAGAAGTTTTAAGCCTTTAAGTTTTGAAGAGATAAAAGCCAAAAAAGAAAGAGGCGAATTCTTGATCGCACCTATATTGACAAAAGCTCTGATTGAAGAGGCAAAAATCAAGCGTAACTTCAGCAAAGCAGAGATTTTATATCAATATTTACGAGAATCTTTACCACCTGAGCCTAGTATGGAACGACATAAAGGAGATATCCGATCATTTCAGCGTGGCATTACTACAATGGTGCGTTACTCTCCTAATCCGGAAAAGGCATTGTACTATGCCAATCATTTTTTTACACAACTAGAATACCCTTTACGCAACGCATTTAACGAAGTGGTGATATTGACCAATTTGTTATACGTCTATACATCGCAAGGTATAGCTGAAGAAATGAAAACGGCGCTAAAGATTATTCGACTGGCTTTGGATATTGGCGTATTCCGTATTGATCCAGAGAATTATATAAACTTATGTTCCAGTAGAGATAGCTTTGATAATCCTTTACAGGTCTTTGAAACAGTTTGTAAAAAACCATTGCAATATCATGGGCTTGAATTCAATGCGGATAAATCAGACCTAGTTCAAGCTAAATCTTATCGATATTAATATAGCGTTTATGCAAATAAAGATACTTTTTTTGCACAACTTGTTGCACTTTGATTTGTCAGCTGTAACTGAAAAAAAAGTTCAAAGCCGTCACACAAGACCTGTGAAATGATTGTGGGAAAAAAACCTTTTTTTTTTTTCTTCCTTTTCTTTTGTTTTTATATACAAATGACCATGTCTACTGAATTGAAGCAAATCTTTGCCCAATACAACCACAAGCACAAGTAAGTCTTTATCTCTTTAAAAAAAAGATAGACTGACATATTCTTTAAAGCACTGCCCCTGCTCCTAAAATCTCCAATAGCATTTTAGAAAACATTGGTCGTACTCCTCTTGTTCGCATCAATAAAATTGCAAAGGAAGAAGGACTTGAATGTGAACTTTGTAAGTCGAAAAAAAATTTTTTTTTGAGTGTATTGTACTTATGAATCAAAACACAGTGGCCAAATGTGAATACTTCAACGCTGGTGGTTCTGTCAAGGATCGCATTGCTTACCGTATGATTGAAGAAGCTGAAAAGGCTGGTACAATCACACCTGGTGTTAGTACCATCATTGAACCTACTTCTGGTAACACTGGTATTGGTTTGGCTCTTGCTGGTGCCGTCAAGGGTTACCGTGTCATCATCACTTTGCCTGAAAAGATGTCTCAAGAAAAGGTCGATGTCTTGAAGGCTCTTGGTGCTGAAATCATCCGTACCCCCACTGAAGCCGCATCGGATGCCCCTGAATCCCACATCGGTGTCGCCAAGAAGTTGAGAGACGAAATTCCTAATGCTGTCATCTTGGATCAATACGGTAATCCTTACAACCCTATCGCTCACTACGATACTACTGCTGAAGAACTCTTGGAACAATGTGATGGTAAGATTGATATGTTGGTTGCCGGTGCTGGTACAGGTGGTACCATTTCTGGTATTGCTCAAAAGTTAAAGGAAAAATGCCCCAACATCAAGATTGTCGGTGTTGATCCTGTAGGTTCCACCTTGGCCTTGCCTGAGTCCTTAAACACAGAAGCTGGTTCTTATCAAGTCGAAGGTATTGGTTACGACTTTGTTCCTGATGTCTTGAAGCGCAACTTGGTGGATGAATGGATCAAGTCCGAAGATAAGCCTTCTTTCTTGATGTCTCGTCGTTTGATTCGTGAAGAAGGTCTCCTTTGTGGTGGTTCTTCTGGTACTGCCATGTATGCTGCTGTTCAAGCTGCTAAACAACTTAAGAAGGGTCAACGTTGTGTTGTTATTTTGCCTGATTCTGTCCGTAATTATATGACCAAGTTCTTGAACGATGATTGGATGAGAGAACACGGTTTCACAGATGAGAAATTCGAGAACCAGAGCTTTGAAAACAAGGCCAAGAAGGACTATGCTGGTGCTACTGTCAGTGACCTCAAGTTGGCTGCTGCTGTTACCATTGACGGTGAAACCACTTGTAAGGAGGCCATTGATTTGATGGAACAAAATGGTTTTGATCAATTGCCTGTGACTGCTGGTCCTCACCACCGTCTCCGTGGTCTTGTTACCATGGGTAACATTCTTTCCCTTTTGGCTTCTGGTCGTGCTAAAGCTGACAGTCCTGTTTCTGCTGTCATGTTCCACTTCACTAAAGGATCCAAGGAATTTGAAGAAATTACCAAAGATACTCCTTTAGACAAGTTGACTCGTTTCTTTGAAACCAACTCAAGTGCTTTAATCACTGAAGATCATCAAGTCAAGCATGTTGTCACCAAAGTTGATTTGCTGTCTTATTTAGTCAAAAATGTCAAGGCTTAATCAATTTCATTTATATATCACTATTTAGACTTATTTCATGCATTGTAATTCATAAATATATACAGTTTGTGTAATACTAAACCGATGTCCCAAAAGAAAAAAAAAACGTTTTTTGTTTTGGCAATTGTGATGTCTATTCTCAATATTAATAAGAGACATGGTCAACAAGAAGGGTATGCCTAAAAAAAGAAAGAGAGAGAGAGAGATGTGTACATTGGTCAACTAAAGTATTCTTTACAAAGGACCATGTCAAGCTATTTTTATCTTATTAAAAAATGAAACATTCAAATGGCTCGACCATTGAATTAATCATCATCATTTTGGCAACTCTTTTATTTAGGGCAAATTAATCAAATTAATTATTAATTTCCTAAAACATATATAAAAACTATAGAGCAACTGGATTTTTTTTTGTCTCCTTATGTCTTCTACTTCTCATTCCCGTCAATCTTCTATTAACCAACTCCTTGCTACTAAAAGGCGAACAAGATCAAATACAGTTTCTGAAGCTGTAATGCCTACACCTTCTACAAGCACATCTACTGTCAAGAAGCCTGTTTCAAGACAACGATCGATTTCTGAATTAGTCAGTCGAGTCCGCCATACACTCAAGCCACCCAAGCAACAGCCATTGCCATTTTCTTATAGTTTATATTCATCTAAATCAGAAGACTATGATATCCTAAGAACCATCGGTGCAGGTGCCACCGCTTCGGTCTATTCTGCTATTTACAAGCCGAATCAATCCGTGATTGCCATCAAAACTGTCAATTTAGAAGAAATTGGACTTGACGATGCACGACTGGAAGCCTTAAGAAAAGAAATTCAAATCATGACACTGTGTCGACATCCTCATCTGTTAGATGTCTATCAAAGTTTTGTTCATGCCTCTCAATTGTATATTATTACACCTATCATGTCTGCTGGTAAGGATAGCACACACACACACACACACACACGCACGCAGAGGAGGTCATATACTGACTTGTCTATTTAGGTTCATGTCATGATTTACTTTCTCGAACTCATAAAATAGGATTTGAGGAACCTATTGTGGCCTGTATTATAAAACAAGTAGCTCAAGGACTTGACTATCTACACGATAATGAACTTGTTCACCGAGACATCAAGTCTGCTAACTTATTGATTGATTTTGACACGGGTACTGTCAAATTGGCTGATTTTGGTGTCAGTAATCATTTATTACCCAGCAAGCCTGATTTAAGAGAGTCCGATTCAATCATGCCTAAAAAGGCACGTCGATCATTTGTGGGTACACCGTGCTGGATGGCTCCTGAAATCTTATTAAATCAAGACTATGATACAAAAGTGGATATGTGGTCACTTGGTATTACTACCCTTGAATTAGCGTGTGGTAAACCTCCTTTTGCAGAATATGATCCTATCACTGTAAGTTGACTTTTGCATCATCATATCACTCACTCTATATAGATATTCTCCATGATCATTGATGATCCTGCACCTACCTTATACACAAATGATTGTTCTTATGTTCCTTCAGATGTCATGCAAGACTTTGTTGAGAAATGTCTGGACAAGAATCCTCAACAGCGACTTGGTGTGACAGAAGCACTTCATCACCCATTCCTAAAAAAGGCAGCAGGCCCTTGCCTCCTACAGAAATACTTGGCCAAGCGACCTGAACTAGACAAACGAACTTACCTTATGAATCGTGAAGAACTAAAAGTGAATGGTTTTGATACTTGGAATGAACTTGATTTTATGGAGTCCACTTGGGACTTTAATGAAGACCTCAAAAAGACAAGACCCCCACCTGTACATACACAATATCTCCAAAGAATCAATTCAAGCACAGGATCACCCGTTACACCCAATGATCATGAGTGTATAGATGAGTACCTCCATACAAGAGTACCAACAGATTTATACCGTAGAAAGAAGTCGATAGCAGATCAAGAGTTTTTTGTAACAAAAGAGTATTATTATTAAAGCATTTATTGAGGCACAATACGATGTACTTTATAAGGAACAATTTGATGTACTTTGATTTGATGTGTCTTTAGATTACCTCGCTGTGTAAAACCTTTACCACAATTGGGATAGGTACACACAAACGGTTTTACTGGCCAATGTATCTTTTCGTGTGTCTTTAGATTACCCAACTGTGTAAATGCTTTATCACAACCATCATATGTACACTAGAGCAACTGTTGAATACATAGGCTGTATACTCACTATAACTTACATGATAAGGTCGTTCACCTGTATGTTTTCTGGAATGTGTCTAATTCAAATGAGTGATTTAATCATGCTTAAAATGTGTTCTTTACTCTTAAATTGCCATATTGTGTAAATGCTTTGCCGCATTCTGCATAAGGACAGATCTAAATAATCAATGAGTCTTATAGGTTCATGATTGCATGCGTTTTATACATAAGGTCTGGTTTGGGGTGATTTTGATGGTTCCTCTTTTACATGATTCGAGTCTTTTCTTCCATGCGTTGTTCTATTCACCATAAGCAACCATTGAATGTACTCTATTAAAAAGAAAAAAAAAACTACCTTTGATGTGTCTTTAATCCTACCATATGTTCAAAATACTCTGAACAGCCTGGTTCTTCACAACTAAATAATTTACGTGATTCGTATAACTGTTGATACGGTTCTTCTTGTTGCTGTAGTTGTGGTGGTGGTAATTGTTGTTGTTGCATTGGTGATAACAGGTTAGGACGATAGTTTTGGTCGTGTATAGTAGTATAATTGCTATCATAGAAATGCTGTTGAGGATGCATATGTGTTTGTTCTTGTCTTGGTTGATATGAGTTGGGATCAGTATAAGACATGGTTCTAAAGAGACAATCGCAAAACGAAAAAAAAGAGAGAGAGAGAGAGAGAGAGAGGAAGAAAAATATTTTTTTTATATGATTATTGTACCATTCGAGCACTGACGAAAACGGGTCTTGAAAATCATTTTAAACTGTTTTGTATATATACCATTGTATGAACAAGGAAACCAAAGACACACTTCCTCAAGGGTTTCATTCTTTTCATCAAGCCAAGCATGGAAGAGCAAGGAAGATGTTGAGTCCATTTTATTTGGGTTATTTCGTATGTAAGCCAATTGGAAGAGTTATGATCTTTCTCTCTCCTTATTCATACAATCCTGTTGAACTCAGTCAAGAAGCAAAGAAAAAAAAACTCCCCTCTCCCATTCAAGCATAACATAAAAGTACCTTTCTGTCAAACTTTTTTTTAAAGATCCGTATTGTTAACATGAACCGGACAATATATCATCCCCCAATCATAGAGAGACCATAGCTAAAAGACAGTCCTGCCACATTTTGATATAGGAAAAAATAGAGTTGGTATTCTATCTTTTTCTTTTTTTTCCACATTCATTTCTCTCTTTTTTCTTCTTTTCTTTATAAAAAGTATATAAGCAAGAAACATTGTTTATGAATGGGTAATTATCTGACAATGGAATAGAAAGATGTGTACTTACATGTTATCTATCAAGTTGTGCATAGTAGAAGAGGTGGAAGACACTCAGTCGGAAGAAGAAGACGAACACAACAACAACAGCGCAGAAGGTCACAGTCTTCTTCAGATGAAAACAGTACAGATAGTGGTTCAGTAACACGATGTGTGTGTGGACATACTCGTAATGTTATCTATTTTTATATAAACAGACCTAATCGATGACTATAGACAGTCTTGGTCTTATGGTTCAGTGCGACAAATGTGAAGTATGGCAACACTGTGAATGTATGGGACTTGAACAACCAGATATTCCAGACCATTATTATTGTGAATTATGTAAACCTGAAAACCACAAGTTAACTCGCTACAATAATGGAAGGTAAAAAAAAAAATCCCCTTTTATGTCCCTCCTTTTACTCATTTATTAAAACAAAAAAAAAAAAGATCCAAGCGATATTATGTATCTTCTGAAAAAGCACCCAAAAAACGCATGACATTAAACAGCCGTGAAGCCTCTTTATCGTTAGAAGATGTATTGGCTTCTAGAAATGTATTGGAATTGTATGGATCTCATTCGAATGAAGAATCCTCTCCTCCTCCTCCTCCTCCATCAACTGCATTGACACAAACACAACCACTTTTACTACTTGATAAAGTGATTGAAGAAGAACCAGAAGATATACCTAAACAAGAAAGTTCACCCAGTATTCAAGAAACACCAAAAGAACAAGGTAAAGCAGTCAACATAGGATGCATATATATTCTTGAAACTAAATCTACTTAGAATCTTCTGAACCAGAACCACAACGGAGTAGTAGTACACCTAAACCAAGAGCAACCAAACGAAAGATAACCAAGTCTGAAGAAAGACCTAAACGAGTAGCCCATGGACGCCACCGACACACCAACGGTAAGAGAGGTAAACCTCGATCCCGTACATCCACACCCATGCGAGAATTATCACCTGGCACACCTGAATTCGATCAAGAATCGCATACGAACGATAGCATAGCAACCACCTTGTTTGAACATTTCTCTCCACAAGCACGGGCTACTTCTCCACCTGCCAAAACACGCCAACCTCACCCTCGTATGAGCATTTCAGAAATGAATCGACGTGCTAGACAGATTTTGGATTACATTAGTTCTGTCCAAGTGGAATTGGCGACAAAAGAAGAAAACCGTGCAGGCCATGGACATGAGGATGATGATAATGATTCACTAAGTAGTGCCAGTACACTTCCTTTGGATTATGAAGAAAATGTCATTGTGGAGCATCAGACATCCTTACAAATCATGGACATGTTGACCAGAAAACTTATCAAGTTCCAAAGACGTTTTGGACCTCGACATCGCATGATGAATGAAGGGTGTGTTTCACAAAGTAGAGAAGAAAGCAGTTCAAGTCAAGTCATGACAAGCCTGTAACTTTCTCTCTTTTTTTTTTTTTAATTATTTTGTACATTCTCTTCATTCTTTTACTGTATATATATCTATCTATCTATTGTTAAACAACTAATATGTTAATGTCTTTATTGCTCTCTTTTTTAAATCAATAAAAAAAAAGATGTCTATTTTATCTTAAAGGACTATAGCTTAAAGGCTTCAAGATATAAGAATGCATACTATCAATCAATCGAACTAATCAAAAAATAAGAGATGTGTCATTATAGATTTCTTACCTGTCTTGTAAACAGTGTCAGACCACCCTTCCACCTTCCAAGCTTCTTCTCTTGTTGTCTTTCTTGTTTGCAAATCACTAGAACCATTGGATCAGACTGATGTTTATACAGTGTATCACTTACGGATAAGTCCACATATGTTGAACTGTATGCAACTGTCCTAGTTGACTAAACCAGGCTCCGACAGGTTCACAAAATTGGCTACGACATTCAAGTCCTTTTCGCCTAAATGTTTTGGTCAGTCATGGTTCCCACCCTTTTAATATTTTACCAATGATATTCCCATTCAAGCAAATTACCAGGCTATTCACAAAATAAGTGTCCATCTTAATACAAACATCCATTGTGAGATTTTACCTTTAAATTGTATTTACGAAGTTCATAAATACCGTTGGTGACTTGAGGAGGCGATGTCTTCCAGAAAGAGAATTCAAGCATCATATTATTCTCACGCGAAATCAATAAAGGGCGGAGATCTTTAATAAACTCTGTATAAGCCTATATAAGATGAGTGTCATACCTGTCTGATCAAGGCACTTACTGGGTCCTGAGAGAGTTTTTCCATCGTAGCCTTGTGGCCTGTGTATCCCTTGTATTCCCATATATGAACTGTATGGAGATGAGTGGAAAAAAAACGTAATAGTTTATATGCTTACCAAACGTATCAAGTTCACCTACCACGGTTTCCCAACTACCACACAAGTGAACATTGTTTTGAGGGTCATTAGCAATACGAGGATAATGATGGGTTCTAAGCATATAGTTTAGAACACATCGTATGTGTGTGTGTTTGAACTTACAAGAGTTGAATGTATTCGGATACCTTTTCAGGTTTAACTCGATGGGCTTAAAACAATTAGCATATGATTTGTTACTGAAAACTCACTTTACTTTGCATCTCATGAACATATTTACCGCGAGCAAGTTTCTTTGAATGTGTCGTATTGTCTTCTGGAGCCAATACGTTACCTGCACCATCTAAATCCTTACCATAAAGGACAGATTTAATGAACCCCGCACCACCTTGTTTACCAGAAGGGTCGACAGACTCTGGTGCATCTTCTATCTTTGGCAACAAACAAGCAGGACGGTTTGAGAAAGAACGATTCAAAGGACGATTGACAAGTGTACGTAATACAGTTGTACGGATAGAGAACATGATGTAAAGAAAAAGAAAATAAAAAATAAAAAATAAAAATTCTTGCTTTATATGATGTAGGTTCTGTGTAACTTGGTTAAGAGTTTATGCATTTCTTTTTATTCATGCTTTGGATCTTCCATGACTGTATCTTCTTCGTCTTCTTCGTCTTCTTCTTCAGTTTGTTCAATGGGTTTATCTTCTTCGGTTGTTTGTTCAGATGTCTTTAACTTTTTTGAAGGCGGTATTGAAGGTGCATCGTCATTTAATGCTTGTTTACGCTTTTCAATTGCTTGTTTAAGTGTCATGGTGGTAGGTATAACATCATCCAAGAATTCAAATGGTTCAATTTCCTTGACTGTGCTTGCTATCAATCATCATTTAGATGAATTCATTCTATAAATATATATATATTATTATTATTATTGTTACCTAAATCCTTATAATAGACTGTCTTTCTTTTTTCTTTTTTAGCTTTATTAAAGGCTTCAGTAACGAGATATTCCATAAATAATTCCTATCCATCAAATCAATATCATCTTGTTATTCAATAATGACTTTACTGTAGCATAGGCAATACAAAAAGTGGCTTCAGCGTTGATCAACGAGACATCTTTATCTTCCTTTATCACACGCTTCACTCGAGCTAGAGGTAACATTGTATTACCTGGCTTTCTTTCAGGCAATTGTTTTTGTGAACGAGGTGTTGTTTCTTGTGTATTGACAGGTGTTGCTTCAGAAGACATAATAAAGAAAAAAAAAAAAAGAAAAAAAAAGAAAGCGCGTCGTTTATTCAGACATTGTGACTCTGTTTAAATACAAGCAGTGATGGATTTACGTTCAGCAACAACAGGTTGATCTGCCATAAATCTCTCTGTGGTTGAATGCAATCCTGTAGTGTGTGAAAATATGTATTTCTCAAGATGTTCACTTGTTTGATGCAAATTCTTGTAGTCGATACTAAAGCAAAAAAAAAAAAAAAAAAATAAGTGTCTATACCATAGTCTGATGGTTTACCCTTTAGCACCATGAAACTCATATTCTTCTTTATCATTCAAACAAAAGAAACGAGGATGCCATTGAACACCTTCTCTTACACGGGCAGCAGTTTCAGCGCGTTGTTTGTCTTCAATAAATGTCTTTTCATTGGTTGCAGTGTCCATGTCTTTCGCTACCAATCCAGCAGTAACTTTGGACCATAGTCTGCTAAAATCAGTATAAGATGACCTATGTAACAATGACTTACTTTTTTGATTCATTGGGTTCCTGATTTTCAAGAGGTTCAACTAGTTTATGAATAACAGCATGGTTACTCACTTTAAAAAAGGATTCTTTGCACGCATTCTAGGATTCGCTCACTTTGATTAGCTATCGAAACAAAAACCATCAACTTACTTTTCCCTTAATAAACAACTCTTCTGTCCATACACCTGAAATATCATACAATACTTCGCCTGTAGATTCACGCTTGATCTTACCAGTGACTGAATGGTATTGACCTGAAAAGAACCCCTAGAATCAATAAAAAAGAAGTGAGATAGGAACACTTGTTTCTTCTTACCTTGGTCTTGAAATCCAATTCACACACAAGGCCAGTAGAAGCACAACGAATGGTAGATTGATCTCCCATTTCCATTACCATTTTTCCAACTAATTTAAAAGATCAGAACAAGAGAGCGATATAACATCTACTTGCATAAAATACCACGGGCATACACATTGGGATTTGTGATTTCATACGTTTCATTCTTGAGTTCACTAAACACAATACGAGAATAGCCCTTCATGATGGTAGCTGCACTATTACCCAAGAATTTAGCTTTGGGATGTGCTTCACCAGTAACAAAGATGCCTAGTTCAGGGAGAGTGTAATAATAAGCAGAGATAGGAGGATGATGCGATACTTGTTCTGCCAGATACATGGCCTTGGATCCATCTTTCAGTTTGTATTCACAACGGAAAAACTCGCCTAGAACAGGATTATAAGGCTTCTTTACACCCTAAAATAGAATAAGCAACCAAAATTTAGTATATCCTTTTTTTCTTCTTCTCACCTTTGGTTTCACATGCCATCCAGAAAGGAAAAAACGGCATATTTCTACAAACCGTTGGACCGGATCAGCGGTCCTTGAAGCTCTTTTTTATTTGTAGGTCAGACATGGTAAGGAATCAAAAAACTTACTTGACCACAAATTCAGGGTGACTCATGAAATCAGTCAGTTTCTCAAGCAGACTTCTTGGTTCCAATACAAAAGTAGGCAAGGTTATTCGAGAGAGATCACTTCCTTTTCTTAACTGAGAAATAAGGCCCATAATAATACTACGGCTCTCTTCTTCTAATTCTTCATAATTGTCTGTACTCTCTTCAAATTGTTGTTTACTCATATTGATATATAAAAGAAGAAAGAGAAAGAGAAAGAGAGGAAAGAAAAGGGAGAAGAATAAGAAACGTGATTTTTCAAGGGAAAAAATTATTGGTTGTGTGTTTGTGTTAAAAAATGAAGCTATCATTTCCCTATTTTTATCTTTAAATCAAAAAAATGCACAATAGCACATATCAATAAATAAACAAAAAAAAAACGCAGTCCCTACTTCTCTTTTTAAGTTTAAATGAAGCAAAACTTTCTCTCATCAGATCAAAGAGAACAAAAAATGGGCTATTTGAATTGCGTCACTTTTCACTCATAAGTTACTCATTTAGACTACAGACTTGATCATCATGCTGAGAACATTTGGATTCTTGATGGAAACTTAAACAATATTAAGATTTTCAGCAATCATAAAGTAAAAATGAATAAAATACTTCATTTTAACTCTTGATCGCTTCTTGTACAGAAGATTGTAGTGACTGACGCTTGAGAAGAAATCAGGAAGAGTTTCATGAAAGAGCAAAATGGTTATAGCAATGGCTAAAGCTACATATTTTATCTCTTCCACTTATATTACGACCATGCTTGACTGGGGGACATTCAAGATTATAACAAACTAAAAGCACCTTTCATGTTTCTGTATTGTGTTGTTCCCTGTCTTCTGACTAATTGCCTAGAATGTTGAAGTTTCTGGAAACAGTAGGCACAGGTTTGAGATGTACCTTTATTTTAGTGTCAGAATTGCCATCATGATGCGCCTTGTAGCTTTGTCTTAGTTCTACTGATAGATTCTTGACTTCTTCCTGCAGGTTAGTAATTTCTTTTTTTAAGAGTTGCGTTGTCTTTAGTAGACTGATTCAAAATCATTTGCCATGTTGATTGTGGAATATTACTACGATGAAGCTGCTGTCTGTCTAGGATTATTCTTCTTGGTACCCATTATCCTTGCATACTTTAAGCCGGGAAAAATAGTTATGCTATGAGCAAAAACCAATTTCGAGCTACTTAAAGCTGAATTTGGTTGTTTTGTACGACAAAGGCATTGTTGTGAAAAGAAGACATGATTAGGAACAAATCAAGCTGAAAGTCAACAATAAGGTCAGATATGAGAGGGATAAGCATGTTCATTTTAGTGTTGAAGATATTCATCATTGCTTGGCCCAAGTCTTGCCGCAAGATAGTGCTTAATCACACAGTACAGACAGCATAGATTTCGTCTCTTTGAGTATTGTCCATTTCCAGTATCTTCAAAAGATCATTGGTCTCCATAAATATACTAGGAGAAGGGAGAAACAGCAACAGGCATGAGACTACCTGTTATAGAAGGCGAACTAATGTTAAGACAGAGAGAAATTCAGCAAGTGCACCTGTTCCTGCTAATTTTAGGTATTGTTGATGAATTTCATCAAAGTGGCGGTCTAAATACTGGTATCAAGCAGTACCACCTATGGCTAACTTACTATCATCTCTAAATTCAGCAAACGCTTTTCGTTTGTCTAAATTGGCGACTTTTTCAACTTTGACAAAAAAAAATCCTTTAGGAGACCTTTTTGCTCTTTATCTTTCTTTGAAAGCAGCGGCATTAGGTGTTTTGCAAATTCAGTCCAAGACATAAGCCCTTGCAGCATTCGCGAATGCATAAATGAACTCTTCCCTGGATTGTTTTGTCTATCCAATTTTTTTTAAAATTAAGCCATAAAGAGTGATTTTCGTTGGAAATTACGCCTAAAAACATAAAGAAAAAGGAAAAGTATGATGATAGCTTCAGTCAACAAATCTACAATGAGACAGCCAACAGGACTGAATACTTTTAGTGCTCCTGTTTTATCATTGCTCCCATCGAAAATAAATGAAAATTGACATATCGTTCAATTTCCCTTTGTTTCGATCAATGTAAATGAATGCATCATAGCTACGTGTTGCCCCATTTGTGCATTTACATCGTAAAGACCTATACTTTGTGCCAAGATGCTCTATATCATAACCAAGCGCTTTGTAGTGTAATTAGGACTGCTAACATTTGACCACATCTAAAGCTGCCCGAATTCTCGAACTGACTGAGTCTAAAGCGGCATTTGAATCGGTTCACTCTTTTTTTTTTCCTCTGGATTCCTGCCGCCAAATAAGCAGATTCAAGCAGAGCTGAATAAACCTTCTTTCTCAACGTTCAAAGGTATCCAGCATCGTAACATGTCCATCCATCAAGGATCCATCCATCCATAACAACAACTGACTGATTTCTATATAACAGATGCCTCCCAAGTTCGATCCCTCTGAGGTTAAGATTATCTACCTTCGTGCTACTGGGTAAGTTATCGATGAATCGCCATCGGATTAACATCTCTATAGTGGTGAAGTCGGTGCTTCTTCTGCTCTCGCCCCCAAGATCGGTCCTCTTGGTTTGTCCCCCAAGAAGGTCGGTGAAGATATCGCCAAGGGTACTAAGGACTGGAAGGGTCTCCGTGTCACTGTCCAATTGACCATTCAAAACCGTCAAGCTCAAGTGTCCGTTGTTCCCTCTGCTTCTTCTTTGGTCATCAAGGCTCTCAAGGAACCTGTTCGTGACCGTAAGAAGGAAAAGAACATCAAGCACTCTGGTAACATCTCTCTTGATGATGTGATCGAAATTGCTCGTACCATGCGTTTCAAGTCTTTGGCTCGTGAACTCAAGGGTACTGTCAAGGAAATCCTTGGTACTGCTTTCTCTGTCGGTTGTACCGTTGATGGTCAAAACCCCAAGGACCTCGGTGATGCCATCGATGCTGGTGAAGTTGAAATTCCCGTAAGTAACATAACTTAAAAGAAAAGACATAGAACTGACTCTGTATAGGAAAAATAAACGCTCATCTATACGTTTTATTTGAAAATAAAAAAAAAGGCTCTAGATGCAAACACATTTCAGCTCATTTGCTTTCTTTTTTATTTATTTATTTACTTATTTTTACTGATGTTCTGTTACTTTGATGACAATTTTGCCCATTGATTGATTACTTTCAAGGTATTTATGAGCATCGATAATATCTTCCCAGTTGAAGATTTTGTCGATAAAGATCTTGAGGGCAGCGTCTTGTTTCTTGGCAAAGTGCTTTGACACAGCATGTTCATAGATGGCATCACGTAACTTGGTTTGATATTCAACTGAACGAGCACGTAAATTAGAGCCTTCAATCTAGTAATGAAATGAGTTTCAATGGCTACTCTCCTCTTCCTGTTATTATTTTACCTTGATTCTCTTGCGAAGCATCACAGAGATATCAAACTTTTCAATCACAGTACCACTCATAAAGGCAAGAATAACCATATGGCCATCAAGACCTAAGACTTGAATGTTTTGGTTCCAATAGTCTTTACCAATAAAGTCAATCAAGACATCAACACCCTTTTTAGAGGTTTCATTCAAGATCTACTCTAGGTGTGTTAATGACAATATGATGTCATCTTGGATACTCACAACATCAGACCAGTTTTCTGTCTTGTAATTGATGGCCTTTGTAGCACCAATGCTTTGGCAGAACTTGACCTTGTCATCAGAACCTACAGTGACAAAGATACGGTTTCTATAGATGGTATAAGCTATGGAGTAGTTCCCTATCATATATACTTACGCTCCCGCTTCTTTGGCTAATTGAATAGCAGCAATACCAACACCTGAAGCACCTGCATGAATAAGGACATCTTGTCCTTTCTTTAACTGTCCAACAAAAAACAAGGCCTGGTAAGCAGTAAACCAAGTTTCAGGGATAGCAGCAGCTTCTTCAAAAGAAAGAGCATCTGGTTTATGCATTGTCAAGGATTCATGAAGAACAGCATACTAAGTCATATCATCAGTTTATCTAGAAGTTAACATATCTCACACACTTACTTGAGCATAACCACCACCAGGCATTAAACCAAACACAGCATCGCCGGGTTTAAAATTAGAGACTAGAACGCAATCAATAACAACAATAAAAAAAACAGAATAGACAAGGCTGTACTTTACCATCTTTCCCAACACGTTCAATGATACCAGACACTTCGACACCCAAAATTGGACTAGCACCAGGAGGAACAGGGTATTTGCCTTCTCTTTGAAGAAGGTCCATACGGTTCAAAGCAAAGCATTTGACCTAGTTGAAGGATAAGAGACAGAACGCGTTTCAATTAGAGACACTTACCTTCACCAAGACTTCATGGTCTTTGGGAACAGGTTGGTCATAGTCACCCAAATAAAGTTGAGAAGCATCACCTATTCAGATATGACATGAGACATCAACAAATACCAATTGGGTTGTTTACCTGGTGATTTAACGATTACAGCACGCATTGTTATAGAGAGAGAAAACAAAGAAAAAAAAAAGAGCTTCTTCTTTTGTAAGATGTATGGTTATTTATTTACCCGCATAGTGCTTAGTCATCAATTTATATTTACATTGAATTAGATTCAATAAGGTCTTTTGAAATAGACGTCTTTTCTTTTGTATCATCAAAACTACTGCCACGTTTCATAGCAGCAAGCTCCTTTTCTGCTTTCCAGACAAACATGGATCGAGTAGCAAACACCACATCCAATTCCTCTAATGTCTTATTACTTGTTTCGGGATACAAGGCCCACACAATAGGAATAGCCAAGAAATTAAATGCACCAAAAATCAAAAAGGTAATCCAACCAATACCAGCAATCATGGGCGGTGTGATTTCCATGACTAAGGCATTACCAATCGACCAGCCTACCACACTAAATGCACCTCCTTTGGCCCGTACACTTACAGGGAAAATCTCAACAGGATAAGCCCAAGCAAGGACTAACCACGTCATGCCAAAAAAGGCTGTGTACAGAAACGTAAACACAGTAGCTCCGATACCATAGGCCGTAGGGTTGTGTGCCATGATGTCAGGCTTTGTCAAGACAGCGACCAAGATAAGCGAGATACCTTGACAGACAGCACCATAAAACATAGTGAACCGTCGACCCCATCGATCCAAGGTAAAAACAGCCACTAGGGTAGATAGCATATAGGTGATATTGTTGATACCAGACAACAGTTGTGATGTTTGTGTACTGAATCCAGCACTTGCAAATACTTGAGGTGCATAGACTGTAATGACGCCAATGCCTGTCAATTCTTGAATGATCTGTAACCAGACAGAGAGATGCACACGGCGAGAGATGTTTAAGGGATCCTTTTTGATCAACATGTCTAGATAGCTTGGTTCATTAGAAGATGTCTCTTTCTCGATGGCCATGATAATTTCATTGTATTCTCTTTGCACATCAGGGTGATTGGGATCACCATTGCCTCGAAGAGCAGCTAGAATAGTAAGACCTTCTTCCATACGACCCTTTTTGAGTAACCAACGAGGAGATTCTGGAAAGAAACTGATACCAAGAGCAAGCACAATTAAAGGTATCATTTGAAAAGCAATAGGAAATCGCCATCGAAAAGCACCTTCTGTAAAAGATAGACCATAAGCAAGCCAATACTAAACAATAAGGTGTCAGAATACAGACCCATCTTTTTTCTTAAAAAAAAAATAGTACTTACAGCCACTACCACACCCAAGATATTCAAGGTAAATTCCATCGCAATCATCTGTCCTCTGGATGTATGATGAGATGTCTCTGCACTCCAGACAGGTACCACAGCATTTCTAACCAAGTCAGTCTAATTCTTTTCTTGAACATGAGCACTTACAAATGGCCTGTGCCTACACCCGTAATAATACGAGAACAAATCATCCAAGCAACATTCTGAGCAGATGTCTGTAGAATAGCACCAAACATAGCAATGATGCAACCAAGGATAATGGTCTTGATTCGACCATGTCTATCTGATATCCATCCTCCCATTAAGGCACCTATCAATGTACCGCAATAATAAACAGCGACCACACCACCTAACAATGCCTCATTGGATTCTAATCCCATAATACGGATATAATCAGGCGAGAGATTGACACCACTCATGACACCTTGATCATACTATAGACATCTGTCAATCTAAGTTGGATCTCTTATGCAAACTTACACCAAAAAAGAAGATACTGAGACCAGCAGCCAAGTTAATAGCCAGTACAAGACTATGTCCGGAGAAATAATGATATGCATTTAATTTACGCTTCAACATAGAAACAAAACAATAAGAAAAAAATAAAGGTACAAAAAAAAAGTGCTTTATATATTCTGTAGATTTTCCCCCACAAACTGACATCATGCAGAAAGCAACAAAAATAATACGATTCGTTAACTTTAAACAGTTTCTTGATCTGATTGGCAGAAAATATCCCGGAAACAGAAACAATCTCGATTCCCATACAACAAGAACCTTGCCAAATACAAATGGTTATTCTCCGGATACGTTTAAGTAAAGAAAAAAAAAAGGATTGATGTCACACAATGCTAAAAGAGATTTCTATATCTTCTTGTATCGGCCCGCAATCTTGCATGGCAAAAAAGTCACGTCATGTTTTCACATAAAAAAGTGGTTCTCTCTTATTTATCTTTTCTTGTTCTTTTTCACTTTTATTTTTTGTCTATTTTATTACTATGTCTACTACACCTCATCATAATGAAAGCAGAGATCCTATTATGGAAGATGACCATTTCTCTTTAAAATTTGGTAATCCTATTCAAGTGATACATGATACAGAGAGACACAAGGTAGATAATTTCGAACCCACCAAAGAACATGTTACAGGCTCATTAGCCAGCAGTATTGGTGATGCTATTGCCACTCATAAAAAAGAGCATCAAAAGCCTCCTTTAAAACAACACAGTTCAAGTTCTTTCAGAGACTGGTCAAGTTGTTCAGATTTCTTCCATAACAAAAATGGCAGTGTATCTGAGATTGAACACAAGGATTAAATAAACAGTTTTGAAGCTTATTTTATGAATGGAAATAAAGTTCATGCAACTATTTGTTTATTGCTTACTAAACGAGATCCGACATCAATAAATGTACTATGATCTGAATTTGAGCTCAGCATTCATAGAAGTATATTTTTCTTTTCTAACACAGATACTGAAAGAAAAGGAATAAATAAAGGGACGTCATTAGATAAACCAATGGATAATGATCTGTGTGAAAAGTGTGTAACCGGAAGGAATTGAAATTGTTGAAAGATAAGGGAAAAATTCTCACGGTGGCTCATTAGCTATAGGGGAATGTCATTAATGCGATGATAATCATCTTACCCAATCATATGTGAGTATCTCTCTTTGCATCACATGAGTAGATTAGGCCTGTCAAAATCTAAAGCGAATTAGATTCGAGGTTCTTATCAATACCAATTATAGTAATTGTGCTTTTCTGTAGATCTTCTTCTTATATGCTTATTATCCTAGGCCATTGCAAGTAGCATAGTCCTGTCTATATAGTGAGTAGGGCCTATTGTTGTCTATCTAGGTCTATTGGAACAAATACAATGAATATCTAGCTACCTACATATATATATATATATATATATATATATCAACAGATACTAATATATATATATATATAATATATACAATTCTTTCCTGGGAAAATGGATGAAAAAATCCCACGTGATAAGATCAAAGACATCATCTTATCAGTAAACCTCCTTATTATTTTCGTTACACGCTTCCCTAATTTGTATAAAAGAGGGAGTTGTATGATAAAATCTTATTTATTTTCTTCTTTTTCTTTATAAATGAACACTGAAACACAACATATGCATTTTATTCAGCCAATGACGCCTATGGAGTCCTTATTGAGTGCTATCGACAATGCAAAGCCTATTCATCTTCCTCAGCCAAATAACAAACGAAGTCGACCTTCATCACCTCAACAGTCTATGTCGATTGAGAGCATTTTGGATCATCATCATGAGCGACCATTTAAGAGACAAAACTATCACCCTGTATCTCCTCCACCTCAATCTCCACCTTTGACTTGTAAGAAAATGTCGACTGTGACCTGTTATCATGCATCTGTTGCTCAAAAATCTTATGGTTCAGAAAAACGATTTTTATGCCCTCCACCTATTGTGATGATGTCAAATCAACTGAGTCATACACCTCTTGTCTCAATGACAGTCGTATGCGAAACAGGCGATCGACAACTTGAACAGCGAGCATTACTAGATGAAAACCTGAAGGGTAGTTTTAAATACCTATTTGTTACTGGCACAGCAAAAGCAAAGCAGTTCTGTTTACGAGTCAATCTAACAAAACAACAACAACAACAATCTTATGCTTCTTTCTTTAGTTCACCTATCTCTATCATCTCTAAACCTTCGAAAAAGACAGCAAAAGCACGTAATATCTCAACTTGTCTATTTAACAATGCCTATGTATCACTCTTTAATCGCATTAATTCACAAACTGTACGTACAAAATACCTGACGACTGAAAACAAGCAAATGTGCGCTAAACATGCCTCTTGGTCTCCATTTGAAATCATAGTGGTGCGTCAACCTAATCAAGCCTTAAATCCTGATAATCACAGTGTGTCTGTGCCCATCACTTATGGTACAGAAATCATCCTCAAGGACGTTCATACGGGCATTTCCTCCCCTCCTTTAATTATCCGCAAAGTAGACAAAGGTCGTATTGTCAATCATGCCTATGGTTTGCTATCTCAGATGCAGAAGATTGCTTTACAACTCGCTTCGTCATCATCCCAGGCTGAACCCTTGTATTTGAATGCCAATGGTCAAGCCATGCATCATCAAGAATCAGACAACCATTCAAACCACAACACAAGTGCTTGGATTGACTTCTCACCCTCGAAAATAGTCCAAGAAGCAGAAACAACAGAAATTGTCAGTGACTATCTATGCTGGACAATTGTCGGTATCTCTAAATTTGAATACTCTTTTTCAGAGACCAATATGCCTATCGAAACAACACAAAGACAACTCTCTCCTCCTCCTTCACCACCCAGATCAATCATGCCCTATCCTCTCATTCATTCTGTTGATTATGCACCTTCATCACATGCTTTAAAAATCACTGGACAACACTTGACTCATGGACGCCTATTAGAATTCTGGCTTGGTTCTCATGGTCCCCTTAAAGCCAAAGAAGAAGCAAAAGACCAGGTGCTGATTGAATTACCAGACACTCAAAACTTAACTACTGAATTACCTTTATTGCTTGTAAGACAGGATGGATTTGTATATCATTCAAACAAATCTCTTTGTTACCAATCTAATCAATGGTCTATTATGGACACTACTTTTTAATATACCTCTCTGTAAATAAAAGATAAGCTTATCCCTCCTATCATCTGATCTTATCACTATAAACCCATTTTAAGAGTGGGAAAAAAAATTTCCCCGTTTGTCAACCCCTCCCCCCCCCCAAATTTTCCTTTTTTTTTTTCCTTTTTGTTATGAACAAGGCATTTAATAAACAAGTCCTTGACACTTTCTGCTTTTATTGGCCAGAGATGCATTCGTATGTACTTGTCAGAGTACTTGAACATACGATTGCCTTATTGCCTGTCAGGTCTCGACTTGCTCTTCTTTATTTTCAATCCAACAATATGTTTAAGAGTTGGAAACATACATTGGCTATCGATCACCACACACCCTCTGTAACACTCAGTGATGTATTAGCCTATGAACACAACCATCAAAGGGGATGGATTCATGCACCTTGTCAAGTGCATCATGAACAAGACAAGACAACCCGTGTTATTCTATCAACTGAACATACTCAATTATCACTGACAGCAAGGTCATTGACTGAGAAAAGGATGTTTATTAACCTTGTTCATCTTAAACATCACACAACTGAACAGGATGAGTATTTATCTACCATGTAAGTCAACGCCATCTATCTATACTGTACCACTCACCACCACACATACCTATTATTAGGCCATTCCATACATTGATAACACACTATCAACAACACATAGACCGTAAACTAGACGATATAAATCAATTGGTATCCAGAATGAATCAAGCAAGACAGGACATGGCTTGTTATTCTTATAAATTGGCTGAATTGGACCATTCTATTGACTTGCTGAAAGAAAACACAAATCCATGGAGTGCATTGGACCGTGTCTCAAGTGTCAAGCATCAATTGACTGAATCCATGACTGAATTTCATTCAGGACAAGCACGCATGTCTCGGTTACAAGAGCGTGTCTCTTTACACAACTTGTTTCTAAAAGGATCAAGGCAGCGATATGAACAAATCAAAGCTAGGTTTCGAAATCATGTTTGGTATCCTTGGTTTTATAGTGGTAAGTTGGAGAGGGGAAGTCTAGTATCCTAGTGCGTATCTAATAAAGGTAGTGCTTACCTGTATGGTGGTCATTTTCTTTTGTAAATATATATTATAAAAAAACGAACTTCTCCTTGCTTACAAACCGCTATCACATTTTGGTCGAGTTGACAGAAAGAAAACAGAACTGAATTGAGCTTTGATCAACTCATACTGAAAATGAAAAGCAATCTACTTGAATGGATCAAGATGTGATACAAGTGGATCCCATACACGGATCTCAATCAAGAATGCTTGTATCAATAGCGCTGATTGTGAAGTAAGAAGCTATGTCATGGCTCACAGTAAAGGCACCAGCAAAACTTTCTTTAGACCAGCAGTCTTGAATTAATAGCACATCTTGCTTGACCATCTTTGAAAACACCTAGAAACCCAACCTGAGTAGAACAAACCTTCCCCAACTTGGAGCACACCTACTAAAGAAGAGCATAGTTTTAGAGAGACAGACTTGACACACCAACGGCACACTTTGTCTTCAGCTAATCAGCTATTAAGCCCAGCTTATGGATGACACAAGTTTCAGTGCAACCTCATGTTTGAATAACGCCAAAGAAGCAAAGCACTGAACAGACACAGTTACACGATTGGAAGTCGCGATTCTTTTAACTGCATAAGTCAACTGAACAAGAATAAGGAGCTTCTTGAACAATATGAACCTTACCTTGACAAGAGTCAAAAAAAAAAGACTTCTCTGGAAATAAAGATGCCGCATTCAGAGTTGAGTGGCTTAGCCAATCAATTTGCTGTCTTGGATGCTTCGAACAGGTAGTTTTTTTCATCATTCTCTTATCAGATGTGCCCTAGAGTTGCTTATTGTGTATCAAATGAAACAAAGAAAGTTAGTTTTGTGCTTTGATTGGTGGATCAAGCTGTGTAGGTCTAATTTGCAAGCCCTTTGGTTTTTACATTTATACAATAAAGATAGCGTTAAAGAACAAAAGTAACTAAGGACTTCGATCCATATGGCTCATTTCCAAGGACAGTAAAGGAGAAAGTACTCAAAAGAGGCAGAGCCAGAACACAATGTATAACTTCTGTCTTCACTTCGATTGATTCTGTGTATATGCTGTCTCGTAGGTAATTTCCTGTTGATCACTCGGAACAATAAATTTCTTGAAGGCAAAGGCATGATGGGAGACCAGAGAAAGATTCTCAATCTAGGCGACAAATGTAATCGAGCATTGGTAACGCAGACATAGTTATACATGCTATAGACCTTTGATATATGATGTCTTCAGAGGAAGAAGTCACTCAGTTGGGATCCTAGTGATTGAGCATCTCCTTCGATGTTAACCTGTTCTACTTTGTTGTAATATATAGGAGCAAAAAGAATTGTAAACGTGCAGAATACCGAATCAAAACATCGCTGTACAATGAAAGACATAGGAGCAGATAGGTAGTGTATTCTGTGCGGCCCTTCAGCCGAAATCGCCTAGTATTCTTATCAAACTTAAAAAGAACCAAGGTAGGAAAATCGGTATGACGATAAATCCAGTGACCAGAAGGCAAGTCAGCGGACACCCTAACTAAAAAGAAATGCAGCCGAATTTTGACGGGTACTCGATGAAGTTAAAAGTCAATCCCAAAGTAATCAAAGGACTGGAACATAACCGGAATGATAAAATATAACTTCTTCAAGTATTTTGAAGGCTTCATTTTATCTTGGCTTTTGTTAACTTATTTATTCACTTTAAAATAGTAAATCACTCCTTTTGTTTACTTATGATTGTATTTCTCAATAATAAGTCAGAAACCGATCTCACTTAAGGAATACTCTCTTCTTTCAGATAATTTTTAAATCGTCCAACTATTTTCTCTCTCTTTTTTCTCTTTATTTCTAGTTTATCCATGCTACACCCCTCAGCGACGTGTAGCTAAAACATATAATAAAATATTGTACAAAAATAAACTGAAAAAGTCATAGAAGAAAAAAAATTGAAAATGAACATTATATATATGGATTTCAATAGACATAATAGTAAACGTAAAAGTAAAAGTACCAGCCGAGGAATTAGTCTCAAAGACATGCATCAACAAGAGAAAAATGGTTTGAGTTAGGTTTAAAAAGCGGAGCATTATAATGCTAGCAAAAGACTTGAACACGTATTAAGCACAAGATGCTCGGAACGCTGACAAAATAAATGCTTTGATGGATTTGCTAATGTTCATCCTAACATGGAGGTTTTAAAGTTCATTGTCTGCAAATGTGTACAATCTTGCCAGCACAACATAGCATCTGCATTTTGAAAACCTATGACTCGCTTGTAACATGTAAAGTTTGTTTCTGTATAAATCAATAGGTGTCAAAGGAGCGATGGTTCAAAGGTTCTCATGGAAAATAAGCACAAGAGAAAGAAAATGAATAAAAGTCATTTGTTTATAAAGTTTATACTATTAACTCATTATGTTTATAAACAGTTTTCATTGTTTCAGTACTGCTGAGTGCTGCTTTTCCTTTCTTGTGAGTCATTTACCAGCAATGCGTTTTGTACGACAACCCTTGATCTTCTTACGCTTTTGTTTAAATCACAGCTTAGTTCATACCAGAATTCGTCTATACTGACATTATTGAAGCATCCAATTTGTATTTTGTAGGTTATTTGGTTTCGACAAATAATGTCGTTTACTTTTTTGTTAGTAAAGGGGGGGAATCTACAAGATTCTATGAAACTATAAGGTCCAGGCTTTGAAAGAAGGACTCACTAAAGAACAATTCTTCTTTTCTATTACCGCAGGTGGCGTAAGCTCTCTTTGCCACAAAGTGCATGGCAGAGATGATCATGTGTATTGATAAATAAGCGTATTTCTTTAATAATATAAGTTCAAAAAGGAACTTGTGATTGATAGTGCTACAGTTGACTAGCTTTTGCGATATGGAGCATCGTTGTGTCAGCAAAAGGCTTAAATAAATATCAAGCACAAGACCTTCAAAATGTTGACAAAACAAATGCTTCAAAAAACTGGTCGTAATAAACAACCCACTCAATGTTTTATTCTCTGATGACATATGTAGATTAATAGCTTGTAAAGGTAACTCACTTATTATCAGTAGCTTTTTCTTCTTTGCCTGTACACAGTCCGCAGTTTATTTTATGTACAATAGCCAAGCTTAAACGACTTGATGTCATCTGCCAAATTTAGTCTTAGAAATAATAAATATTTATGACCTCTTTTTTACCTTGTAAAGTAATTTCGATACGTATTATCTAAACGCACAGCAAGACTATGCAAAAAAAAAATAAACCTCTTCTTTTTTAAACTTTTTTCTTTCATTTTTTTTTCTTTCTCTTGTTATTTTTAAAGAACAAAAAAATGCAAAACGATTCACAAATGACAACTCAAATACCTTCAGTTAAACTAGTGCTTTTAGGTATATAGTGTCACCAACCAAAACGTTTAACTCTATTAAAATTTAGGAGAGTCCTCTGTAGGCAAGTCAAGTATCGTCACTCGTTATGCTACCGACTCATTTACAGAAGGAAGAGAGGCAACAATAGGAGGTAGCGAATACTTATCAATTTTCTTTTTTTTTTCTGATAATTTTGTCCTAGCCGCTTTTTTAGCTCGTATCTGCTCAACAACAGACAGAAAAGTCAAGTTTGAAATATGGGATACAGCAGGTCAAGAGCGATTTCACTGTCTAGCTCCAATGTATTATAGAAATGCTTTAGCAGCGATGGTAGTTTTCGATATAACAAAACATGCAAGTGTCATAAGAACAAAAGAGAAAAAAAAGTTAATAATTTACTTTTAGAGTTCTTTTGAAAGGGCAAAACAATGGGTTAAGGAGCTACAACGTCAAGCTAGTCCACATCTAGTGATAGCCCTTGTAGGAAACAAAACTGACTTAGACCAAGAGCGAGTAGTATCAGAGCAAGAAGCAGATGCATATGCAAAAGACACACAACTACTTTATGTCGAGACAAGTGCTCGTCTAGGCACAAATATTGATCATGTGTTTGCTGAAATAGGTAATTTTAGGCTTAAAATCGCACAGCATGCATTGCTCATAACTTTTATATAGCAAACAACATCCCAGCGGAACAGTTGAACTCTAGAATAGCAAACAAGAAACTGGATATGGGTGGCAGTGACTCAAATGATAAGGGTCAATGTGCCTGCTGAATTACATACCTCTCTTTTGTCTATCCAATAAAAAAGAAAGATCTTTATTTCTGTTATTCTTACATAATCATTTAAAAGACAGTCTCCTCCTGATTGCCAATGTCAATGGGGTATACAGTCATACCAGAAACAGTGACAGGGCAATGTTAAAGCTTTTTGAAAGCGACTCTTGATGAAATGGACAAGTAACTAGAGATGAAGGGATATTTTTTTGTCATGAATAATGCTCCTATTCATAGCTCATAAGGCGTCGGTTCGTTTTTGATTCATTCGAACCTTTCTCTCATCTCAATGCAGTGTTTTTGCATTTGACAGCTCATAGCCGACAACACATTTTCTTATTCCTTACTGAAACTCTTCTTGCATTCAGTCCGTTGTCAATATGATCTTTGTGATAAAGAGTAAATGTACCCCTGCTCTGATGTGAGCTTTCCAAATACAAACCTTCTTTCAATACCAGATTGGATGGTTGTTCTGAAAAAGTGTTCTGGTCAATCATTGTGCGTTATAGTGTCAAACCATGCTGTGGCTACTTTTTTTAGAATACAAGTACTTTGTTAAGCAATCAAAAAAAGTACATGCGCAACATTACAACTTGATTTATTTTTTGTCTATTCACCAAATATCAAATACACATAATAAAGAGTTTTATTTTTTTTTCTTGACATGTAGTTCATCATTTGTGAACTAATTGATTAAAGAGAGCATTATGTGATCTACTTTTAAGGAAGAAAATATGCCTCTGACTTCATATCCTCCTAGAGTTCACTTAATGCGCAAATAAATGATAAAACGCTCTACATAAGCTTATCTCTTTAGGAAATAAATGCATTTGTATTGCTCTTTTTTGCCTATTGCTTTCACCTGAACACCAATTATTATAGAAACTCTGTTATAACCCCTTCTCATCCAACATCATCTACCGGCTACGGCAGATTTGAAGCAAATTTAGTTCACCAAATGCATACACACTCTGTCGATTCTCTGACCCCATCACCAAGTCACATACCTACCACCACCCGTTCAGTGTATTCGCCCTGGCAGATTATGATCGTGGTAACAACCCTGGAGCCTATCTCTTTCATGGCATCGGCATTCTTGTGTTGAAACATGGTGAGAGTGCACACTTACCTTGGAAAAATATAGAAAAATGGGCTTCTCTGGTAACTGGCGAAATCAAGACCATATCTATTAGACATACTTCGACTGTATCCCCGAGCAAATAGTGACATTCCCATTTTAAAGAACGACGCATTGAATAAGTACCTCAGCAGTCTTGCAGATCTCCTAATGCCATCAATTGTAGCTGCCAACGAATCAGTTGCTATACAAATTGCCCAAGCGTTTGACTTTATGGTCCGAGCCTCTTTAATTTTTTGCGTACGAATATTCCCTCACCATTGACTATCAATTCCCATTCTGTCAGTCTTTGCAATAAACACCGCATGTTATTGCAGAAAAAAAAGCAATGATGCCATTATGTCTAAGTGTTGCTTGTTATATTAGATATTATAAGACAATCAGAATAAGTGACGAAGAACTAGATCAGGCTGAAAGATCTTTCAGAAGGTTTATTCTGTAAAAACTGGGTACAGGAGCTTATTGTTTTGATAGCGAAAAGCTCTTTATCAATACAAAGTTCCATCGATTCAAACCCATGCTCATTAACAATGTGCCCTTGATTATTTTCTTTATATTTATGTTAAATACTTAACTTGTTTGCTTTGCCCTTGTTGGTACTACAATCGCGGTATAATAACCACAACGCGAATTGAGGTCTTTAAAACGAAGGGGGAGAAATAAAATATAATATGTGGGACAGTTCTTTATTCGAGCAGCTACGTTTCAAATCCCAATGAACGGTTTTTATTTTCGCCGAAGAAAAAAAAAAAAATAGAGATTCAGGTACAATTTAGGTTAGAACCTAAAAAAGAAAAAGAGTCTAAATCAAGAAACTCAATTGAGTACGCTTGGAAGGAGAGAAAAGTGATTTATTTATTAAATCTTATTTGCTACTTTTTCATCTCAGATTACTCAACATTTGGTGATTTGATCATTTTCTATATGGTTTTATCATACGTCTCGCATTTGTTGCTTGTCTTCTATATCCATTTTCTGTGTTTCGTTACTGTTCAAAATAGAATCTAAAGAAGAATTGTGTTTGGGAAGATAGTTTCCAATAAAGAATACACAATAGACAGCAAAACTGATAGCAATCACAAGTGTATCAAATACATAAAATGCCCATTCGGAGGAAGCAATTGGACCACCGTATCCAGATGCATACTCTGCCACACGATAAATCGAACGGATATAGAGTAAGAATATAGTAACATAAAGGCAAAGCAGAAGATACTTCTTAGCATTGGGTTGTCCTTTTACATGATATTGATATTGAGGGTTCAGATGAACATAGACAGTAATACCAGCAAAACAGGCAAAGAAGACCAACTGAAGACCAAGTCCGACTAATGTGATGGCTCTACCAATTGTGTTTAGGTCGACACTGGTTTGCATACCACCACCTGCACCTTGTAGCACAAACGAAAAAATATCACTACTGAAAAAGAACCAAGTGACAAACTTGGGTTTAATGTAGAACTTGTTTGTTTCGACATTCGACAATCGAATAACTTCACCGACAGTCTTGTAATTCACCAGGGCGAGCGCATTAGGTGCTAGCAACAAGAACAATGTCATACCTACATAACGACCAAGATCCGTAAAGTAATGGCAAGCGATACGGACAGCATACCCGACTGTTTCCATTAAGCCGGTGAATGCTAAAATGTAGAGAAATTTAGGACTTTTTGAAAGGTACATCCGCGCTGTTAGGTAGATAGTAAAGATAGCATATACACAAAGACCCACAATAGCTAATGACAGATTGGGTATATAATGAAAAAACAACATGGCTTGAGTTTCGCCTGTGTTAGTTCTCCATGATCCAGCCATGTTGTGTAAATTGCAAAGAAAGAAGGAGGGTAGGAACTGTATGTTTTATTCAAGTTAAATATTCACTATTAATCGAAGTTACACCAAACAGGTTGTACCATAAAACTTTATTATTTATTTGATACAACGTACTAACAATGATCATTTCACAAGTACAGAAAAAGAAAGAGAAAAATATACGAGAGCTCAAAAGTATATTTATTTGCGCAAATGCCATTATAATTACTCTTTATGGTTAGCAAAACTTTTTGAAGCAATGTACCAAGCGGTTGGATATTTTGTATCACAGTCCCTCATTGCCAAATCCAACGTTACTCACAAAAAAAAGGGACATATTGTTCACAATTGCAGTGCATGGTAAAAGAAAAAGAAAGTATTTGTCAAGGAAGACTGTTTTATCCATAGGAATGGCTTGTTTTCTCTTCCGAACTCTAAGAAAATAATGCCATACTGCTTTCTGCCTTACGTCACCATCAGGCCTAGCCAACATGTTAGTATTGAATGAGAACTGAATTGTGCTTACTCTTCACACAGTGTCAATTGTAATGCTCGTAATTGTCCTTTTAATTGCTTCTTGTTATTCACTAAATCATGAATATGATTCACAGCTAATCTCAATTCATCAATAGGGTATCAATGGACTCACACATGCACACATTTCTGCAAAATTAATGCTTCACTTCGATATATGTTTTCCGATGTTGGTACACTACTGACAAGTTGTTCAAAACTAGTTCTTATATTTGCTCGTCTTTTTGCTCAGAAGCAATGTGATTTGCCTCTTTTTTTTTTTTTTTATCTTTTGATAGCAATTCATGTGGTGCTTTTCTTGCTCGGCCTATTCTAACCGACGACTTTAGTACTGACTTTTCTTTAGGAGATACTCAACCAATGCTTATCTCCCTTTGATAGTTATCTTCATAGTGTTAGCATAAAGCATAACACAAACTTTGTCTTACAAAAACAAGTGTCCAAAAATTTCCTAGTTTTCTCTGCTCTTCTTTTGAGAACATAATATAGAAAGAGAAAAAAGAGAAAAAAGAGAAAAAGAGAAGAACTTGTGAAAGTGTTATTCTTGTAAGGAATGTTACTTATCACGCGAATACACACACATATATATAGAAAGCATGGTTCGCTCAAGGACAAAGGGACCGCAACTGCCATGATTTTATTGGTTCAGTCCAAGAAAAAAAAACCTTGAAGCTGTGACTTTTTCCAACCTAATATGCAAGCAACTAAGATTATTAATTTCATAGTGCGCGTTTTTTTTCTCTCTTTTTCTTTCTTCTTTTCTCCTTTTCATTGTTTACAAATAAAACTATGGCTGAAGCTATTTTAGATTTCAGTAAAGAACTCGACGTTGCCTTATTAGATCAAGTCGTTATGACTTTCTTTACCGGCTCTGGTAGTGAGGTAAGCGTGTTTATTCACACGTATATAGTTCTAACATCAATTTTTATAGCAACAACTGGCTCAACAAATCCTGACTCAATTTCAAGACCATGAAGAAGCTTGGACTCGAGTTGATGGTATTTTAGAAAAGTCTTCTGTTTCTCAAACAAAGGTTTGTCATCTTTTTTTCGTGATAAGAAAAAAAAAGTAACGCGGTTTTTGTAGTTTATTGCGCTACAAATCCTTGAAAAGTTTGTTCAAACAAGATGGAATATTTTACAAGCCGATAGTAGAAATGGTAAATTCATATAGTCTGATTGTTTTTTTTTTTTTTTACTCATTTTGTTAGCCATTCGTTACTTTATTGTCAATGTTATTGTGAAGCAATCTTCTGACGAAAACACACTAATTAAAGAGCGTACCTACATCAACAAGCTCAACATGGTTCTTGTGCAGGTAAGGCATCCGATTGTTTTCTTTTATCGCTCAATTACTTGTAGATTCTTAAGCAAGAATGGCCTCACAATTGGCCTTCTTTTATTCCTGAAATTATTGCCTCTAGCAAGACAAATCTTTCTCTTTGCGAGAACAACATGGCCATCTTAAAGCTTTTAAGGTACATATACAGAACAAACCTAAATCCAGTATATTGATCTTGTTTGATAGTGAAGAAATTTTTGATTTCTCTGCTGAGCAAATGACTCAATTAAAAGCAGCTACTTTGAAGACACAAATGCAAAAAGAATTCTCTGAAATTTACAACTTGTGTAGAGAAGTCATTGATAATGCTGTCAAGCCAAGTCTTATCAAAGCTACACTTGAAACTCTTTTGAGATTTGTTCATTGGATTCCTGTTGGTTATATCTTTGAAACTGATCTTATTGAAACACTTCGCAGCAAAGTATGTATTTATATATGGATAGATTTTCTTTTTTTTAACTGATATCCATTAGTTTTTTGAACAACCTCAATTCAGAAATGTGACACTCAAATGCTTCACTGAAATCAGTACTCTCGAAATCACAGAAAACTATTATGAAAAGATGGTCATCATGTTTAACAGTGTAATGACAGCTACAAACAGCATGATTCCTCCTAGCACCAATATTGCTGAAGTATACGAAAACAGTAATGATGACGATCAAGAATTCGTCCAGAATTTAGCATTATTCCTCACTAGTTATCTTTCTACCCACTTAAAGGTAAGAACAATCAAGTGTATTGGATGGTTTTATTTATTCTGTAGACTGTTGAACGTTATCCTGGTTCTCATGAGCTCTTGATCAATGCCCATTTCTATCTCATCAAGATCTCTCGTGTAGAAGATCGTGAAATCTTCAAGATCTGTTTAGAATACTGGGCTAAATTGGTTCAAGGATTGTTTGAAGAAGCTTCTACTGCTGGTCATGGTGCTCCATTATTGGATTTAGGCAATATGGGTGGATTTAATGGTGCAGTCAGAAAAAATCTCTATGTTTCTGTCTTGTCCAACTTACGTGTCGTGATGATTGAGTGTATGGTGAAGCCTGAAGAAGTAAAGTATGGTATGCGTATGTATCTGTACTTACACATGTTAGGTTCTTGTGGTTGAAAATGACGAAGGTGAAATTGTAAGAGAATTCGTAAAGGAGAGTGATACAATTGTTTTGTATAAAAGTATGAAGGAAGTGCTTGTTTACTTGACCAATCTTGATGTCAACGATACTGAAGAAATTATGACCACCAAATTAGCTAGACAAGTAAGTTTTGCTATGCAAAGCACAGTGTATTCATAGTATGTGATAGATGGATGGTAGTGAATGGTCTTGGAACAACTTGAACAAATTGTGTTGGGCTATTGGTTCAATTTCTGGAGCTATGAATGAAGAGACTGAAAAGAGATTCTTGGTCACTGTCATCAAGGAATTACTGAGTCTCTGTGAAATGAAGCGTGGTAAAGACAACAAGGCTGTTGTTGCTTCCAATATCATGTACTGTGTAGGCCAATACCCTCGTTTCTTGAAGGCTCACTGGAAGTTCTTGAAGACTGTTGTTAATAAGTTGTTTGAATTCATGCACGAGTCCCACGAAGGTGTTCAAGACATGGCCTGTGATACCTTTATTAAGATTGCTCAACAATGTAAGCGTCACTTTGTCGTCCTACAACAAGGCGAAAATCGTCCTTTTGTTGAAGAAATCCTCGATAATGTAAACCGTATCACATCTGATTTGGCTCCTCAACAAATCCATACGTTCTATGAAGCCATTGGCTACATGGTTGCTGCTCAAACAAATAGTACTGCTCAAGAACGATTAATGGCCAAATTTATGGAACTTCCCAACCAAGCTGTAAGTATCGCTTATCAAAGTGAAACAAAGATATTCATTTTATATAGTGGGAAAGCATGATGAACCAAGCCAAGCAAAACACGGATTGCTTAAACAATCCAACCGAAATTAAGGTATTGTCCAACGTACTCAAGACAAATGTGGCAGCTTGTACATCTGTTGGTTCTGCTTTTATTATCCAATTAAGCAAGATCTACATTGACTTGTTAGCTCTCTATCGTATTGTGGGTGAATTGGTATCACAAAGTGTTGCCTCCCAAGGTGTGATTGCCACCAAAACTCCTAAAGTGCGTGGTTGGAGAACAATCAAGAGAGAAATCCTCAAGTTGGTAGATTCATATGTCAACTGTACGACTGAAATTGAAACTGTCAACAACAGTATGGTTGGCCCTTTCTTGGAAGCTGTCTTGACAGACTACAACACCAATGTGGATGCTGCTAGAGATGCTGAAGTATTGAATGTGATTGCTACCATCATTGATAAGTTACAGGTAATGTAAAGACTATAATCCATATATGATATACTGATTTTGCATTAGTCCATGATGACTTCGCGCGTTCAAGTCATTTTTGAGGCTACCTTCGAACCCACTTTGAACATGATCACCAAAGACTTTGCCGAATACCCCGAACATAGAAATGGCTTCTATTCCATGCTGAGAGCCATTAACAGACACTGTTTCCCTGCTTTATTGGAATTAGCTCCTGCTCAATTCAAGCTCTTTATTGATAGCGTCGTCTGGGGTTTCAAGCACACCATGCGTGATATTGCTGATATTGGTCTCGAAATTTGTGGTGAATTGATTGACAACATTAGTCGTACAGATGCGGCTGTTGCAGGTGCCTTTTATCAATCTTATTTCCTCAACATTCTTCAAGATATTTTCTTTGTGCTTACTGATCGGGATCACAAGAGTGGTAATTATCAAACAACCTCGAAAAAAAAGTGATTATTGATTTACTTTTATTTAGGCTTCAAGGGACAAACAGAAGTATTAGCTCGTCTATTCAACTTGGTCTCCAACAATATGATTAGTCTGCCTCTCTTTGATCCTAGTCAAGTATCTAACCCTAATATGTCAAATGCTGAATTCTTGCGTGAATACGTGTCTACTCTTCTTCAAAATGCATTCCCTCACCTTCAACCGTAAGTAGACTATAACAGATAATGCATGTTTACTTATCCCTCCGTTTTTTAGCGGTCAAATCAAGGTCTTTGTTCAAGCCATGTTTGAATTCAACAATAACCCAACTAAATTCAAACTGGAAGTCCGTGATTTCCTTATTCAATTGAAGGAATTTGCTGGTGAAAATGCTGAACTTTATTTGGAAGAAAAGGAAAATGAATTAGCAGCACAAAGAAAGGCTGAAATGGAAAAGGCATTAGCTATTCCAGGTATGGTCAAACCATCTGAATTACCAGTCATGGACGAAGATGAAGCTCTTTAAAAAAAACACGTATTTCAATTATATTGTAATAAAATAAAGAAAAAAAAAGAAAAAAAAAAGAATCTATTGCGGTAAAAGAATAGCAGAAGAATTACTATGTGGAATATTTCGATTAAATGTATTTTCTTGTTGTGTTTCTTCTTCCTCTTCCTCATTTGTATCATTTGGAATACTCACTAGACTATTAGGTATTAATTCATAAGTCTGTGATAACTTCAAGAATCTTGCGTATAGATGAGTCTCATTCTGATCATGTGTTAGCTGATGTTCATACAGAATACATGCTTACCTCAAAGGATTCATAGACCTCTCGGTGATGGAAATAAGCATGAGCGAAAATACGATAAAGCCGTCTTGCAATGGATTGAAAATGCTTTAACGATGGCTCAGGAACAGAAATTCGGCTTGGAAAATACTTTGAATTATTAAGCAAGATGGTAGCACCATCCAATGTGTGAATTATGTAATCAATGGCAGGACACTATCAAAAATGTAAATAAAAAGTATGTTTGTTTACCACTTGCCGATTGCGTAGAAGGATGCGCTGCACATAAATACAGCCAACCATCTGCTTTCATTTCAGGACAATTTTGTTTTGTGCATTCTGATTCTAAAGCAACTACAAGCAAGGAAAGCTCTAAACACACTTGTCTATCTTAACAATCAGAAAACATAAAAAGGACAACACTTGCCTTAAATGTTCGTATTGCCAAACCTCTTCGTCTACACTTGCAGGAAGTTCAATAATATTTTGTACATCATTTGCGTCCATACGAACAAGTTGTTGCAAGTATTCTTGCACGTTGAAAGAAGATTCTAAAGAGTCGAGATTCTCAAAAGGCCACTGAAAAGTATCCTATTATTATTTCAGTAAAATAAAAGAAAAAAGAATTTCATTTTTACTTCAAGACGCTTTCCAGGATAAAGTCTTCTTAAAATAGTTGTCATACGAATTATGCAGTATAGAAAGTAAAAAGAAAAAAAAAAGAAAAAAAAAGAGAGAGAGAGAGAGGGATAGCTATCTTTGTGCTCCCTGCTTGACTTCTCCTTATATCATTTTAATTTCAGATTAAGACCAATTGGATTTATTTTTGGACGTGCCTGACTTGAGACCAATTTGAACAATACCACCCTGATTGAAGTTCTGGCGATAGTCAACTGAAAATAATCAATAGAAATAATAGATACTATGACACAGTGCATTATGTCTTACTATTTTCGGTTGGAAAAAGCATAGTATTTTATATTTTTCTATCTATGACAAGTTTTTTGATCCATTTACTCAGTGAACGGAATAAACACTCGAATACCCAAAAGATTCCTTGTCGCGAATGATACACTAAAGAGAGATGTATTCAAGGTTGCCGCAGTCTAATAGCTGATCATTCGGAACACTTTTACAATTCGAGAAACAGAAGGAATCATTTCAATCAAGTTCAGACAAATGAAATACCTCTTGCTAAGGCTTTCTGTTTGATCACAGCTGTTGATCGTCAAACAAAGATTTATTTGGAATGCCAATATTCAACTTTTTAAAAATAAACAGGTTTTTCTAAAGAAGAGGAAAAAAAACTTTGTCTCAATTGGACATTTCGGGTTGTCTCAAAATAAAGTAATATCCCAATCCCAAGCTATATCTCATGTATCACAAAATATGACAATGCCTGTTCAATGTTAAAGCCCAGCGTGTTTTTTTTGTAACAAGAGCCACAGTCAATCGATCAATTTCATTGTCTACATAGAGCGCATAAGCTTCTTTAGATCAAGAAATAGACAACAAAAGGAAGCACTAAAAGAGTTTTTTTCGTCATAGTAAACAACTTTATTTTAGTGAAAGAAAAAAACAACTATAAAAGGATAAACATGAACGCGCGCGCAGAAGGTGTTTATTTACACGTAATGATTGATTTGATGTGTGGCCATGTTTGGGCTTAGTTTTTTTTTTAAAAAAAATCTGTATCACCATTTTTGAAGTAAATGTTATATTTATAGAATTTCACCAAAAACATCTTTAAGCGAAACATATAAAAGAAACCTTGATCTTTGATTTTTAGGTTTTTTTTTTCTTCACACAAAAGTTCCTTTTCTTTTAATTATTTATTTATTTTACAATGAGCGTTGATTTACAATCTTTTATGGCTCGTCGAGGAACTAAGGCATTAAGCCTTGTCCTTTTATTATCTTGTTTAGGACTGTTGGCCAAATATTATCAATATGAACCAAACACATCCCATTTTAGAAGAGCATTGTTCTTTAGAAACGAATCAGAATTACAAGATAACCAACAATTTGCTAGTCATTTCAGTTGGTCTGATAGTGAAGGTATGTAGAGACATTTATGTGGGGTTTGTTGCTTACCATGCTTAGGTCGGACTCATCATTTACCAATGGAAACTGTGCTATCTAAATCCTTTGCTTTATCTTCCTATTCTGAACAATCTCAAATCATTCCTTATTACTACAAGTCTGAACTCAACATGACTGGCGAAGATATCACTATTGTTACCCTTGTGACCAGAAACCGTATCCCTAATTTAGCAAGACTTGCTACACAATATCAAGGTAAAAGAAAAAATAGAATAAACATTGTGATACTCAACAATACATATAGGCCCTATCTCTGCTACTATTCATATTTCGAATGACGAAGAAGGTGAATATACTCTAGACATGCTGCAACAAGCCATGGATAAGAGCCCCAACATGCGCAAGTTTGTCGATATTCATGTTGTCCGTGATGAATTTGATCGTGAACTGAATCTTTGGCGTAATGTGGCCAAATTGTTCGCACGAACAGACTATGTGATGCAACTCGACATTGACTTTTATCCTTGTACTGATATTCGCCGTTCTGTTCTCAACAATGACAAAGCCATGAACTTACTTCGATCAGGTCAAGCTGCTCTTGTCATTCCTGCTTTCGAATACTCTAAACAAGAAGAAGGCTTGGATTATCGTACATTTCCCAAAAACAAGCCCGATCTTGTCAAGCAATACAAAGACAATCAAATTGAAATGTTTCATTCGTTCTGGTTGCCTGGTCATGCTCCTACTGATTATGATCGTTGGACTTCAGACGCACAAGAGATTTACCCAGTCACAACTTATCAACATTCATATGAACCCTATGTGATCTTTAAGAACCAAGGATCTCCATGGTGTGATGAACGATTCTCTGGCTATGGTAGCAATAAGGCTGCTTGTCTGTTTGAGTTATATATCTCTGGTGTTGATTACTATGTGCTACCTAATGACTTTATCGTCCATCAAACACACGCTTATCCTGATGAAGCGCGCCAAGTAGAGGTATGCGAGATAGATAATAGATTTGATTTACTTATATTTTTTATAGCGATATTATAATCGTCGATTATATACACAATATAGAGAAGAAGTGTGTATTCGATTAGCTCGTCGCTTTATTGCTCAAAAGAAATGGGAGGATCCCAAGTCTGAAAACTTGCGAGAAGAGTGTGCTTCTATTAAGCCTTACCAAAGAGCTATCGGAAGATTCGTGTAACCCTCTTCTCCCCCATTTAGCCACATTGAAGCATTTTTATTCTATTTTATTTGTACAGTACTATCACAGCCCTCTTGTAATTTTTTCCCTTTTGATTCCCCCTTCCCTCCAAACCTACAACAAACAAACAAACAATATAATAAACATCCTCTTTTTCTTTTTTTTTTGATAGAACAACATGCATGTACTTAAAATTGAGCAACAACTACAAAGCCCATATCTTTTATATATACAAATAGAGCCAAATCGAATTATGCTATTTATATACATCTTTATCGGAGACTTGGATTAGCATAGATCTGATATAGACAGTTGATTTCAAAACTGTCAAGTTAACAAACAAGTCCAAACCTTAATTCAATATAAAGCTATCAATTATACACTCTTTTTATCGTTTCTTTTTCACATAAAACAAGATGTTGTATAATGTTTATTCTGAAAAGATGTCTATTCGTACCAAATCTAAAAAAGATCCGATTTCCTATTTCAATATCATGGTTGTAGGTGCCTCAGGTTCCGGGAAAACAGCCTTTGTACGAACTCTTTGTGAAACACTGAAAAATGAGGTGATTGAAGGTTCCTATAAAGAATCTAAGCCCATGGCACTTAAGGTAAATAAACACAAAAGATAAGATACCTAACTGATTTAGAACTCACTTGAGCCTACAGAAGGACTCTATACTGTCTCCATGCAAATAGAAAAAGAAGGACAGCGTACTGCTCTTACAGTGATTGACACACCAGGTTTTGCAGCTGGATTTGCTATTGACCACCATCTCAGCTATATTGCTAAATACATCGACTATCAATTTGCTCGTACATTGACAGAAGTAAAGTTTCCGTTTCCAGAATATCGTATTGACATTGTTCTATAGGAAACTAAAGTTAGAAGAGATGCCAAAGCACACGATACACATATCCATGCCTGCCTTTACTTTGTTGATACAAGTCAAGTCAAAGGATTAAGCGAAACTGATAAATACATCTTCAAATTCCTGAGTTCCCGTGTCAATGTGATCCCTATCATTGGCAAATCAGACACACTCACAGCCACTCAACGTACACTGCTTCAGTCTTCACTAAGGTCAGAAATTATAGAGACGCTTCAGGTGCCTGTTTATGGTTATATCGATATGGAAGAACAAGACTCAACTCAGACTCAGATGGAAAAGATAAAGACACTCCTTCAAACATGTGTAGAAGAAGACCATGACGAGGAAGCAAGCGCTATGATTGACTACCTTGACCAATTCCCTTTCAGTGTGTTTAGTTTTGAACATGATCCTTATACAGGTCATCCTATTCAAATGGGAAGAAGATATCCTTGGGCAACTGTTGAGTGTTGTAATCCCAAACATTGTGACCTTGTATCCTTGATAGACATGTTGCTTGTTAAACATAAAGATATGCTTAGAATGGACACATTTGAACGGTTTTATGAACAATACCGCACAGTCCATTTGATGAATACACAAAAGAATAAGATGTTTAAATAATAAAGTCTTTAATGACGAAACCCATTTCTCAATGTCTCTGTTGCCCTTAAACTTAATGCACTTGCTGTAACACCTGTTTTCTTTTTGGCTCTGTTCATTTCGTTTATCGCTGACACTATTTCATTCATATTTGTTTCTAAAACAAGACCACCTTGAATAATCTCGGCAAGAATAGCATGAACCTCATCAAAATGGAAGATCTATGGCAAATAAGAAAGTGTCTGTACTTTGTTTTATGCTTACCAAGTCTAGTTCGCATACATTCTCAAAACATCGATCCAAACTCTCTACAAACACCTATTGCCGAATGAATGATAGGCATGAACAATGGCTACTTACCTGAATTAAATCTAAAATACCGAGTTCACTCTCACTTTCATCCACAACAAACACAAAGTAAAGTGTGGCGTAGTGTCTATAAATAACGCGTGTATCTTTTCCACCGAGTAATTTACTGCCTTCCAGAAAGTTACAAGCTGTATCTGGTCTTTTTGAAACAAGTGAAAAGATCTCTTGTACAAGTGCTTGTTGTGTTGCAATGTCCTTTCAGAATCAGTATTGACATATAAGCAATGACTTACAATTTGTTGGTAAAACTTAATAAGACGTGGTTTACCGTGATTATTAAATATAAGCACTGATTTAATCATAGTTATAAAAGAGAAAGAAAGAGAGAAAGGAGAAGGAGCAGTTTGATAAACAGCCCCAAACTCAGCCTACGCTTTTATTTTTTCTTGGTGCAATAAAAAAAAAAGCGCATACACACGCTTTTCTTTCTCTGTTTTCATCTCGATAAAATCAAGATGCAAGCTTCTTCTTCACTTAAACGTGCTGGAGGTAGTTCCCGAAGAACAGTTCGACCTTTGAATCCAGCCCTTGTTTATGACTATACACTTCGATGTGCCATCCATGCCTGTTTAGAACAACATAACAAACAACAAAAGTCCGCTCCATTACGAGAACCCCACAAAAGTATTCACAGACACTCGGTTCATTTGGGTGGTGTGAGTGATGTGTTTGGTAACCTGGCAGACAAACTTACAGGTGACGAAGCCACGGTCAGCAAAGACAAACTAACAAAGCCTGTGGTGGTCGGATTGATGAAAAGACTGGATGACATCAAGGAAGGCAAAGATATCTCAAGACCAGAATATCGCGACCGTCGGTTTATTTTGATTGTTAAACAAGTACGGGATGTCGTGAAACAGCACAGGTATCGCCCTCAAGGTTCGATTAATGATTTGGTGGTCACTTTTCTTCGCACCAGTGAAACTGAACTTAAAAAGATGGATCCAAATCCAGCTGTCTGGTTCAAAGAGTTGGATCGTTATGTGGTCTTGTTTACCGAAGTCTTGTTGCTTGTGCTTAAAGAAGATGCACCTAATAGTGCTTCATTTGAACTGATAGAGACATTGAGTAAATCTATTTTGCCACCCAAGACAAAGAGACAGCAGCAACAGGAACAGCGAAAGAGTATGATGATTAACACACCAACAGACATCTTGGAAGTGATTGAAAATTTCTCTATGGTTCAGACAGTACAAAACTTATTTCAGATCGAGAATTCAATCCACAGGCAGAAAATACGAGAATTACAATCCATTTGTACAGAATCCGTAAGTGGTATTGTAAGTTTACAAGGCATTCATAGAAAGAGTTAGAACTTTTTTTTGGATCTTAAACAACTGATTAATGCAGTCAATACAAACCAACCTTTTCCTGGCAGAAGAGAAGACTTTTCAAGTCAACAAGCCTATGATACTTGGGTTGGAAGAGAAAAGAAGTACTTGCAAGGCTTAATGACAATCATGGTCACTAGTTCAAGTCTTTCTTTAAACATCAGTAGTGAACAAGATGTAGGTTCAACCAATCTTTTGTCTGGTGTAGGTATTGGCAGAAGATCCAGCGATTCAAAAAGAGCTTCCATGTATAGTAATCCAGGCACAACAGACGATGTAAGTGTGAAGCAGTTGCAGATATATGAGACTGATAGAGTAGAACCCATACACTTACATCCCAAATGATCCTCGGTCTTATTTCCGTCTCCTAATGAATATGTGTGTTGACCTCGACACAAGCATTTCTGTAGATACTGAGCGTGCTAAGTCCAGTGTGTTGTCGCAAGCATCTGAGGATCTTTTACGTGAATGTTGGAAGACGTGGCGTCTTTCTCAACCCTTTCGAGCTGTTCTCTATCTTGAAATTATTCAGAATCGAATGGAAACTGAAGAATATCAAGGCGAGATTGATATTATTGAAGCAAGAGATGCTATGCGCGCAGTAGACAAATGTATTAAAGAAAATGAGATTCGAAACTGGACTATTCATGATGTAGGTTGTGTGTATACATTATGTTGTTTTATTTATTTCTACAGCGAGAAAAATTGATACGTGTGTTTGGAGGTCTAAAGAATACTTGTCTGCGTTCTTTGGCTGAATCCTTGTCTCAATATTGGCGAGTCAAGTAAGTGGATAGACTATAATGATCAAGCTTATTTATTATATATATATAGACCTGAATTTGTTAAAGAACAAATAGGCTTATTGGATTCTGTTTATGAAAGTCCTGCCTATTTAGAAGACCATTCAGAGTCAAGCGACCAATTCAACTTGTTAGAAGATACAATTGCTGTAAGTTTTTTTTTCTTTTTGTTCTTTTGTAGTAGGATTGACGCCTATGGACAGGGTGCGGCTGTTTCGAGATGGAGAGTATTTGAAAAATCCATCCTAGATCCCAAGAATGATGATATGATGAATTTGATGAATATGGCCGATAAACTAATCAAAGAACTAGTGGGTGTTGCCAAAAAGTTCAAAAAGCCATTAAGAGGGTAAGAACAGGCTTTTGAAATAGTGCGACTGACAGATCAACAGGACACTGCATTTACCGGGCATTGTGATGGCTCGTCAAATGCCATTTTTTGTATTAGAAATGGAGAACTGGGCTTTTCTTCCAGAAGCGAGAAATGCACCTATTGATCTCACATTTCAAATGTATGACAAAGTGCTCACGCTCAAACGACTTTATGATCAGTATGGACCCAAGTAAGTGAGGACATTCTTTATATCATCTGCTTACACTAGCAGACAAAAATCTGCCTTGTTTAAGGTAGAATCATGGTTCTTGCTACATGTTCGTCGTTGGCTCAAGACAACAGCAGGAGAAACACCTGAATGGGTTAGAAATGCAATCAAACAAGACGAGGTAAGTTTGGTTTTTTATTTGAACTGATATACTTACTCCTACACTTTTAGTTTAAACCCATTAGTGAGACTACCATGCATTCTTCTTCCATTGTAGACTTGTTTACTATGTTTCATCAAGCTGTTGATTTTGTACAGAAATTAGAATGGCCTAATAGTTTACAAGAATGTCGTTTCAATACTGCTCTTTCCAAAGTAATTGGTGTGGCCCTTGAACAATACACAACAGAAATAGAAGACATGATTTCCATGGATATTTATCCCCGTGCTTATAGAGAAGATGGTACCAATCCAAACATCAATTTCTTTGACAGGGCTCGTCATCAATTGATTGGCAATCGCACCCATGGCAAAGGACTAGAAGAACCTTATGATTTCTTGGCCGAGACATGCATCAAGATCAACAATGTAGAAGCAGCACGTACAAAACTAGACAGACTCTATCAAAATATGGATGTGGATGAAATCGCTCAAGAAATGAGAGAATATGAATCCCAATTATCACCTACGCCGAGCGAGAAATCAGAGCAGACAAATTACATGTATTCTATCAAAATTGTGCGTGCTGAGAACTTGCCGCCTGCAGACAATAATGGATTGAGTGACCCTTACATTGTGCTCGAGATTGATTCTAAACCTATTGCAAGAACAAGAACAGTATATGAAACTCTAAATCCTCGGTGGGACCAAGTATTTGATATATGGCTTAAGGACGAAACAGTGGATGTATTGGCATTAGTATATGATGAGGATGTGATCGGTGCTGATGAGGAATGTGGTGGTGTTTGGTTCAAACTAGGTCCTTCTTATTATGGTGATTTCCAGACACACGAGCTGGTCTTGAATTTCAATCCTCAGGGCAAACTTGTGTTGCGTATCAGTATGGAGGGAGAAAAAGACGATATTCAGTTTTGGTTCGGTAAAGCATTCCGTGTACTTAAGCGAGCCGAAAATGATGCAGCAGGTCTTATTGTGGACAAGGTAAAATAACAGAGAGACCGTGTGTTTTATAGCTTACATCATCTAGATGAGTGCTTATTTCCGTCAAGTACTGAGTCGCAAGTCATTGGATAAATTACTAGGACGTGATCGTAGCTTCTTTTCATCATTTTCAAGATCAAGCAAACATGTAGATCCAACACTACAAGACTGCGAAGATTCCATTGCACCTTTATTGGACTATCTGGAAAAGAATTTGAAGACGTTGAATGACAACCTGTCAGAGACAAACATGCAACTTGTGGTATTAAGAATATGGAGAGAAATCCTTCTCTCTTTGGAAAATGTGTTGCTGCCACCTCTTTCAGAACAATTATCCGAATTGAAGCCATTAGATGATTATGAATTCCATGTTGTATATAAATGGTTAGAGGTAAGCATATGGATGTGTATCTTTATATTCTTTAACTCAATGCATTCATAGCTTCTAAAAGTGTTGTTTAATGGTGGTGAAGATGGCGATGCTGTTCCATTAGACAAACTGGAAAATTCGCAATACTATGCTCTACTTGCTATTAATGTTGCATATAACCTTGAGACGGACCAATTAATTGAAGGATACAACAATACAGTCAAGAACCAACTTGAACTTAAATTGCGTGGGGGCAGAAAAGCAGATAGAAGTAAATCCGTCTATCATTCGAAAAACACTGTCAGGAAGCGAAAATCAACCAAGAAATCAGTCTCAATTGATTTACCTAATAGTGACACCATTCTTCGTATTTTACGTATGCGAACAGGTAAAAAAGTACGCGACTTTTTACGCGCTGAATTCGAAAAACGCAATAACCCAACAGCATTCATGAACCTGGATGAAGATAATAAGGAGTCCTCTCAAGCTGAAATTCCTGTTATTGCAGCCATTCCAACCAATGACCTTACACCCACAAGTGAAAATGTCACACCTTTACGATAATAATAAAATTCAAAATCAGATTTTTGACATGTTTAAAAAAAACAGTTTAAAAAAATTTTTACATACTTTTTTTCAGTACAATGATGGATAGTCGTGGTATTCCTATTGTTACAACGCAAAAGTGCCCAACCACACCAAGGCGCTCACATGTTTACACTGGCAATAATACCCCACGACGCAATGATATTCCTTCTTCTCCCTTTGTTGTGCCTAACTTGAGAAACGAACAGTCTTTGTTGGAAGCATATGACTCGTTTACTGAGGCATGTTTTCAAAGTCACTTTAACCACTCACTAGCAAGTGAATGCTATACTATGCGAGACTTGTTCAAAGCAGACTTGTTTCCTAGCTTAGGCGACTTACACTATCCTTCTACTCGAAAACGCTCACTTACAGCTGACACAGATGATTTGCCTAATTTGGAAGTCTCAAAGAAATCAAAGAATCAGACAGTAGAAGACGATGATGAAGAAGAAGAAGAAGACGAACTAGACATGTACGATAGACGAACAATGCCTGATCTGGTTCAGCCGCCTATCAAGAACAACGGTTCGCATAATTCGCCAATACAAGAAAGGAAAGAAAACTCCAGCTTGCCAGAACAAAAGATTCAGTCGGATCAACAACATACCACACAAGATACCGAACCTATAAACGACCAAGCAGATGTTACATCTACAAAAGAAGATATACATGTCGTAGAATGCAATGATTTAATCAATACTCGATCGGCATTGGATCTGAGCGAATTTCAAGTCTCCTCTTTAAGCGAATACCAAAGTATTCTTTCAAATGAATCATTTAAAGAAGTACCTGCTATTGAAGAGCAATCTATTCGACAAGAAGAAAAAGAAGCACCAGATATTGAAGAATTAGTTAACGAACAAAAAGAAGAACAGGCGCCTATCATCGAAAAACCAACCATTGAACTACAACAAGAAGAACAGGTGCCTGTTATTGAAGTACCAGTTATTCAACACAAAGAAAATCAAGCGCCTGTTGTTGAAGAAGCCGCATCTTCCGCTCAAGACATTGATACGAACAAGAATACCCCACCCATTCAAGAGCCTATCAATACTCGCTCTAAGACACGAAGTGCTACAGCTCAAACGATAACGCCTTCACCAACGCCTTCACCACAGAGGTTGACCCGAAGCCAAAAGAAACTGCTTTTAGAACAAGGTGCCGAAGATACATTATTCACGATACCTGAATTACCTCCGTCTGTTCGAAGAAGTTCGAGAATCAAAGAGAATTTGGCACCAAAATCTGTGTCCAAAGTCACAAAGAAATCAGTTCAAAAGAAACCCACGAATAAAAAACCTGTCAAAGAAGAAGAAGAAGCACCAGTGGCCGAACCGACGAAAAAGAAAGAATCAGAGGAAGAATATAAAAGAAAACTGCAAAGGAAAGCTGAAAGCGATGCAGAAATTGAAAAAATCAACGCATCTTTTCCTTCTTTACCTCGTTATTACCAACTACTTTATCGAGCAGGCTCAGGTACGTTTAGTCGAGTCTACAAGGCAAAAGACTTGTTGGTGGATCAATACATGCCTCTTGAACAAAAAGAGAGACTGGTGGATGCAATGGGTCATTTAGCCAATATAAATCATGTTGCGATCAAGTTGATTTTGGACATTAGTACACCTATGCGTGTAGCCAATGAGATTGAATGCTTGGTTGCATTAAGGTTTGTTTCATTGTTTGTACGCCATAAAACTAAAATGTGAAAAAGATCTTCTCCTGGTATCACGCCTTTGATCACAGCCTTTAGGAATGAAGCCATCACCTATGTTGTTCTTCCTTATATCGAATTTGATCATTTCGAGGCAAGTATTGGATTTCAATTGAATAGAAGCTCATGCTGTTTATAGGATCTCTATGCTACCATGTCTTTAGAAGACACTCGATCTTATATCTCTGAATTACTTATTGGCTTACAAAGTGCACATGAAAAAGGAATTGTTCATCGAGATGTGAAACCTGGCAATTTCCTTTACAGTAGAAAAACAAAGCATGGCTATTTAGCTGATTTCGGTTTAGCAAAAAAGACGTTTACAGCACAACCATCTAAACGTGATTCAAACAAGACTTATCCTAGCATGCACCCTAACAGACAAATAGGCTATTATATAGACGATACAAGGTAAGAAAGAAAAGTGTTTTTGTTGGATAGATCTTTTGACCTTTACATTAGACCTTCTTTACAAGGCGATCGTTCAGGAACAAGAGGATTTCGCGCACCTGAATTAATGATGCGATACCGATACCAAACAACAGCCGTTGATATGTGGGCAGTGGGTGTTATTTTGTTGATTATCCTTAGTGGCCAATACCCCTTTTTTGAGCCAGAAGATGATGCTGATGGTATCATGGAGCTAGCTCATATATTTGGCATGAAGAAACTAAAAGAGTTCGTTGAATATTATGGCCGAGTTATTCATACCAACATACCTACTATTCCTGAAGACCCAGTGGACCTTGGTGCCATTTGTCATGAAATTAATGAGAAGCGAGTGAAATCTTGGGACCCAGAAGAATATCGACTTGCGGTTGACTTAATGAACCATTGTCTTCAACTCATTCATACCAATCGATTAACTGCTACAGAAGCTTTAAATCATCCATTTATCAAACGAAATCAAGTGTAAAAATATGTAAATAATTATGTACAGATCAAAAAAATAATAATAATAGTAATAAAAAGCAAGTTGTTTATTGTAAAGACATGTACAAATTTAGTGACAAAGTCTGAAGCCACTAAAGACATAAGGGTATCCAGATTGATACCAATTTCTAAACGTTGTGCGCTCAGCAATACGAGGGTGAGTAGCCCAACTACCACCAAGGACAACGTGGTGTTTTCCATCAAAGAAATCGGCAGAGTAACCAGGGTAGATAGTAGAAGCTTCAAAACCTTCATGCATATCCCATACAGTTTCTGTCCATTCCCATACATCGCCCAAGTTGTGGACTTGGTCGTTACTTACATCCGTAGGACTCCAGTTATCAAAACCGATGTTAGCCCATTTGGTGTTCTTGTTGGTATGGCCAGTCACTTGTCGGAAACGCACCAATTCTGGTTCAGTAGGAAGACGACCACCTTTGTGATCAGCATAACCTTTTGCTTCTTTATGAGACAGTTGAACAGGCCAGTACTGAGCATGAGCCAAGGGACAAGGACCAAATACGGTCTTGATAAAGATACCGTCTTTGTTATTTAACCAAGAAGCAGGCAATGCATTGGATTTGGTGTCTTGAAGGTACTGATAGTATTCACCGTTCGTTACTGGTCTCGTCTGAATTTGGTAGGCTCCAACTTGCACCTGACGTTCTGGATGCTCATTGTCCCATCCAAACTGAACATTTAAGGTATTGTTTGACAAATCGGAAGATTCGTGGTCGTGGTGACCTAACACAACAGTACCAGCAGGTAATTGCATCAAAGGTGCCTCAGCCAAAGGAGCCAATTGTTTGGGGTGGTTGTACAATTTCCAAGAAGGCAAAGCAACACCTTTAGGAGGCAAGATATGAGGACTTTGAACAAGCATGTACAAGAGTGTTTCAAGATGCATGGCTTCATGTTCAAAACACATCCAAACAATACGAGCCTGACGCATTCTTGTTTGGACCCAGGCAGGGGATTGTGATTCAAACGCTTCGGATTCCCAAAATAGCAAAAGGCGTTGCAGACGTTGTCGTACCGAGGATTGATACGCTAGTATAGACTCAACAGAAGGCCAGTCAGCATCATGGACCGGTACCTCGGAGTGAGGATGGCATTGCGTAGGATCTTCCATGTCAGGGTCAATACCGCGTTCAAAGATATCAGCAAACGACTTGGGCTCAGTCAGGTCTGTTGTACCGAGTTCCTTATCAATTTGATGTCTTGAGAGTTGAATGTCCAAGAAACCAGGAATATGACCAAGGTAAAAAATAAAAGGATGGCGTAAGGCAATAGGACGTTCAAACAACATAGTTTTGTGGTCCAACATGTGTTGTGTTACCAAGTCCCACGATTTCCAGAGCTCTTGCCATTCATGCAAAGAAGGAAGCACTTGAGTGGGCCAACAGGTGTTTTTACCCTGGCCTCCTTTATCCTGTGATTCAGTGAGTTCCAATTGCCCTTCATTGCAGTGGTAGCAAGCAATAGGTTCCTGTTCAAACAAAGATGGAGAAGGGTACAACACGTCATGGACTTGTTTCATGTTGCGTTCGAAATTAAAGGGACGATTCTGAGCCATCGCAAGACGGTATTGATCTTTGGAGTCTAGCCAATAGTTGAGCAAGTTAAGGTCAGCAGCAGCCAGAATACTTTCGATTTCGCCAAGAGAATATTTGTAGGAATGTTCAACATGAATAAGCTCGTCTTTTTGAACCTTAATTTCAGTTTCCTTGTAACGAATTGTCATGTCTTGCAAGGCGCGATAATGCGAAAGATGACGACCTTGTTTTTCTTGATAAATGGAGTGATAGTCAAACAAGTCGCGTTGAATAAAATCAGCTTGTCCCATAATATGGTTCACATGGTCCAAACCATTCATGATAAATTCACGCGTAACACCGTACGAGTCATCATAAGCCAATTCGATCTTTGCAGGATCATTTCGTTTATCAAAGCCAATCAAGAACAAATCACCAGGTTCCATACACATCCTTTGAATCTTGCGGAGGAACATGGTAGACTCAAGGCGGTTTTGATTGCCAACAGAGCTACCCATCCATAAAAAGTTCTTTTGGATTTGCTTGTTTGTAAAATGGTGTGTAATCCAAGGAATGCCTTGATCATAAGTACCCAAGAGACCATATAACTGAATATAGCTAAAGTCACCCAAAGAAGCCAAAGAACGATCCAATTCGTGCTGGTCAAGATCCAAAGCATAATAGGTCACATGAATCTTTCGTTTCTCAATCGCCCTTAAAATCACTTGCGTTTTCCTGAGTGCACTAATGATGCATACATTAAAAATCAAAGTTTAGACTCCATGCATTACTTACCCAGCACCTAATTCAAAAAGCACGCTACCATCTTCAAGATGAGCAATGATTTCGTCAGAGTTTGTTTGAAGAATATCTAATTCAGCGCCCGTCAGATAGTATTCATCATCCAATTGAGTGATTTGATCAAACAATTGAAGACCCTTCTTGTCATAAAGAATATAGGTGGGAATTGACTTGTGATTCAAGGGTTTATTGAGTGAGTCTACAATGGTGTCTACCAAACTAGAATCATCAAATGCATCTTCAGAAGTATCTGAGGAGCGAGGAGGAGAAGGAGGTCTATCAACAGCCACTTCATCCACATGCTTGTCTAGTGAAGCATGTCGAATATCAATAATACTGTATCCCGTTGAGGGAGGAGAGGGAGCACGGTCAGTCATTTCTGTTGAAGATGTGAAAAGGAGAGATAAAGAGGAATAAAATCCAACATGTTTGACGTCAATTTATATCTATACCACTTTATGCGTAGTAAACACCCTATTCCCTTTCTCTCTCTTTTTTCTTTACACCCACTCATTTATCACTTTATCTCTCTCTCTCTCTCTCTCTTCATTTTTTTTTTTTTTTTTTTTTTTTTTTTTTTTTTTTTTTTTACTTTTCTCTAATATAAACAATCGTGAGAATCGTTTTCATTGCGTCATATTCACCATAAGAAACATACGTTGGTGAATAAATGCAGTTATGCAGGTATTTTGAATACCGAAATTTCATGTTACTCAAAATGGCATATTGTACAAACAAACAAAAAAAAACACAACGATTAGCTCAAGATGATAATGTGCTATTCCGAGACATATTCTAGACAATAAAAAAATGATCTTTTACTGTTAAAGAAAAGAGCATTTCATAGTTTATTATGGGGTTGAATAATTTAGATTATTATTATTTTACAATGCGTGGTATGATGCGTATATTAGTATTGGTATAAATGTAAATAGTAATCATTAGACTGCAGTAGTTTTCTTTCTTCCAAACACAGACCAAATTCTCCATGTACTTTTTCTTTTGGCTGCCTTTTCTTCTAATGACCGTTTGTTCTCTTCTATTGTAGTCAATTCTGCCATTCTCTTGACTGCAGGCTCATAATTTTCATTGGCAGCCATTTTATAATAATCAGCTGCAAGAGCCAAATTACGCTCCCAACCATCTGCCTTAAAGAACCTACAACTCATATGGTTAGTGATTTGTGTTCTATTGACTTGTTATGCTTACATTTCTCCCAACATGTAGCGAGCATAATTCTGAGGAGCATCTTGTTGACTGGCTGCTTTCTGGTAATATTCAAATGACCGAAACAAGTCCTTGGGTACACCTAATCCTTGTCTATACATATCTCCCAAACAGGTCTGACAATACCCTAACCCAGAAGGCCAAATATCATCACCAATCAAACACCAATGTCTTGCTTGTTCATAGTCCTTTTTAATCCCTTTCACTTGACCTTCATAATAGATGCGAGAAAGTGTTTCAATAGCCAATGGAAATCCTTGTTCTGCAGATTGTGTTAACCAAAACACAGCTTGTCGTACATCCTGACTCACAAAAAGTGTGGGTGGATTCAGCAACACATCTCCCACAATAAACTGACAAAACTGTTCGCCTACAGATTCAGCAACACGTCGTGCATATGTATATGCCTTTTCAATGTCTCGGGGAATCGTATCGCTGCCTTCATAATACACGCGAGCCAAATCAGTTAGTGCGCGTGCATCGGATGTTGTCCTCTGTTGCTTTTCTACCACTGATTCATAAATAGCCAGACTCTTTTCCATATTGTATTGTTTGGGATATTTAAAAGGGTCGCTTAATATCTTGGCTAATTCTACACCAGCACCTTCATGTCCAATCTCAGATGCTTTCGAGAGATAATCCATGCCGCGAGTGATATCTCGATCTACACCTGTACCGTCCATAAACAAAATACCAGCTAAATAAGAAAGATGCTTCTGTAGTTTTTGTTCTTTTTTGACAGTCTTGTCATCTAATTCTTTTGATACTTTGGTTCTTGCTAGAATACGCTCAATTAAATTACTGCCATTGTGTTCCTGTTCAGCTAATAAAATGATTTCTGATACGCAAGGTGCCAAAGCCTTTGAAAGACGTCTATCAAACACACTTCTTGCCCATAAAATGGCTTCCTTCAAGTCTCCTTTGACAACACTATCTTCAGTGTCTTGTTTGTCTAGTATCGTACTTAATTTTATTTTGGCTTCAATATCACCCTATAAAGAGAAATAAGCATTTTGTTTTCTTTATGGTTCTTTACTTTGGCAGCTTGTATCCTTAAAAATCGAAGTGCTTGTTTCGCAAGTTCATTATCTTGTTGGCTGCTATCAGAAGATACATCATTGACCAATTCAACAGCTTTTTATTTGGTTATTCAACATAATCTCTTGCTTTATTAAACATACCAGTTAATAAATAAAGTTCATTTGGTATTTTTGAGAACACTTTTTTTATAGCTTGGTCTGTTTCCATTTTATAAAGAAAGAAAGAAAGAAAGAAATAAAGAGAGAGAGAGAAAGAGAGAGAGAGAGAGAGAGAGAGAGAAAAAAGAAAAAGAAAAAAAAGGGGGGGGGGGGAGACAGAGAGGAAACGATGGCTTAAAAAACCATTCTTCAGGGTTACACTACACGTGCTTTCTTTTGACAATATTTTTATTGTATTTACAAAAAAAAAAAGGGCTTTTTTTTTTTTTTTCTAAAATTACGTTTAAATAATTAAAAATGTATATGTATGTATAAGTAAGAGGGATACCTGCTCCCCTCTCTCTTCTTCTTCTCTTTCTCTCTGTGTGTTTTAATGGTCTATGTATGCTGATATGTAGGTATGGTCAGTGGTGAATCTATCTTGTTCTGTTGCCGCTTAAGACGACCTAATTCATCTGGTAGCATGGAACTGATGTGGTGGTGAGTCAATGTTTGAATACGGAATCACTTACCCCTTAATATTCTTGATGGTGATCCCCATCGTTTGTTGGTCATACTTGTGCCACATGCGAGCAGACTTAAGGAATTCTGTACTTGGCCATACTAAGTTGAGTTTTCTAGGCCCGGGGGAATCATCTGAAATAGGCTTCACTTTGAGACCAATGTAGAATGTGGTGGTATAGATAGGCTGAAGCAACTGTTTTTGTTCGGGTGTCAAGAAATGCATAGCATCAATATGCTGCTGTTCGTTGACTGGACCTTCAATCACAAAGGTTCTTTCTGCATGAATCGAATTACCATGAGCCACATCCCAACTTTCTTGCATAGGGAAACAATAATGCACTTTATCAATACCCTTAAAATAAGGATGGGCAATCTGCAGTAATTCAACCAGTTCTAGTTTAGACACCAGCTGTCTTAACTTGGATTCAACCAGTCCTGACCATTGAAGTTGTGTCTGTGCTGAATACGAACTGGCCACAATTTGCAAATAGTGATTATAGATATCAAAAAAATCACTGTCTTGAAATAAGTCTTCCCATTGTCCAGTACCCATCAGGATACGATCAGCAATTTCACTTGATCGACGGAATTCATTCAGCATAATATCGCGCGTAGAATCTGTCACATTGTGTGTGGCACACATAGAAGGATAAGCAGGTGTGATGATGGGCATACGGTGACTTTTGTCTGCAGGATATAGTTTGGGATTCCACTGTCGGACAGGCAATGGTCCATCTTCTGTTGGCTTCAATATCACAGGTCGAGGCCAGCCCCATTGATACATGATCAGAAAGAAACGAGACACAATCGAAGCAGCACATGCATTTGGATACATTTGGCATACTCTAGCTACCAACATGGCCCATGCTACACCACCCAAAAATCCCATGATATTGGAGTAAATGGCTCTTTTTCTAGCCCATAATTTTATGGTTCTTAAAGCAAGTCGAAACACAGGCACACTAGGCACTAGTCGTAGTATTTCGTCAGTTACTCGCGAACCATTCAAGCTACGTACGCATCGCTCATCAAGTCCCAACAGAACATTGTTATCCGATAGATCAAGATCATCAGGTACAACAGCCATGGATAACCTTGCACATACAAAGTCAATCTATAGAAAAAAAAAACGATGAAAACCTCTTTTTAAACACCAAACACACCTACTTACAGGTATACCCGAAAAATGCATTTTGATCACTGGTACATAAGCATCAACAACAGCCTATATTTTTTTATGATGAGTTATGTGTGTATGTATGTATATATGTATATAGAAGGTCTACGTACAGTCAGTTCAGTGACTTCTGGTCGTTCACTCAACATATGATACATGATAGTAAAAAAGTGTTCGCGTTCAACATGTCTTGGAAAGACGCACAAAGTATCAATATCAGCACCTATTTCCATCGATTAGCTCCCATTCTCCTCTTCTTCTCATCTTGCCATCTGGCTGATCTTACCTGCATTATACACACCAAGACGATAACTACCAAACGTAAGTATTTTGCCTCCTGCATTTCTGGATTCTGTTTCAGACAATCCTTTCAATTTTCCAACGCGATAAACAAAATCCTTCACCAACACGTTTAGTTTATCCAAAACAACAGCTCTAACCAACAAAAAAATATTAACCATTGGCCAAATCAAGTGGTATGCTTGCCTGTTATGTGCCTCTTGTTCACTCTCAAATAAGCCATAATTATGCAGTGTCTTTACGAGATCTTCTGTTAACTTGAGTTCGTGTTCTGTAGGAAAGTCGTTGGATACAGGAGCAGTAACACCCCACTGTTGTTGTAGCTGTTGTTGTGGTGGTGGTTGTCTATTACGAAAAGAGGCCATATGGATATATAGAATACAAAGAAACAAAAAAAAAAAATAAAAGAAAGAGAAAGAGAAAGAAGGAGCGCTTTTAATTATATATTTTATATGATGCGTTCATGATTGACGTGACCATTTGTATATATATATATATATATGTGTGTGTACAACTAGGTTCAATATCCGCACCTGTTTATGGCAAATAAGCCACTATTTACAGTGATTTGCGTTTAAAATTCAAATCGTATTCAAGAAATTTCCAGTCTATTCAAGTTTTTGATTAGCCAATGAATAAGGCTCTTGGTGTATTCAGATGATGAGACAGCCAATCAAAAAAAAAGCTAGACTTGAAGGTTTCTCCGAACCGCACTTTTTTCTAGGTATATATTAGTTGGAAACGCTCCTATTTCTGTAGGTCGTGTTTACTACGGGTAAGACATTCTCAGTCAGTGCATGTAGTGAGCTCTAGTGTTTTTTTTTGCACATAAATAGCATCTTGACTCTTTATATATATATATAAAACTTGGTTTTAAACGCAAAACATAGTACTCAATAGATATAGTTTATTTAAATAAATGGGGGAAAGGGAGGGGTGGGGAATAAAGTAGGGGAAAGAGGTATACAAGACTAATTTATTTGTCGACAGGAGCAAGGATTTGATGTGAATGATAACCTGTATTAATCACACTGGCCTCAGATTCTTCCTCTGTATCTTGAAAGATATCATCATAATAAGGTTCTTCTTCATATTGCCATTGTCTTTCTGCATGTTCAGTATTAAGGTCTTCATCATCTGCATAGACTGAGATTTCATAGTTATCTTCATCATCGTCTGATACATAAGAATGAGTCAAATCTTCATGGTTTCTACGAGTTGGCAGAGGGGGCGGAGTGGATGAAGAGGCAGTAGAGGGTACAGACAAATCTGCACATGGACTCATCAATGGCTTCAAATAATTGATATAAGAACCTCTTACTGTTGGATGAGGACATTGAATCAATATCTATAAAATGTATTAGTTCATGTCCTTTTTTTTTTCTTAACCCATGACAACAAACCTTGGATATCTTGTCAAATCCAGACAACATCAATTCCAACCTCATCTTTTCTTGTTCTCTTTCATCATAATGGCCCGTATAAGAAGTAGGTTGAGTAGTGACAACCGTACGAATCAGACGAAGATGTGTTACCTAATGCCATGAATCAGACTGTATCTCGTTTTTCAGTTTTTTTTTCTTTTTTTTTTACTTACAATATAATCAACAACACCTTCTTCTGTCATCACAGCTCCAGATGCTTCTGCTTCATTTGTTTCATCCTCTGCCTGATTTTGTCTCATTTTAATTTGTCGATAAGCACTGTTGAAATCATAATTCAAGACTTGGGCCAGAAAAGTAATGGTCTCAATATGCTTTTCTACTGTGTATTGTAATTCTCGCATCCAAGCTGTGTAACGTGGCATGAGTTCATCAGGATCCCATTCGTATTCTTGTCCAATGGTTTTTCCATTAGGATCATTATCCATGATCATTTGCAAGATTTCTTTAGGATCTGTCTTGAGCGAGATTGGGAAAGGAGAAGTGAGTTTGGAAGCACCGCCTTTTTTGTCTTGGTCTTCTGCTCGGTCAGCAGGACGGTCCAACAACAGACGACGAAGGACATCATAGCCATGCACATACTCCACTTTGTCAGAGGGACTTGTCTGCAATGTGGCCAATGTACATAAAAGATTCAAGAGTAAACTACGTGTGCTGATCTCTAGACCATAAACTTGTTTCTGCTTCTTATTAACGGGTCCAAACAGAATATCACGGATATGATAGAGTGCAGAGGGATTTGTCAAGACAATTTGTGTGCCCATGGATTGATGGGTCATGATCGTCTTGAGACATTTACCCAAATGTTGAAGCATTCGGTTGTCATTTGGATGTCTGGCTTGTGTTAATCAAACAGTTTTTTTTTTCATGCTAAAATGTTACCTCTTGGGTGCTTCTTTCATCTGTTTAAATAGGTTGGCAATGGCTTCATAACCACCTTGCGCTAAGAATTCACTTGTCCAACTAAAACAAAATGAAGTTGGTATTCAAATAACAATCGAATTTTTCTTACCTCACAACAACACTACGTAAAAACACACGCAAATCAAGCACTTCAGAATCTTCTAGATCACGTACATGCGTCTCCTGAAGCAAATGGACAAAATACTCGGGTGTTGATTTCAATTTACTTCGAGACGTACTTCGGCCATACGATTCATGGCCACTTCCAGGTAAAGCAGACCGAGAGCGACCGTACCTTCCAGGTGCTGTATTTGCCTTGACCGACTGAATCAATTTATCAGCACTTGCACCACCATACGACATGCTGTTCTGTACATCAGCAACAAATGGAGATTGAGACAGAGAAGCATCGTGTCCCATACTTCGGTGTTTTGACTTGTTCTTGATACCAAATGTCGCTTTCAAAGAAAATGAAGGCATCACATGCGAAAAAGTAGAGTTCTTTTTCAACAGAGCAGGTGATCTGGATGAACGTAACAGCATTTCCTTTTGCTCAAATGTCAAGTTGTTTACGTTGTTCACGTGATCAGCAGAAGGAGCATATTCTTTCAACAGTAATTTAAATTGGGCTTCAATGTCTTCTACTTTTTGATGCGATTTCTTTTTCTGGTCAACAACTGGTGATGGTGGTGATGGTAAAGAAGATTCGATCGGTGGATTGAGTGGCGGTGTGGTAGGAGGTGCAGGTAAATGAACAATAGGATTGTCTAACTGCACTGTTCTTAAAGGTGGAGGTAAATTAGGATTAGGGCGGAAATTGGACCGACGGGATTGGATAGAAGAATACATGGAATCCACACAAGAAGAAGTGCAGTCTTCATGAAACATAGAATCTACTTGAGATGCATCATCTTGTTGTTCATTGGGTGCAGCAGAAGATGAAGATGAAGCATGTGTTGCTTCTGAAGCACCATTTGCTCTTTTCTTGCCACTGAATAAAGTAGAGACTCTGTTCAAGATGCGATTTTGTGCTTGTTGTGAGTTAGGTGAAGTAGGAGGTGATGGAGAAGAAGAACCACTATGAGACATATCTAATAGAGTCATCGTCAAGATAAAGAAGAAGAAATGAAATACATTTTTTTTAAACACTGTTATAAAAAAAAAAAAAAAAAAGCTTCGGTTTCCGTATTTGGACAGCAGCACAACAAAAGACCTTTTTGGATATTTTAGAGTTGATTAAAATAATTGTTTATTAAAAGGTATACATGTCTATATTTACAAGATAAAAATTATTTAGATTTGGATAAAATACTATTTCTCTTTATGCTAGAAAGGGTTTTAAGCCAACGAGAACTATCAGTGGATTGACGGAAATTAGAGTCTGTTTGTAGTTGTGATACAAGAGAAGGGTCATTGACAGCACTTAGTCTTGCTTCTATTTTCGATTTGAAATCCATAAAACCATCTGATGATTCAGCCAATTTGGCTCTTCCAGGCCATCCTTCGTCCAATAAGCGGCTTTTATATTTGCTTGGCATAGCATCAAATTCGGGTTCATATTCATACACACGGGGTGGGTTTGGACAGAAAGTCACTTTTTTTGTCACAGGACGGTCTTCTTCATCACTACTACTACTACTGCTGCTGCTGCTGCTGCTGCTATTGTAGCTACTCTCGTATTGAATTTTGCTACTTTCATTCAAGACATCTTGATAAAATTTAGCAATATCAATACGGCGAGTTCTTCCATAATAACTTGAGGGCCAGGCAGCAAAGTCTGCTTCATAAGATACACAATGGGCTTCATAAGGAGGAGGAGGATCAAGAATATCCATTGTTTTGAGATAAAGAGATAAAATAAAACAAAAGTAAAGAAAAAAAAGAAAAAAAAAAAGGAAAATAAAACTTTATACTGTCAACGCATGGCCAAAGGGCGCTTTTTTAATGGTATAAATATCACGGAAACTTTAAACTTGGAATAAAAGTACTTACTTCCCAGTCATCATACTTCACACCCAGACAACGCATTGCTTCTTGTAAAGAAAAATGCTGTCTTGTTAGTGAAATCAGTGTTGGATTGACTGATGTTAGTTTTGAAAAAGTGTATTAAAAAAAAGAAAGTAGCTAATAGCTTATCTTTTGAATTGGTATTCCAGTCATGATTCGCCAAAGGACAACGTGGATTGTAGTATAGAAAGGAACTTCTTTGTAGGTCACATTATCTTTTTAAATGCGTCAACTTGCCAAAGCAATAGGCACGTGTTTGAGAGGTATTGTTCTAATTGGTAGTACAAAAAAAAGAGAGAGGTATAATTGGTATGTGTGCCTTGCTTCCGGGTGTCTCCGTGTCTTCTTTCCTTTTGCTGGCTTCGGATTCATGGCACTTGTTTCTCTCTCGGGCACAAGCGATGCCTGCTTTTCTTTGTCAAATGCTCTTGCTTTATGCTCCATATGAACATATATCTTGAAGGCATTTATCACCTCTTTCTATTATCATAATTTCTATTGTGTCAACTGTATAAATGAGCGCATTGTGTATCACTATAAAGAATCCTTTCATCTCAGCAACGCAATCCATTTCGTCCATAGTTTTTAGAATAAAATGTGTAAAATAACCTCCTTTTATTTTTGTTTTTACTTTACCTTGGATGATGCTTTTCTTTTTCAGTTTGTGCAATTTATCTTTCATCTTTCTGATGTGTGTTCCTGTAGATGTCTAAGCTCTATTGACACGACAAAATTACACCTAAAACTGTATGTGAAACTGCTCTGATGATGGGAGTGATCGTAATAGCAAGAGTACACCTTAGCAGGCCACCCTCCAGAAGGCCTTATGTTAATCTCAAAACCTAATTCATCTACAAACCCCCCCCCTCCTCCTCCTCCTTAGTTTTCAGGATAATTCATTTCTTAATCCATGCTATTTTGCTTGATCGTTTCTTACTTTTGGGTGATGTTGCATTGACTGTAGATCTATAAAATAGGCATCTTTCACTCAAGCGCATGGATTTTAAATCAACTTTATTGGATTTGACAATGTAGCGCTCCCATTGGCAATAACATGCTTTAATAGTTTTGTCTTGCTCGCTTTGTTGTTCGTACATCTTCTTCGCCTTCCTCTAATTGTCTTAACCATTGTTTTTCAGTCATACCATCATCATAGCGTACATTTTCTCGAGACCGCTGTCCTCTGCCCATCACAGATTCAATGGTATCTTCTGTGTCATGTATATGCTCATCACGATAAATATCGGGCAATTCCCATTCCTGAAGTAATCTTTCTGGTTTCTTGCCATTGTCTCCATATTTACGACGCCATTCTTCTGCATCTGTGCGTTGTCTTTCTAAATCAATCTTGGTGAAAATAGCATATTCTTGATCAGATCGTTTTAGGATCGTATTGAGTTCTTCATCATCCATCTCATCACTCTCTTCATCTGCTTCTCTTGTCTCTATTGTGACTGTCTTGTCTTCCAACAAAGAACGCAAAAAGGCTTCACGGTCTTCTTCTGTCGAGCGATGATCAAATTTACCTGCTTGAATGACTTTACCATCAATATCTAGCTTGTACTGTGCTCTTGCTAGAATATTTTCTTCAATCGAGTTTTCTGTAATCAGACGGAAAATACGGACTTCTTTTGTTTGGCCAATACGATGAGCACGGTCTTGTGCCTGAAGGTCTTGATGAGGATTCCAATCCGAGTCAAAGATGATGACTGTATCGGCTGTCTGTAAATTCAAACCCAGACCACCTGCTCTTGTACTGAGTAGAAACATAAAATAAGGTGAATCAGGCGCATTAAATAAATGCAGTAAATTGGATCGGTCATCTGATTTGGTTGAACCATCTAATCTCAAATGCCTAAATCCACGATAAATACAGAAATCTTCCATAATATCCATAATCTGTGTCATTTGAAAGAATACCAGCACCTATACATATATATATATATATATGGTCAATCCACAGTCACGTTTGAATCTGTCACTTACACGATGACCCGTAGAACGAAGTTTGGGCAACATACGATCCAATAATTCAAATTTACCAGAGACACGGTAGAGTAACTCATTGCTTATCTTGTAGGGATTGATCACGCGTTCTACTTCTTCAAACACAAAAGGGTGATTACATATCTTGCGAAGTTGCATAATAGCATTATTTAGACCCTTAATGCTTGTTTTACTATAAACTAGGAATGAATATACGCATACCACTTGGCATGTCCACTTACCCATTGCTTGAATTACTACCAAACAAGATACCGTGTTTCTTCATTTGAGAATATAGTTTGAGTTGAAGTGCTGATAGTTTACATTTGATGACAGTTTCAACTTTATCAGGTAATTCAGATTCCACATCTTTTTTGAGACGTCTCAGTAAAAAGGGACGCAATACTTTATGAAGACGCTTGATGATCAACAATTGTTCTTCTTCATTCAATTCAACCTTGTCTTGTACACCTTGGTTAGAAAAGGGTGTATTAAACCACTCTTCAAAACTCTTGACTGAATTAAAGATTTTGGGCAAAATAAAGTTCAAAAGAGCCCATAATTCAGGTAGATTGTTCTGAAGAGGTGTGCCTGTCAAGATCAATCGATAGCGAGAGAAATAGTATTGTCTCAAGACCATAGTGAGTTTAGATTGTGTGTTCTTCATACGATGTCCTTCATCAATAATCATGTATTGCCATTTGATCTTGGATAACACAGGGCGGTCTTTGATGATGTAGTCAAATGTGGTCAACAGCACTTGGAAGTCACGGTGCTTGATTTGTTTCTTTTGAATCTCTTTACGCACATCGGGTGTACCTTTATAGCAAATCATGGTGACAGAAGGAGCCCATTTAGCAAATTCAAGCGACCAATTCGTCAAGGTAGAGAGTGGCACAATAATAAGAAAAGGGCCATTTTGTTTCTTGAATTCAATCAGGTACGTAATCAAACTGATCGTCTGAATCGTCTTTCCAAGACCCATTTCATCAGCCAGAATACCATTCAGTCGGTTATTGTAGAGGGAGACCATCCATTGTAAACCCTTGATTTGGTATTCTTTCAATTGGCCACCTGTCAAAATACTAGGCTGAGAGACTCTTTCTTGAATACGATGTGCCATGCGATAATAGTCTACTTTCTTGCCATTGGAATCCATCAACATCATTTCTTCGTCCATCTCTTCTCTGTCTTCTAGACTGTCATCAAGGTTCATGTTCTCTGTCTGTTGATCAACCACTGCCTTTGTCAAGGACTCTAAATAAGTGCCTGTCTGTCTTAACAACAAGGTCAATCGAGTATCTTTAGCTTCATCTAATAGTTTCATATAGGCTTCTTCATCGTCATTACGTAATGCACGAATACGGTCTTTGGATCTTTTGTCTGCCTTGCGTTGCTCTTCTTTATCGATGTGGGCATGGAACTGAAGAATGGCTTTACCTAGCTTACCCATCCTTGCCTGATGTGCTTTATGCCACCCAATCAGATCACGACCTTGATTACATACACTCTGCAGATAATCCAAATGACGTTGCTTTTCTTTTTTCTCTCGATCCAGCCGTTGTTGCTTCTCCAGCTTTTCTGTCAGTTTGGCTTCACGTAATGTCTTTTTCATGATTTTACGATAAGAAGTACGGTCAACTGAATTGGCCAGTCGATTGGCTTCTTCCATGTTTTTCACAATCTCTTCTCGTAACTTGGCTTGTTTATCACGTAACTGAAGGGATTTGAATTGAACAATCGTAGCCAATCGATCAGGTGAAGCTGTCTTGACTGTATCTTGATAGTATTCAGCTAAAAGATATCCCAAGGGCTGTCGTTGCTGCTCGTCATCCATATGGGCTTCTAATTCAGCCATACGTGCTTCAACACGCTGATCAATCCGTTTTTGTCGTTCAGACAAGACAGTGTGAGGATCCAATCCCTTAGGTGCAATTTCTGGCAAGAGTAAGCGTTGTTGTCTTGAAGAATGCGCATGGGATCGTTGCTGGCCTGACAAAAGGTCAAAGGCACTCACAAGATCATTGTCCTTGTTCTTGGTGATCAAGGGTGTGATGGCTAAGGGTGAAGTGTTCTTTTTCTTGAGGGCGTTGAATTCGACGGCTTGTTGATAAATGGCTTCTACCAGTCGTTCTGCCATGGTTTTGGGTGGTTCTTTTTCTTCAGGTGGATGGGATTGATTGGATAAGAGATTATAAGCAAGCATTTGGTATTGAAGATTGCCAGTGGGTGTAGTTGGTATCGACGATGAAGGACTCGTAGTGTGATTGGCTTGTTGTAGCAAGTGTTGTTGAAGTAACTGAAGTTGTAGCTGTTGCTGTTGTTGTTGTAACTGTTGTAGCTGTGGTTGTGGTTCATTTTTGACAACTGGTTTTTGTTGCAGCGCTTGATGTTGCTGCAGTGCTTGATGTTGCTGCAATACTTGACTCTGTTGCTGTTGTTGAAGTAGACGTAATAGATTCATCAATTGAGAAAACTCATTTTTGCCATCTTCTTTTTCACCTGCTGCTTGAAGTTGCTTTGCTCGCTAAAATGTGTTAGTATAGTATACGATTCCAATAGGACTGACCTGCAAAATAATATTTAGTTTCTCTTTGGTAAGTGAATTCAGCGTCAAGTCCACACCAGAAGCACTTGTATTGTTCATTCTAAGATCATCATGTTTAATTAATCTCAAAAAAGTCGAAAAAAAATTACCCGCTTTTAAAAAAAATAAATAAATAAGGCTTTCTTACACAATAGAGGGTGAAAAAAAATAAAATAAAAGGGCGTTCTCTGTGCTAAAACCATTGAAAAAATTTAATTCAATCCAGTGATGACATCACACCTAAGCAGGAATCGACAAGAAAGGGAATCTCTAAGAAAATTGAAAAAAAAAATGTAATGCTTCGACCACAATATACCCGTAGACCTTTTGAGTTGATGGTAACATAACGTCTGTTGTTGTGATCCCTACTCAACTTCCAACATAGATCTTGGGTCGCCCTAACTCAGGCAAACGTACTTTATCTGATCAACTCCTTAAAGTGAAAGATGTCTTTTTCTCCATGTAAGCTTGAAAGATCACATGGGCAAGTATTGATCGTATTTAGTAATATTGCAGAAGATGTACCTCAAAGAGATCTAGACAGAATTGACTATGTACTGATTCTTGTTGATTTGACTCAAGAAGAGAGTTTATGGTTACTTGATCAGTCTCTACATCAAATGAATGCACGCTTCTTGGTCAAGAAATCATCGGTTGTTGTCACAAAATGTATGTATCCCTTTCTATTCTCTACAGAATCAAATTCATGTTTTTTTTTTCTATTTCATAGTTGATAAGCTTAAGTCAAGAGAGATCGATATTGAACAAGTCAAGTCAGTTGTGACATCATTCTTTGATGTGCCTTTGTTTTATGTCAATCTAAGTGTAAAATCCATCCATTTGTTTCGTATTACTTATGCCCAAACTATAGAATCAAATAGAAAAAACACGCTTATGTTATCAATTGACACGTAAAATCAAGACAGAAACACTTCAGTTAAAACAAATCAATACATCTTTACTTCGATGCCTTGAAATCTATGATTCCACTGATGAAGAAGAAGAATCAGAACATAGTATCCTATCAGAAAGAATGGAGCCAATCACATAACAGCCTATTGATTCATCTCCCTCTTTCATTTCTTTCTCCCCCCCCCCCTTTTTTTTTATTTTTATTTTTATACATGTAAATAAATGCAACAATCCGAATATTACAGCTACATACTTAATAACTCTAAAAACCTACAACAAGACAACAGCAACTATTATGCTAATCTTGAGTCATCCAGTGGACCTTCTCAAGCCCCTTTATTGGAAAAAGAAACACAGCTTAAAGGCGGGACAGATTTCCGAAGAAGAAAGAACTGGTCAGAACGTATCTTGGTTGAAATCACCGGTCTGTTACATGTATTATCACCTACAGGCAAAATTCTGTATTGTTCAGAGTCCACGCATGAATTAACAGGCTATCGACCTCATGAACTTGTAGGTCAAGCACTGATAGATTTCTTGCATGTGGATGACATGGATGTCTTTATTCGTGATTTTCAAATGTCATTTCACACGCGTTCTCAGATCAAGACCCATTATCGATTTCGCAAAAAGGATGATACTTATGTGATTTTTGAAGTCGTGGGTCATCCCAGGTCAGATTTCCCTGGTCAACCACCCCAAAGCTTTTTTGGTATTGCTCAGCCAATTCCTACCAAAAGTGGTGCTTTGATTGATACTTTTCTGGAACTCAAGACAGAGAACAATTGGCTCAAGAAGCGCATTGATGAATTGTCTGCTAAATATGGCAAGGTAGAAAGGAATCGTGAAGAGACTAGCAGTAGTGGTGCCTCCACTGTATTGGAATCCAACTTTATACCAAACTTGTTGAATGTGAATTCTGAAGAGTGGATGGATACCTCTGATTTAGATGATTATGCCTACAAAGAAGAGCACAAAATACCCACCAATCCAGATCAGGAAACCATGGATGCATTAGAAAGAAAAGATAAATGGAAACGACGCGTAAGGGAAATTTAACACAATGCAATGACTCATTTGTATTTTAAGAAGAAACACAAAGGAGCAGATGAATATGTGTGTGCTGATTGTGGTACTACTTCCTCACCCGAATGGCGTAAAGGACCTCATGGACCCAAGACGTAAGTTACAGACGGAAAATATAAATACTGATTCCCATTAGCCTATGTAACGCATGTGGTCTTCGTTGGGCCAAAAAGAACAAAAAGAGAGATTTGAATGATGACTGAAACAGCAAGGATTCTCCGAATAGCTTTTTTGATCCCGTTTGATTATTCCCTTCCTCCTCCTCCTCCTCCCCCTTTTTTTTTTATTTTCTTTCTTTTTCTTTTATATATATATAATGAACCGATTAAAAGCATTCATTGATAAACCCGTCAGTCATCATTTGTTAGCTCATATTTCACATCAAGCATCATTAGTGATACCTTGCCATCATTTAGACTATAAAAGTGTGATTCCACCTTTACCTACATTTGTGAGTCTGTTGGTCAAAAGGTCGTATGCTCGTACAGGCACATTATTGGCCACACTCGTGCTGTTAGACAGGTTAAGACAGAGACTGGCTCAATTTGCGAGGGGAATGCCATGCACTTGTCAACGCATCTTCTTGGCTACATTGATTGTCACCACTAAAGTATTGCATGACACTTGCCCCAAGAATAAGCATTGGACAAAATATGCTGTGTATTTCAGTTTACCAGAGATCAATTTGATGGAGAAACAACTGTTGTCTTTGATGGTAAGTCTATCAAATGAAAATACATCTCATAAAAATTTCTTTAGAATTACCAAGTAATAATTACTGAACAGGATTTATTGAATTCATTCATGAATTATGATCATACTATTCGCCTGCAATTACCTCCCATTCTGACGGATCGTCTTTACATGCCAAAATCTGCTTCTTCGTTTACTATACAAAAGAGAAGAAAGCGTCCCCATCTCTCAAATTCCTCTATTTCTTATATAGAAGACCCTATGTATATTTGTTCTTTTACTCATCTTATCAAAAAATCCATATGGATGGACCCTCCTTCCATCTAAAATGTATTACGCTCCTTATTATATCTCCTTTATTCCCTATACGATTGCGTGTTGTGAAAAATACCAAATAGATATCATGATTTGTCAAATTCTAAACAAGACTTTTTATTGTAGTGTCAACTACCAGCCGTCATCGGTCTGTGGTAGTCCCCAACCTGCATCTTGTGCTGAAGAAGCATCACCCCATCCATCTTGATCTTGTTCTAAATTGAATCGCTTAAAGGAATCTTGTAGAGTTTCTTTTTCTGATTTGACAACTTGAATAGAAGAAGGTTGTTTCATCGTGTTCCATTCGTCAAATGTTTGCCACTTGTTATTACCAGGATGATGAGGTGGTGGTGAAGACATCAGAAAAAAAAAAAGTGATTTTATTTGAGTAAATCATAAGCAATCGATCTTGTGTCTGCTAATTCAATATCCAATAATTGGAATTTAAGTTTGGGTAATTCAAGTGTCTTTAGAAGACCTCCATGATCAGATAAAGCCACTCTTCTAAGTCCATAGCGCTCGATCAAGTCTTGATCAAGTGAGATGGTCTTTTTGGATCCTTGCTTTTGTTGAATACCATAGCACCAAAACTGTCCTGCTTTTTTAGCAGCATACACAAGATCTTGGATCGTAAAACCATACATGGCTTGATGGTCTATACTCTCATCCATCGTAGTGACACGACTACCGCCCCATCCATTGTAATGAAACATACCATAGTTGAGCACGGCACACTTGAGAGCATCAATTTGTTTGGTAGACAGTTGCAGTAATCGAAAGACCAGTCGTTCACCTTCTATCGTCGCATTTGCAGTAGCCGTACCATCACTTATTTGAACAAAAGCAGTCGCCACAAAGACACGATGGGCATCTTGACACATGCGATAACAATCTTGATGACGCACCATCGAACCACAATCACTGCATTCCCATTGAAACACAAGAGAAATAACAGACACCACATGACAAAGGATCTTGACGATCGATACTTCAGGCTCAACAGCATCACCTAGATCCGTATCGATAAACGAATGCAAAAGACGTGTAGGAATACGTGTGGGCTGCAGTCCAAGCACAGCAGGATCAGGTCGTGTCTTGAGCACTTGGATACTGGTCACATCATTCGCTAAACAAAAAAAAGAGGATGTTTGGCCTCGTTTGTGTTTACGGACCAGGTTACGAAACACAACATGAGCACCTACGATAAGCCCTAGAGGATAATGAATCTGATGTGTGTCCAAATAGATGTCAATCACATCCAGTGTGTCTGGTTGGCGTAACTGAAGATAGAGTCGACGGTTCGGTTTGCCTGTACCTATGCCTAGGTCTTGATAGAGTTGTTTGGCATGATGTGAACTTGTGTTGTCAAATCCATCCAACATACGTTTAGAAATCACAATGCCTTGGACATGGATCAAATGTTCAAAGAATTGATAGGTGAGCGTAGGCTGCTGAAGTTCAAGAAGCTGGGATACACTGTAGATCATCTCTGAAGATGCCACAGATGAATCTTGATAGACAGGTTCTAACTGGAGAGCATCAGGCGTATCTTTGTCTAGGACAGGGTATAAAGTATGTGTAGGACCAAGGACAAATGTCATCCGACGCTTTGTGCCGGTATCGGGTAAAGAAGCGTCTAATGTGAGACCATGAATCACCCACTGAGTACCTGTTTGGAGCATAGCATGCAGTTTGAGACTCTGATGGCGAGAGTCAAGAATGAAGATACATTCCTTGAGTTCTTGAGTAGGAATGCCTTTACTTGAGCCTTGGATATCATACAGACGGACAACAACACGACCTTCAAGATATAAGCAGCTTTCAGCATCAAAGCATGTCTGAATAGGAAACGTGTTTACCACATCCAACACAAAGCAAGGTCCTTGTTTTAGTCTTTTAGAAAGACGGTAATAAGCCACTGGACGAACCGAGGTTCTGGATGTTTGAAACACAAGGGGACTATCATACCCCAAGAGGACTACATCTTCACACACAAGATAGGATTGCTTCAGGGATTGTCTTGTCATACTAAGTTCTAAATAAGACAAGTCTTCTTCAAAGAGTTGCATCTGTTTCAATAGATAGATACCACCTGGCTTGAGATGCACACGGGGAGCTAACAAGAGTAAACGTGTTTCACCCTCCATAAGATACAGACGACCATCGTTCATCATGTCTACTTTGCCCAATAGACCGTGTGGTGTGAGATCATCACTGGCCACACGGGTATATACATGACCTGTTTCAAACCGGTTACTTTCACCTGAGAGACACACACGGTGTTCTTGAAGACGCGCTGCTAACATGGCTTGAATGGATCCTAACGAAGGGTATGTGCCCATAACCACATGCAACGGCTGTGTTGTCTTTCCAACAGCAGGACAAGACTGATGATGCCAAATAAAATGATGCTTGAGATGGTGTGTAGGATGTGTGGATAAGGCATCATACGCTTTTTTACATGCGTGTATATCGTCTTGCTTGAATTTGACAACAAGGGCTGCATAGATCTCCAAGTGTCGCATCAACATGCTAAAATCAGACTGTTGACGCAAACAATCCATATAGACATACTGCTTTAATTCTGAATCCATGGTTTGTTCAAAAAAGGGTACGCTCGTCTGTACAAAATCACAATGGTCTGGAAAAGACAGGATGTCTATTTGTGTCTTGACACAGCCTACAAGTGCTCTGACATGACATAGATCAGCATGAGTGCGTGGTACATGCCATAAGGTGTCTAGCAAATGACTTGTGCCATCACTGTTAAGTTGAACAGTAGCCATATGAACATGATGTAATCGAATCTCTGTATTGACGCGTAAGGGACGTAGAGGAGAATAGCCCACATGGTGAAATAGACAGAGTAAGAGTTGATGGTCAAATTCGTACATGCCAAACAAAGGATCAATGACGCGTGTAATATGGCCTGTAAAGGTAGACATCTGGTTGATTGTGGGTAGACACAGGGGATAGGATTCTTCTTCTAAGGGTATCTGATCTGTACATTGGATTTGGTCTAATTGATGGGGTGTGATGGTATGGCATAAGGATTGTCCCTCTCTAAAGCAAAGGACAGTGCATTTGATGTGAGCATGGCGCAGATGCATAGCATTCAAGCGTTGAAACATATAGTTGCAGCCTATACGAAACATGGGGTAGTATTTGATACACGCATCACCTTCAAACATGATGTAGGTAGAGACATGATCATGGCTTACTTCCACTAAGAATTGAGCTGGTGTATTGGGCAACGTCAATAATGGGCTAACAGAAGCCGCCATGCCAACATGGTTTGGTACTGATCCCATGTGTGGTTGAGGTGAATAAAATACAGTGTCTCTGCTCTGTGTGATCTGGTATGCTAATTCATCGATAAAGAGACATTCTTCAAGAACAGATTGAGTGGGATTAGCCACAGGAAAGACATGAACCAACCGAAACTCGATCCATTGCAAGTCGTCTTGACATATAAAATTCCATTGTTGAATACTGACCATGGCTTGATCGAGTTTGGGATAGAATCGATCGACATGACAAGGAAAGTAAGTGTGTGTGGTAATATCTGTCAAAAGAATGGTGCCCTTTTCATCATCGGCATCGTAGCTGACAATAGATAAAGTACCTATCAGACTACATCCGGTAAGTGTAGCATTGGTGCCGGCTTTATAATTGAGCAACTCGTGCACCGTCAATGAATCCATACCAAAAAAAAAAAAAAAAAAAAAAAAAAAAAGTAGAAACGATTTTTAAAAATTTCCCTTTGACATTTAACGTAAAAGACGCGTTTTCTTTTACAAACATTAGTTTATGCAACGGTCCAAAGAGCTTCAAACATGCATTGACTTAATTCCATATCGCAGTAATATACATTCGTTCTTTAGACAAATAAAGAAACTGATCTACACAACACGAGCCTTTCTGAGTCCCTTTTATCCTTATTCATATTGCAAAAGGGCTTGGATTCCTAGGATTATGTTTTTAAAGTAGTTTTTCTTTGCTTGAATTTATGCGCATGCATCTACCCGTATCGCCATCGATTTTGTAGAGTTTGAGCGGTATCAAGATATCCCCCCACACACAAGATGGCTGTATGCGGAGATTGAAAATGTAATAGTGGGTTTTATCCCGCCGTGTCAAAAATCAAGCTCTTGTTTAGAGATAATTCCATTTGTATCAACGTCAATGGTTGGCTCTCTAAGCAGTTGGTTCCAAAGCGCCGAGGCCTCAAACAAGGTGACCCACTCTCTTGTATTTTATACAATTTTGCCTTAGAGCCACTTCTCCAGTCGATATTGAATGACACTCAATTTTCTGGCTATCGCTTCAAGCATAATGATTTTAGTCAAGCTATCACCTTACCTGCTATCAAATTGCTTAGTTATGCTGATGACACTTTAGTTTTTCTTCATAATATCCGTGACCTTCGCAGAATGCAGTTTCACTTGCAGGCCTACAGTAAAGCATCCGATGCCAAGATTAACTACCATAAAGTGCGAGCAATCTCTCTCTCTGGCCACAATCTAGATGATAAATGGCTGACTACTCTACAAGCCATTGACATTCCCAAGATATGGTGCCGTACAGATGCTGAACCCATTATCTATTTAGGTTTTCCCCTTATCCAATTCTTGTACCAGCGCGCTCACTTTTTTTCGTCCCTCACTCGATCACTGACTCAACTGGCGGATATTCATGCCTCACGCAATCTTTCTGTTGTTGGTAGAGCTACAGTTGCCAGTTCGCTTTTATTGTCTAAATGCTGGTATATTTTGCGGGTAATCCCTACCACTCAAGCAATCCTTAATACCATTCGAACTGTCATTACTTCTTTTGTCAACCGGCAAATATTTCCTCGCATTAGTTGGCAAACGATGACTGCACCAAAGTGGCATGGTGGCCTTGGCATTCTTGACTTGTTTTCTCAGCAGAAAGCACTGTATTATCATTGCCTTCATCCTTTTTTGTGTCCTCAAGCTGAACGTTCTCTGATACAAGACTTTCTAGCAGCACATGCCCGTGCTTTGCTTCAGACTGAACATCTGCTTTTGGGTTTGCTCTTTCCTCGTTCTCGGCCAGGCCAACTCAGGCAATTGGTAAGTAACACTGTCACAATGTGCTGCCAGACAATAGATGCTATTCCTAGGAAACAGTACTCATACATGCCAAACCCTATCGAATGCCTTTTACTGCCATCACGCTCAATTGTTTTGCCATCTAACACCTTTAATTTGCCTCTCAAGTTACGCACAGTAGCAGTTTCCTATCTATATAAGTACCATCCACAGGGTCACTATTTGGCACCAATACCAGTTTCTTCCTTTCCCCTGGATATCCGTCGTAGTGTTAGAAAATACCTTCAAGCAATGAATCAAAGTCATTGTCAACTGGAGCCATTCTTTGGTCAATGCCTTGTTCGTACTTCATTAGACTTATACAATCCTGTGCATATTCCTGCAATCCAGCGGTCTCTTGATTTCTTTTCTTTTGTGCGTATGTTGAAACTGCCTTTTGACAATAAAAATTTCGTTGCCTTCAAAAATGATGGCTACACTTTCCGTAAGGTCATCACACAAGCTGCCTTGTCTGATATCATTGCCCGGCAAGAAGTTTCTTCTGCTGCTTGGAAGTACTTTTGGTGTATACCTATCACAACATTGCAGAGAAATGTGATGTATCGATTTCTGACTCGCAAGATTCCCACTCGCTTATTTCTATCCAAGATTTTTCCTGCTCGCTTCCCTACTGCTGCCTGCATTTTGTGTGGTGATCAGGAGACTGTGTACCATTTCTTCTTTCGCTGCCCCCAAAAATTTCCGTTCTGGGATGCCTTGATCAGGGAATTTCTATGGCCAGGCACCTCTCTGGATCTAGTCTCTGATGCACTTGCATCTTTCAATTTTTCTCGGATTCGGTCTCAAACCAACTGTCCTCTTTCAGTAGCCATGGTAACCTTGATCGGTCTCTCTGAAATCTGGAAGGCCCATTGGACCCATACCATGCAGAACCAACCATTCCATTATCTCTCTGTTCTCCATAGCACTCGCTATCAAATTATGCGTATAGCTGCTGAAAATGACCTTTCATCTTGAGAGGTCTTTTCTCGCAGTAGCTGCCCTTTTTTTTTTTTCTTGATTTCTTTGTTTTTTGAAATTGTAGTACCCTTTTTGTTTCTTTTAATCCTCTTATAATAAATAATTGTCGAGCACCTCTTTTAGTGGTTCCCTCTCGAGACCACTAATACGTGCGGCAAATAAAATCATTAAAAAAAATCAAGCTTTTCTGCCCTCAATGTTGCTCACTGCTGCTCTCTCTGAAGTGTGAAACCTGTCAATTTACAAAATGTTGGTGTAAACATTTGACTCGCTTCTTCTCCCCCTGATATTTGGGTTTGTACACCAAGTAACACATTTTATGTGAAGATCCTTTTTTTTATTACAGGAAAGCTCATTGGCCCCATATCCATAACGATCAACCTTTCTCCCCTTTGACCACTTTTCGTTCCTCCCAGCTGGCAATCCTCCGTTGCCATGCTGAGGAAAACTTCGATGGCGAGTAAGTCCTATACTACATTACATTTTCTATTTAGTTTCCAGCTATATTTATTCTATTATTTTACGTCAATTGTTGAGCACCGCTTTCAGTTTCACGCACTGATACGTGCAACAAATAAAACTCTTTTAGAAAAAATTAAGCTTTTTGCTGAGAACTGCATAAAGACGCAGCTGTATGACTTTATTATTGTGACAAAAGCTGTAGATCTTTGTTTTCTGAGTTGAATAAAGTAAGAAACACAGCAAATTTTTTGGGCAAATATGCGAAAATGTGTACAAGGTTTTTCGCTCCTATCATATCATTTTTTAATATAATTGACAAGCAAAAGCATTCACCAAAAACCAGAGCCTTTGGCAGATATTTTAAGTATCTATTCTTATTGATAGCTTCATTCTTTGTTATGTAGTAGTAAAAAGAAGATCAACTGTTGTCAAATCGAGAATTTCTATCAACACTATCCTTTGGATTTGAGGCAAAAATGACGATTTTTTGCGAGTCGTTTTTTTCCTTTTGATTCAAAACAATTCCAAAAGTACCACGCATATTAGTAAACATGTTTTGTAGGTACTTAGAGCATTTATTCAGGAATATATAGGACTTGTGCAACATTTATTTGTAGACGAAAACGAAGAAAATTTATGTATATTATAGTCTTTTTTTCTACTGTCAAAGCATTCACCTGCATGGAGCCTATTTTTTTTTTTTTTACGTAGATTAAGGTATCTACCATCAAGTAAATTATTTGAATCAAATGCCTTGATTAGAAAAAAAAAAATGGAGGAGTTTTTCATCGATTGAAGGAAAATCTTGGTCAAATCTTTACTCAAATATGAAAAGATTTCTTCTATCGATGGGAAAAAATGCAATTGCTTACGCTGTGGTGGCGCACTATTCAAGATTTCTGTATGGAATAAGGACGTCTACAGACCATGCTGAACTCTGATACAAGCATTTTTCTATAAATATGAGCCTATCATTAACTCAATTGGTCGCATTCTTTGTACAGCCTTAATTTTCTTGCTCTTATTTTGAGATTGCTAAATTAGCATGGATGAACATGGATGACCCTGGATGAGCACTGATGAGCAGAGAATAATAAAATTTCTCTTTTTTTTTTTTTTTTTTTTTTTTTGCATTTTTATTTTACAATTTTAAAGTAAAAAATAAAAAATTTTTAAAACTGTCAAATCTTTCAAAATTTAAATTTTTGATTCTTTTGATTTTATCTAATACAAATAAAAGAAATGCAAAGATCAGATTTCTTTTTAATTGAAAGTGATTGTTTTCTAAAAGAATTTTTTTTTCTGTCAACACAAATGGCATACTTTTGTATCCGCATAAATTTTGCTAAATTTATTAGTTTTATATAAAAATCAATTTTGAGCATATGGCTTAATTTAGTCTAAATTTCTCGAATTCGATCAATTCGTAAGAATAATCAAGTTAAACTAGAATTAAACACCATTTCAGCGAGCAAGAAAAATAAATGCACGGAGGAAAAAGAGCTGATCTAATGATGTTTGTGGACGCATGTTTGTAGCCAAAGAAGGAAAAGAGACAGCTGATTCTTTGTTGGAAGGAGCAGAGAGTTCGTGGCAGCATGCTTCATAGAGACAATCTGTGATAAGAGGAAATGTACAGAGGTCTATTCGACATATGTTGTGAGTTGGTTGAATATAATAAGTATATTAAGGTATTGGATGACATGTGAATGAGAGAGGTATGCACCACAGGAATAAGACTTAGAATTACCTCCAGGTAATCAAACGAGTCGCTAGCAAATTGAACGGATGCACTCAAGGTTGGTTCTAGGAGGCCAGAAAAGCCAGTGTCGCTGACACCATTGGAGAATAGCATGGTCATAGCTGAGCAAATTTCATTAGAGCTTACTTGCACTAAAACTTTAGGGCTAGAGATGCCTCTGGCTCTGATAAAAACTCAATGGTAGAAAAAGATGTCTTGTAGTGGATTAATTGTACTAGAAAGAATATAATCAGCGGTGTCTTTCTCAGGCACGACGATAACGCATTTGGTAGAGCCTCATCTATAATCTAGTGTAAGACTGATTAGTACATTGATGGAAGATAGATTTTAGAAGTTTAAAAAAAATATTGCAAAACTTGCAAACATAAGAAGTCGCCAATGGGTA